AAAAAGTGAAAAAAGAAGCGAAACGTGCCTTGGCTGCTTGACTACATCTGGAAAAATATTCTCCTATGCACTTAGAATTTTAGAGGCTTTTTATGAAACTGACAGCATCTTTGTTCTTACAAAAATGTTACTCATTACTGTTACATCATGGAGGCATTAAACAGTCAAGAGGTTCAGAAATGTTTGAATAAACCCTAAATATGAAGCCTAATGTGGAAAAAATGTTCCATTCATGCTGCCCCACATTACACTTAATCTGTGCTAGGCAGGCAACTGAGTACAGCTTCTGAACCCACAGAGACGCCAGCAGGTAAGCTTCTTATATGAGGGATTTTAACACGCTTTTTCATTCAGATTGGGCGTCAAACGTCGAGCACCCTCAGAACTCTAGCTTAACAACGGAAATGCTCTTGATGAAGCTGAATGGGCCTCAAGAGGGACAGGAAGAAGTACTTATACAGGCTTTAGAGAGGGGGCGGAAACTGGAGCTAGTATAGATCTACTCTGATGAATGCAGGAAAGTCTCAACCTCAGGCAAGAGTTGAAGTATGCACTGAGAGCCAGAGAACACAGCAACATGGCATGGTGTCGCCTGTCTGCACACAACAAAGGCACTTGAGTCCCGACAGAGCTAAAAACACTCTTTGTTCCGTATCTATGTAGCATCTCAGAGCCAGCATTAAAGTCCCCCATGCCCACAAAAATGTGTCCCTAATAGCAAATGAAAGGCAAAATCTCAGCCCAGATCAGCGCTCCTACTCTCAGACTCTCAGTGAATCCAGTTTGGATCTTTGCATTTGCAGTTTCTTGGTTTGGTTTGGTTTTCCAGAGTACGTGGTATCTGGGAGCAGCAGTGAACTGACCTGTTAGCTTCTGAGACTAATTAACAATCTATAAGGTCCTGTGTGACAATATATATCGCTGTGTAAGCACTCGTTGGAATGCAGGCCACTATCAGTGAATGCAGGGGGATCGGTAAAAAAGGAAGATTTTATTTGAAGGGGCTTGTGTCAACAAAGCAGGAGAGATGGTGGGGGAGATGAGACCAGGCCGAGAGTACAAAGAGTCAACAAAGCCAACGACCCACTGAATCACAGTAGTAGTCATAACTGTAAGTAACTTCACCTGTTTTACACCTTTTACATTTGCTTCAGTCTTGGGCTGACACAACTGATTATCTCCTTAATCAAGTAATCTAACAATTACTGTGACAATTAATCAACAAATCAGTTTTTAAAACAGGCCAAACAATGAAAATAGACCGAACCGGACAAATTCAGAGCCATTCAAAGATTCAAAAATTGGAAAAAAAAGATTAGAGAAATGTAAATTAGTAACCCTTTCTTATCCTCATTAAACCTAAAATGCATAAGATTTTGCATATTTTCAAAAAATTAGTAATCATGTTTGAGTTATTGTAACAGCTCTACTAGGGTCATCAAATGTCTATAAGGCAAATCTGAGTTATCACATCAGATTTGCTTTCCTAGTCTACTTAGCCTACTTCTAGCAGCACTGCATCGATACCAAAGGATTTTCCAAATTATTAAACCAAGAAATTGAAAAACAGAATGCTTTCTGTGATCTTATGATCATATCAAAATACTCAAATACTGCAAATCTATATTCACAGTTTGACAAACTAGATGCTCCTGATATTAGCAAACCTGTACGCTACAAAAGCTGTTATGGTCCAAGTTTGCAAGTAAATTCTGAAACGATTCTTCAGGATCCAAAGGCAAACACCATGTTATGTTAGAGGCTCTCTGATTTTCACCTTCCCTCCCTGGGTTTAAGACCCAGCAGCTGTAACTGTTTTTTTCTGTAATTTATATAAACCCTTAAAAAGATGGTTCTTTGCATGAAATGCATCATGAAAGCGTTCTTCAGATTGATGGAGAAAGTGCTGTAGATGGCTTTTTGAAAAGCTTGACATCAAAACAATAGAAGAACACTTTTTGATACTATATATATATGCATTGCTAATCCAGATACACGTAGTATTTAATCAATGTTTTTGTACGGCCATCAGCCCACAGTTCCCATGTTGGCGCATCCCTAATCCCAATACGCGTATTTTGTTCTTATCATGCAGCCCTAATAAAAAGGATCATCTCAACACACTTAGTAGAGGTTAGTCCTACAGCATTACTGCCTGTGGAGGGAGATAAATGACAAGCAAAGGTGAGAGGAGTCCTGCTTAATCTCCACAACACTTCATCTAATTTGCATGATCAGGCTCTCCACACACAGGACCCAACAATGGAGGCTAAGCAGGGCCACTCACACACTTCGTGTCCTCTCTGTCTTTTTGGTCCAATCAATCACAGTGAGTAAGTTCTTTAAGAGTGAAGATCAGACTCTGGGGGGCTGGGGTTAATGTTTTGTGTATTTGCACTAGTGGAGTGAACAAAGCAGGAGGAGAGAACAAAGCAGGAGGAGGGAATAAAGCAGGAGTCCAAGTGCTGTTTGTAAAAGAAGGCTGATCAGACAGCAGTCAATGGCAGTAAATCATCAGCAATGTAAATACAAATCTCGTTCATAGAAGTCTGGCAGTACAAGCCGGAAAAGAGGGGTGGGAAAAGGGTCTTGTTCCATAAAGCCTCAGCTGTGCTGAAATCGCTCCAGTGACTAATGACTCCATCTACGGCTGGCACAGAGAATAAATATTTAGGTCTGTCTTGCTGGACTTTTTTTTACCTTTTCAAACGACATTTTTAAAGCAGAGAGAGAGAGAGAGAGAGAGAGAAAGAGAGAGAGAGAGCATATGGCTGTATCATGTAATGCATTAACAAAGCACGTGGTACAACCTTCCCAGTCTTTCTAAGAGAGAGTGATACGTTTTCATAATACATTTATAACAACATGTCGTTTCTTTGAGCTTTGTGGACAAGTCAGAACAGACAAAATTCACCCACAAAACGACAGTGTCACATTTAAAGGGAAATTCCACCAGCTTTTCAAAAGTTCTGTGTAATTACATCATTAGGATGTAAGCAAAGTCATTCAGAGAGGTTTGGTGTGAAATGCAGAATTGTTCACAGTGGTGGTGATAGGAACCAGACGTCTGAATTTCATGTCTCTAAAAGTTCCCTTACAGAAAGTTATTACATGAAATAGTTATAAATACACTTCCTTATGCCTGAGACATTGTTTTATGACAGTTTTATAACAAGGCTTTGGGCTAAACTATCTATCTATCCATCTACATATACATATATGTTAAAAGTAAAGAAGGTTTTTTCCTTTTCCTGTAAAGTTATCATTTTGGAGATTTTTCCGACAACAGCGATGTTTGTTTACATCTCAAAAATTGCATTATGCAGAATTTTTTTAAAAATCGTGGAATTCACCTTTAAAAAAGGATGTATATAACTACAAATATGATGATCTACTCTACACTGCTTGTTATTGTTATTTACAGGCTCTTTATAACTGGCCTAAACGCTAAATTTAGAGCTCTAGGAGTACTGACCATACCTATATTATACCCAGAAAAGGGTACTGTGATGAAGTTTATCACGATAACGAATCATTTATTGCTGCACGTCCTGCAACATTTGTCTTTCAATTCTGCAAACATTACATTTACAATCAAAGGCAACTAACTCAAGAGATTACAGAGGACTATAATGCATGTAATGCACATGATGCATACAGCAGATGACAACCAATCCACGAACAGCTGGAGCTGCAGAAAAAACCTGTGGGCTGAGATATCGTACGTGGCCACAAAGCACATTTTCTTCCTTTGATCAATGCACATGTGAAAGTAATTGAGAGCTGCAGATTCCTGCACGGACTGATAGCAGGTATCAGGGTTTCACACGCAAACTCCTTCAGTACGTAATATGTTCTAAAACCAGCCCAGATCTTCAGGCCTGCTCAATGAATCCACTCCATGAAGCAGAGCAAACTCTGCTTTTACACTGCATGAATGAACATACAGCTCTGTGAAATTTTAAAGACACTGTAAACACAACTAATCCTCTCCATCACTACTGAATTCAATACACTGGCTAAGGAGTGCACTTATTATGTAATTATCTCAAAGGGGAAGGCCACCAAACTTTTAAAACTTCTATATAATTCACTCATTGAGACAGTCGAGTGTTCTGACATCAGGCTGACCCGTTTCATGTAATAACTTTCTGTGGAGGAGTTTTTATAATCATTTAACATGAGACATCTGGTTTCTAAGACCACCACCACTGACGGCTTTGGCTTCCAGCATACATAAAAACAAGATTAAACAATTACTGTGCAACATTCTGTTTCACAATGTCTTGTGCTATAAATCCAGCACACCCCGTCCCTTTACAGCCCCTCCCTAAAACTCACTTTCAGTCAGGATGTGGCATATTTTTAATTGAGCTCAAGCCAAGATGACAGAAAGAGTCTTTGGTCAACAATAAAAGTAGAACCAATTCATGTGTTCGGGAACACTTTGGGTTTGAAGAATCCAGTGAGGAACAACTACAAATATTGTTTAGGATTTGTTATATGGTGGCGTCTGCACCACAAGGCCATACAAACAATTAGTTTAATCAACTGAAATTCAATCTGTTAAGAAGTGCAATAAATGCATGACTTTTCCAAAGTCAGTGTGTAATCGTGTGATCTCAATATTGACCAAAATAATCGTGATTATGATTCTGTGCCATAAACAAACAGCCCTGCGATCACTGTGAACAATTCTGACTCGGTAAGTTTCTCTAGAACGGAGCATTTCACACCAAACCACTCTGAACGACTCTGTTTACATCTCGACCATTTAATTATGCAAAAAAATAGGTGGGGTTCCCCTTTAGGCTACTTAACAGCGTCCACTTTTTTGGAAACTATCAGTAAGTGACATGAATGAATGAAAAAAAAAACGAAAAAGCGACACTTTGAAAACTAAAAACAAGAGCTTTAAGGAGCGAAAACTAAAACCGAACATATCTTCAACAACGTACACACTTTAAATTCTGAAACAAAAAAAACTCCAGAAAACTCACGTAAACTGTGTCGAACTCTCCATCGAAGAAGAACACAAGCTGGTCCAGGGTGATTTTTTGAGTTACGTCCGTCCCGGAGTCCAGAAGCTGGTCGCCGAACTGAACTCCGTAGTCCAGCAGGTCGCTCCGGCTGAGACAGTTCACAGTCACGGCTAAAACGAGGAGCACCCCAAACACAGCCGGGCAGGGACGAGAAACACCGGCCATGGCTGCGGCTGTGCGGCTCTACGGGCATGTGGACGTCCACCGCTCCCCTCCAGGAGGAAACTCCGGAGGGCGGAGTCAAGGGGCCTTACTGCTTTCACTCAACACGCTACGGTGTGATTGGCTGTAGCATCGCCAGGCTCCGCCTCCTGCGCGAGGACAGAGCGTTCCTCCGCTAGTTGCGTACCGTAAAATCCGATGATCAAATTTCACCGACAGTTCTGTAATTCATCAGTTTCATCTTTGACACGTTCAACTTCGCGTCTGATAGAAGTGTAAATTTGAGGGTAAACGTTTAAAAAATGCCTGAATTGTGGTTAACTAACCAAAGATATTAATAGCATCATCGATAATACAAATAATAAGGATAACAATCGAAAATTACTTATTTAACTATTCATTTATCTACATGGCAACCCAGTACAAAAGTGGATGTGCTTGTTTTACATCAGAGACGTTATAAATGAGGAGACGGTCACTGGTTGAAACATGAATGAGAAAGCTCGTCACATTCAACATGGCGTCTGTTTACAGAGAAAGTCCCGCCTTTCGATAAAAAGAGCCAATCAGCTCGCTGGTTACGCCACAAGCGGGAACACCGTCATTGTAGAGAGTGAGAGAACAAGCTGAAAAAAATACATTGTACATCACGTTTTGGTATCAGCTCAGCTAACTTGGAACGTCGACGGAGATAGTACTGAAAACTACCGGGTACTAGGTACCAACTTTTGCCAAATGGAAAACCAACAAGCAGAATTGAGTCGAGTTGTACCATGCAGTGGAAAAATCGCCTAAAATGCCAGAGGGCGCCCATGAGCAAGTCCTAAATAAGCAGGGGTAAATGGAGCTAAACAGCTACAAATGACAGGTTAAAATAGTTTCTGACCACTTGTCCAGGACCTTCCCCTAACTTTGGAAAATAGAAGGATGTATTTCACTTAAAAAGCCATGGAAACATACCCAAATATTTCCTTTTTTCTACAGCAAACAAGTTTGGGGCAGCAGGAGGCTAGTATTCCTGCTACTGAGTGCTCATTTATTGACATTACGGCTCCTGAGTGCCGATTAGTTAGCATTACTGCTACTGAGTGCTGGCTGGTTAGCATTACTGCTACTGAGTGCTGATTGGTTGGCATTACAGCTCCTGAGTGCCAATTAGTTACCATTACTGCTACTGAGTGTTGACTGGTTAGCATTACAGCTCCTGAGTGCCGATTAGTTAGCATTACTGCTACTGAGTGCTGATTGGTTAGTATTACTGCTACTGAGTGCTGATTGGTTGGCATTACAGCTCCTGAGTGCCATTTAGTTAACATTACTGCTACTGAGTGCTGATTGGTTAGAATTACAGCTCCTGAGTGCCGATTAGTTAGCATTACTGCTACTGAGTGCTGATTGGTTAGCACTGGAGACATGGCTACACCAGGACATTCCGGATGACAATGTTTCCATCGATGGCTTTCAGACTAGCCGGGCCAACCGGGGCTGCACCGAGAGTGGTAAGCGTAAGTGAGGGGGGCTCACTGTGCTAGTTAATAACCACTGGTGTAACCCTGGTCACATTACCATCAAAGAACGTGCCTGTTGGCCGGACATTGAGCTGTTGGCTGTTGGACTCAGGCCATATTATTTACCTCGGGAGTCCTCCCATGTTATGATCGTGACTGTTTACGCAACCCGACGTCAGTGTGTGACGTCATTCATTCAACCATTGCGCATCTCCAAACTCAACACCCGAGTGCCTTTATCACCATATCGGTTGACTTTAACCACGTCACTATGGCCAAGGTACTACCAAACTTCACTCAGTATGTGGACTGCCCCACCAGAAAGGAAAGAACACTGGACCTGCTGTATGCTAATGTTAAGGACGCATACAGCTGCTCCCCCCTCCCCCCTCTGGGTAAGTCAGACCACAACTTGGTGAACCTCAGTCCCTGGTATGTGCCGCTGGTGAAGAGTCAGCCTGTGACCACACGGACAGTAAGTAGATGGTCTGAGGAGACTTACGAGGTACTGCAGGACTGCTTTGAGGCTACTGATTGGCTGCCACTCTGTGAGCCGCACAGAGAAGACATCAACGAGCTCACTGAATGCATCACGGACTACATTAACTTCTGTGTGGATGCTGCTGTGCCAACCAGAACTGTTAAATGTTACCCAAACAACAAGCCGTGGGTAACAAAGGACATTAAAGCTCTCCTTAACAACAAAAAGAGGGCCTTCAGAGCTGGAGACAGGGAGGAGGTGAGAACGATCCAGAGGGAACTGAAGACAACTATCAGGGAGGCTAAGAACAAATAGGAGGAAGCTGGAGTGAAAACTCCAGCAGAACAACATGAGGGAGGTCTGGAGTGGAAAGAAGACCATCACCAGCTTCAGGTCCAGCAACAACAGAGGAGTAGAGGGCAGTGTGGACAGGGCCAACAAGCTAAATTTGTTTTTTAACAGATTTGACACTGCAGGCTCTGTCCTTCCCCGTCCTGACTCCTCTGCTGCCGGTCCTCAGCAGCCCACTCCACTCACCCTCCCTCCCCCTCCTGATAGCCTGCCCCCCTCCTGTGACAGCCCACCTCACACCCTCCCCCCTCCCCCACACGTCACCTCTACAGTGAGTCTCACTGCTGACCAGGTGAGAAGACAACTGAAGAGACTCCACACAAACAAGGCTACAGGCCCTGATGGGGTTCCCCCCAGGGCGCTTAAAGCCTGTGCCTCCCAGCTTTGTGGAGTACTGCACCATGTTTTCAACATGAGCCTGAGTCTCCAGAGGGTCCCTATGATGTGGAAGACGTCCTGCATTGTTCCTGTTCCGAAGACGCCGCAACCCAGTGACGTCAAGGACTACAGGCCAGTAGCACTGACATCCCACGTCATGAAGACCATGGAGAGGCTCGTCCTGGATCAGCTCCGGCCCATGGTCCAGCCATTTCTGGACCCCCTCCTGGGAGTTGAGGACGCCATCATCTACCTGCTCAACCAAGTCTACGCTCACCTGGATAAGCCAGCCAGCACTGTGAGGGTCATGTTTTTTGACTTCTCCAGTGCATTTATCACCATTCGGCCTGCTCTTCTGGGTGACAAGCTGACAGTGTTGCAAGTAGATGCCTCCCTCGTGTCCTGGATTGTTGACTACCTGACTGGCAGACCACAGTATGTACGCCTGCAGCACTGTGTGTCAGACAGAGTGGTCAGCAACATTGGAGCCCCGCAGGGAACTGTCCTCTCTCCCTTTCTCTTCACCCTCTACACCTCGGACTTCAGCTACTGCACAGAGACCTGCCACCTTCAGAAGTTTTCTGATGACTCTGCAATAGTTGGATGTGTCAGCAGGGGTGATGAGGACGAGTACAGGGTGACGGTGAAGGACTTTGTTGCATGGTGCGAGCTGAACCATCTACAGCTCAACGTGACAAAGACAAAGGAACTGGTGGTGGACCTGAGGAAGGACAAGGCACCAGTGACCCCTGTGTCCATCAGTGGGGTCAGTGTGGACACTGTGGAGGACTACAAATATCTGGGAGTGTACACTGACAATAAACTGGACTGGGCTAAGAATACAGACGCCCTCTACAGGAAGGGCCAAAGTCGTCTCTATTTTCTGAGGCACCTGAAGTCCTTCAACATCTGCCGGACTATGCTCAGGATCTTCTATGAGTCTGTGGTGGCGAGTACTATCCTCTATGCTGTTGCATGCTGGGGAAGCAGGCTGATGGCGGCAGACGCCAACAGACTCAACAAACTGATCCGCAATTCCGGTGATGTTGTAGGTGTGGAGCTGGACTCGCTGATGGCAGTGTCGGAGAGGAGGATGCTGTCTAAGCTGCAGGCTGTTATGGACAATGGCTCCCACCCACTCTACGACACAGTGATGAGTCATAGGAGCACATTCAGTGCAAGACTCATTCTACGAAAATGCACCACAGAGCGCCACAGGAAGTCATTCTTACCTGTGGCCATCAAACTCTATAACTCCTCCCTCAATGTGTGACACTATGGTTCATCTGTGCAATATTCAATACCAAATTGTACTGTTGTGTACAAAACTCAGAGGTGCAATAATTTGAACTGCTTTACACTGTTTCATATTTATTTATTATCACTTACTGTATTTGTAAGAATTTAAAGGTGTACATATTGCAAATTTCTCTCGTTTTAAATTATTTGTTTTAAATTATTAGTGTTTATTCTTTTACATTAATGGTTGCAACTGTAACTACTGCAATTTCCCTCTGGGATCAATAAAGTATTCTGATTCTGATTCTGATTACTGCTACTGAGTGCTGACTAGTTAGCATTACTGCTACTGAGTGCTGATTGGTTGGCATTACAGCTCCTGAGTGCTGATTGGTTAGCATTACTGCTACTGAGTGCTGATTGGTTAGCATTACTGCTACTAAGTGCTGATTGATTAGCATTACTGCTACTGAGTTCTGATGGGGTGGTGAGCTGATCCGTGCATTGGCTGAGTTTCCACTGGCTGATTTGAACATGCATGAGGCGCCATTATAAAGACCTATAACTGGAATTTAAAAGCGCTCAAAAAATAACAGCAGTGTTAAAATGTTTTATGCTGTTCTATGTTCGGGAAATGAACGTATTCTTCTACGTAAAACGATTAAGCATTTACAAACTATAATTTTGCTGAAATGCTCTGTATTACCACATTCATTTTGGACTCGCTCTTGTGCGCCTTCTAGTGTTCGACAAACCTGGAAGTCATTAATGAGTGGAGTTCTCCTCCCTACAAATTCCCTCTAAACTTCCTTAGTAACACTTGAAAACACTAGTAACTCTACTGTGATAAGTTCTTAAACCAGCCTAGATCTTCAGACCTGCTCTGTGAATCCACTCCATGAAGCAGAACAAACGCTGAGCTATTACACTGCATGAATGAACATACAGCTCTGTGAAATTTCTCTGTTAACAAACCTAATCCTCTCCATCACTACTGAGTTCTCTACATCCCTTTATTGGTCAAAATAGTTTACATGATTTTATTCAGGGGAATTTCAACTGTTAAGATGTAAACAGTGATCCAGATTTCATGTGAAATGCTCATAATGAATCAGAATTGTTCTCACGGTGGTGATAAGAACCAGATGTCTGAAGAGTGGAATGTTCCCACAGAGCTGGTACTATTTGGGTTGTGGATCATTCTCAGCACTGCAGTGACACTGACGTGGTGGTGGTGTGTCAGTGTGTGTTGCGCCGGTACAAGTGGATCAGACACAGCAATGCTGCTGGAGTTTTTAAACACCTCAGTGTCACTGCTGGACTGAGAGAAGTCCACCAACCAACAAAGCAATGAGCTACTGTCTCTGACTTCACATCTACAAGGTGGACAAATAAGGTAGTAATGTCTAACAGAGTGGACAATGAGTGAGCACAGTGTTTAAACACTCCAGCAGCACTGCTCTGTCTGATCCACTCGTAACAGCACAACACACACTAACACGCCGCCACTTGTGATTCATCTACATTGCAGGGCTTTAGAGCATGAACTGCCCGTTTAAGGTCTTGCCACAGCATCTCAATGGGATTCAAGTCAGACTTTGACTCGGCCACTCCAAAACCTTAGTTTTGTTTCTTTTGAGCGGTACAGAGGTGGACTTGCTTGTATGCTTCAGGTCATTGTCCTGCTGGTAGCTTTATGCCAGAGGTAACAGTACCCATGTCTTCCAAAAATTCCACCTTTGACTCATCTGTCCACAGGATATTATCCCAAAAGTCTTGGAAGTCATCTACATGTTTTGCAAATGAGAGACAAGTGTTTGTGCTCTTTTTGGTCAGCAGTGGTTTGTGCCTTGCAACTCTCCCACGGATGCCATTTTTGCCCAGTGTGTTTCTTATTGTGGAATTATGTACCTTGACATTAACTGTACCAAGTGAAGACCTGCAGTTCTTCAGATGCTTGTCTGGGTTCTTTTGTGACCCCCTGGATGAATCATTGATGCAATCTTGGGGAAATTTTGGTAAGTCAGCCACTCCTGAGAAGGTTCGCCACTGTTCCAAGTTTAGGCCTTCCAGCCTAAAACTATATCATATTTGTTGTGTTGTGCAGTCTGCAGTGTTATATCCTTCAACCTTATCGGTGTGAGAGAATTTACAATTTTATATTGCTTTCATGTTTTCGTTCATCATCATGTTCTCTTAATATAATACTCAGCATGCATTATGCAAGTTTGTCAATCACTGGGAATCCCTGTGGTGTCATTCAATCTGCTAGTCTGGCCTAATCTATCGGCTAATAAAAATGACAAAACTAGCATTAGTGTAACTCTTACCTTAGCCATCAAACAAAATTGTAAAAAAAAAAACAAACAGATTCTTTCTTTATTTAGTACAAAATTGATGTACAGAGAAGTCTGTAGCTGTTCCAGCCGAGGAAAAGAAACAAAACTGTTAACTCAGTAATATCTGAAATTTTAAAATTTGGTCTGTATGTTCTCTGGGCTTGGCTGAGCACAAATCAGAAGAATTTTCTTTAATCGATCAAAGCATATGGCTAAAAATAAGTTTTTATTTCTTAATTGGTCCAATTAAATCTAGTCTTTTGGGACTATTCCTTTATTTTTTTAATTGTGAATAAAACTTTGAAAATTACTTGTAATCAAAAAACTGTACTCCTTGATGTTCATTCAAGGTGTACAACATTTCATTACTATACACCAATCAGAACAAGTCCTGTGGTGTTTTGTCTGTGGAACCTGAACATGTTACAGATGCAGCACATAGAGATTAGGTTGAAAAGTGATAGAATATTCCTTTAAGTTATGAAGATCACAACATATTAATTGTGTAAATCTGAACTCTCTTTGAGTCTACTGAAATAATTGGATTGATAGATTGGTAGTCTAACACTGGTTATCAGACCACTGCTCTGAAAAAGGCTTGATGTCTACTTGCTCACTAATGATTTTTTTTTGGACAAAACTAAAACAGGAAGAACGTAGACACAACATAGATCCTGCACGTCTGATTAAAGGACAAGAGACAGATCTTCCACAAATCCACAACAAAAGATAGCAGATTTGGCAGGTGGTAGGGGGTGGGGTGGGGGGTTGATCTCTCAGAGATCAGCAAGAAACAATCAGCTTCACAGCAGAGAATATATTTTCTTTCAAAAGAAGATTCTCAAATGGACGCAGGTGGACAATAAAGCTTAGCATTGTCACAGGGATTCTTACTGCTATCCATTAAGGAAAAAAACCTCATGACACGAGTGAAACTGGGACTAGACACACACACACACACACACATCTTCTAAACCGCTTATCCTTCTGGGTCACGGGGGAGGGGACTAGACATCACTTTAAAAATATTTAAAAATAAAGGAATCTTTAAAAGGGCTGTCAAAACTGCAGAGTCGCTCAAATGCTTCAAAATCTCTTTAACAAAAGAACATTTCATTAAACATTATCTTGCACGTGTTAAAATGTCTTAGTCCTTCTTTCCTACCTTCTATCTTTGGGCTTCTTTCTTTCTGTCCTTGGACTTCCTTCCTTCCATCCTTTTTTCCTTCTATACCTTGACTTCCTTCCTTCCCTCCTTCTATCCTTAGACTTCCTTCCTTCCTTCCTTCCTTCCTTCTTTCCCTCCTTCTACCCTTGGACTTCCTTCCTTCTATCCTTGGACTTCCTTCCTTCCATCCGTTCTTCCATCCATCCATCCATCCATCCATCCATCCATCCTTCTATCCTTAGACTTCCTTGGTTCTATTCTTGGATTTCCTTCTATCCTTGGACTTCTTTCCTTCCTTCCTTCTCAAATGCAAGTGAAGGATGGATCATGGTCTCATAATGCCCCTCCTGGCACAAGAGTTTTTGGAGGACGCCCTGCACTCCAATAATAACAAACCTGAAAAAAACAAGACCTGAAATGTAAGATTAAACAGTACACATTCACATTTATGTCCATTTTAAGCAACAGTGTAAATAAATCAGAAACAAAATAAGCCTTAATATCCAAAGAACCTTATTTTATCTTGTGTTTCATGTTTAAATGACCATTTCCATCATTTATCCCTTAGAATTAAACAGGCTGGTTTTTTACTGTGCCTATAAGACTGATATATGTAAATGAGCTCTGTTCTCATTCAAAGAAGCAGTGCAGACTGAAGCACTCCTTATAAACTGAGTGTGAATGAGGAGGCTGAACTATTATAGGCTGAATAGGTGGATGTGTGACGCCACTAAAACGATGAGCTATTTTTGTAGCGTAGTGTCCATATATGGACTGTCTGGAGTGGGAAGTGAATGGTATGTTTTCATCCTTTTACAGAGTTCACATACTACACCAAACTCTTATTTCAAAAAAGTGAGGAAATTTCAGTTTCAGATTTTTGTGTTTTCTATATTCCTTTTAATGTGTCAGCAATAATTGAAATAGAAAACTGGCCTGAAAACAGGTAACATTTCTTAACTTATTTTTTTAGTCATTTGTACATATTTAAAAGCTACTTGTTTATCTCATGTTTGCATCTGCAGTGGATTGTCCCAAGTATTTGAGCCCCTCGCGCGTAGTGGTCTGAGGCCCCCCAAGGCCCCTGGCAGTCAGAGGCTCCTGGACTCTGTGGACACTGGCCCCAGTGGCCTGGTCAGTAACCCATCCCTGATGTGCTTTTTTAAATACCAACACTACAGTGTTGGAAATAGTAAAATTCAATATCGCCATCTGGTGGTTAACACAGTCGGTACGACATGTGACGTAATAAGAGGAGGCTCAGCATCCTCTGATGTGGAAAATTCTTAGTGGCAGCGTTCATCCCTAGAGAAATATGGCCATAACAGACTGTGATGTGGCTCCTCCCCAATACACGCATGCACGCACACACAGATGGAGAGGTGTTCACATTAATGCCTCCCTTTGTGCCCCTCTGTGTCTCTCACTCTCTCTCTCTGAACAGCTCCACCAATGACGATCTTCCCATTTAGATCATGTGTTCATGCTCCTCTCTCCACACTGCTGCAAGAAGCCGGGCTTATTCGCTTTATTCTTTTTATATCTCCTCCCCCTCCCTCCCTCGCTCCCTCCCTCACTCATTCTCTCCTTCCCATTCTCTCTCTTCCGCTTGTACGAGATGGTCAGGTACATCCGCACTGAGAGCCATCATGAACAGAAAAATGGACGACTCCAGCGAGACCAAAAACGACAGATCCGGTGGTGCACCTTTTTGGGGTGAGGCTACACCTTAACCTGCAAACGAGAGAACGACAGAGAGATAGATAGAGAGAGAGAGGAGAGAAAGAAAAGGAGACAGAAAAGGAGACGTGCAGGGAAAGAGAGAAAGACAAAAAGAGAGAGAGGAAGATAGATCTAGAACATAAGAAAAAGAGACGGAGTGTTCGAGAGAGAGGGTGGGACTGACAGAAAAGGAAGGAGAGAGGAAAAAGGGACGTAAGAAAGACAGAGACAGAGGGAAAGTGAGAGGGGGAGTGACAGAAAGTATAATAGAGAGAGTGCAGGGAGAGATGGAGGGCTCTTCTCCATCAGTGGAGGAGAGAAGAGGGGAGGTGTCCAGGTCTTCGGGGGGTAACGGGTCCCTCTCCCCACCGACCCTCAGCCCCGCTGTGCCGCCCTACGTAAAGCTGGGCCTGACGGTGGCCTACACGGCCTTCTACTCGCTCCTCTTCGCCTTCGTCTACGCCCAGCTGTGGCTGGTGCTGCGATACCGGCACAAGCGCTTCAGCTACCAGACAGCCTTCTTGTTCCTGTGTCTGCTGTGGGCCGCCCTGCGCGCCCTGCTCTTCTCCTTCTACTTCCGAGACTGCGTGACGGCCAATGCGCTCGGCCCCTTCTCCTTCTGGCTGCTCTACTGCTTCCCTGTCTGCCTGCAGTTCTTCACACTCAGCCTCATGAACCTCTACTGCGCACAGGTGAGAGCTGAGGGGGCGGAGCTAGAAATCCTGGGCCTTCCTAAGAGAAAGTGAAAACTAATGAATAATGTTAATTAATCAGCCATGACATGTTTGGAGTCTGATGATTTACACTGGGGGCTAATGTACTTCAATCTTGCCTCAAACTTGAGTTATTTTATCTAGAAAAATAGACAACAGTTCTACTCGTAGTGCATGCCAGGCAGTAGCACTGGGGCACATGGGGGTCTATGGGGACTGGGCCCCCTAATATCTATACTGGACCCCATATATCACTACTTAAGCCATTTTACAGTACTGTGCAAAAGTCAGAGGCCTCCCTTCATTTATTTAATTTCCAGTAAAAAACTTTTAGGAGTTTTTTCTACACTTCCAAAGTTCAGTCTTAGAAGTTGGTTGCATTTTCTGCTTCAAACAATCCAAGTAATCCCAAACACATTCAGTGATGTTGAGGTTTGGACTCTGGGGTGGTCAGTCCATTGTTCTGAGAACACCAGCAGCTTCCTTGTTTAAAGTGTCTGTGACCTTTTCTCAGTGAGGTCTTCTTGACAGTTACACATCCTTTCAGACCCATAGGGCTGAGTTGTCCTCTCACAGTGGAAGGATGATTAATGTTTTTATTTTCTCTATTCATTTTTGAACACCAAACTTCTGTTTTGTCCTATTAGCTTCCTGTGACTTGCTTCTTCCTTATACAAGTGGATCATCTTATATCTGATTATCTCATAAATGCCTCCTGAAAAATGAATAACTTCTACTTAATGACCACTTTGATTAGAAATTAAACAAATGAAGAGTGGTCTCTGATTTTTGCACGTTTGCATGTTTATGAATAACAGTGCATCATACAGTGTCAGAGGCCACATAAGCAAGTCTTTGAGTTTGTTTAACAACTCCACACAACCTGGTGCCTATCGGCTTACATTATTGGTTAGCTACGTTAGTCTTGTAGTTCCAGTGCAAAGCCAAAGACGCAAACTTCAGACACCAAACATGTCTTGGTTGATTAGTACATTTGGGGCAAAAGTGAAAATTGTCTACATTTCTATTTGTCTAAAAAGTACCACTTTATTGTAGTAGTGAGTGGTATGGGCAAAAAGTTATATGACAGAATAGTTAAGAACTGACAATTTGGGTGTATATTACGGTATAGTGTATTTAAGTTTCTTTTTAATAAACCATTTTGGATGCTCAAGTAAACCTTTTTAGTAGATTAACAATGGCATATTATTCTGGATATCCCTTCACTTTTAATACGATCCATATTTAACAACTGGAGTAAATCTAAAATACTTTTATTGGGCAAATTAGTAAAAAACAGCAAAAACAGTACGAAGCTTAAGTCAGCTTCTTATTAGAATTTTCGCATTCTACCTTAAATCAGGCATCTAGGCTCCAGAATGTAACTGCTGCACCATTTAAGGTGGAACAGGAAAACTTTAAAAGAAGGTGAAGAGGAAGCCAACTTTAGCCTTGTAAAAATGGGCCTGAATGTTATTTTACGTCCGAACGTCATTTTTCTCACATGTTCATCTCCTACACTCGATCTTTAATCTAGAATTTGAAAATCTGGAATTTAGTAAACACTATCAGTTCACACTATCAGTTTTAACTGAGGAGCTGCTGATCCTCTTGGCTTGTAGGCCGAGACCACAGTGTTGCCTGAAGCAGCTGGCTGACCGAGGAGGTGCTGTACAGATCTAGCCAGCTAGACTTCATGCTAGGTTAATGGCTGACAGCTAACCCCAAGATACTGGCTTTTCCTTCCACTCTCTTCTCCCCCCATTAACTCATAAACTCATTACAGTCTGATGTCACCTCCTTTTACAATAATCTGGACTAACTTACCTCAGGCTGCAACTCACTACACTAGAGGTGTGGCAATCAGCGTCTAAAGCACTGTTTTAACATTGCTTTATCTGCATTTATTTGCATACCGGTATAATCGTAATAAAAAAAATAATACCTTAAGAAGAATTTCAACCATTATACCCAGATGAACTGATATATTGCCCACTACTACTTTAATGGCATGTCAAACCCCTGGGATGTTCCAGGTTCCTTGTGTGGAAATAATTTATAGTAGTTACTGAATAATATGTTTCCATATTATTGTATTAACTGAATAATAAGCCTGCAGTTTAAGGGGCTAACTTAAGTTTCTAAATGTCTATTTTAAGCCAGTATGGATGCGAAATAATGCATTTTTCTTTTATACTGTGACATATTTGTGAGTGAAGCACAGTATCAAGGGTCTCTGTGCTAGCTGAGCATTTTCTCTTGATGATAGGTGGGGGTGGGAGGTGAAACATAATATTACTGGCTAATATTTTTCTCGCTTACTGCTGCATGGTGACGTAATCAAAAATCAGAAGACGGGAAATGTCACTACATTTTAGTGGAAGATCACGGAAAACAAGATTTATGAATCGTGTTTAATACGTCCAGGGACTTGAGTTAACAAGGTCAATAAGGTCAATCTTGATTATAGGCTCACTTTATGTCTTACAACATAATGACTGTATTGATCCAATATTGGATCAGTAGATGATCAGTCTAACGATGATTACTGGACCACAGCTCAAATGTGTGAAGTACTCATTTTGTCTAGTTTCATGGTACTGAATAATTAATAGGAGTTAATACATGAATAATTGAATAATAAGTGAATAGTTAATGAGTGTTTAGACTAAACATGGAATATTAAGCCTGCGGTTGGAGGGGTTAAGGTGGTGGGAGCGCAGACAGATCGAGACAGGACAAAGGATCCAGTCTTTTTGATCATTCAGAAGCTCCGCACATGCTCCTCCATGTGCGACCTACATTTCAGAGGGAACCTGCATTACATATTGATGACGTGGATACACACGCTGAAGCACTGTGTTGGCTGGACCACTGTAATACCACGTCAAAGGCCTCATATAGATTAAAACTGCTGCTAAAAAAAGCCATAGCCAGCCACTGCTATGTATTCATTCAGGCAGGATTGGGAAAAAGACTGGCTTAGACTGTTAGCATCAGTACTGCACTGCATTTCAAACAACGGGACTATCTGAAGTATTATACTATAAGTAAAAGGCATGCAGCCATTTCAGTGCAGATCTTTCCAGGTTTTGAACTACAGTCATTTCCTTATCCCTCAAAATGGGATAAACTGAAGTGCTATCATCAACTTGCTTGGCTCTGGTTTACTTAAGGAGTACCCAAGCATTTTCTGACCTAATCTGTACCTGCCACATCTTTATGTAGTCAGTTCATGTAAAATGATGTCCTGATCTTAGTAAATAACACAAAACTGTGGACTGTGGAAATATACTTATAATAGAGGTCAATAGAAGTCAATGGGCAGGTGGTAAAGCATGTGTTTTAAGTACTGGTACTGTCATTTGTTCTTTTAGAAACACAGAGAAATGTGTTACTATTGTCTATAATAAATAAACACATGATACAGATGCAGCAGATACAGCTTAGGTTAAAAAACACTAGAATATTCCTTCAAAAGTCCCATATCCCATATTTTCCATTTCCCAACCTTCTTTGTCCCTTCAAATTAAAAAGATTCTTTTGTTTGTGCTCTTTTGTGTCTTTAAAACATGTAATATAAATATGTGATATGTAAATTACTACTGTTCTGATTGGCTGCCATTTATTTCGCATTATTTCAAAAGCAGGCCTGGCTGAAACACTCCTTATAGCTTGAAAGGGCGGGGCTAAACTGCTATAGGCTAAAAAGGCTTGTGACATCACAAAAACAATGGACTCAAAATGGGCTGTTTTTTCCATATTTGAGCTGTAAGGACTGGGGAGTGAATGGCACATTTTGAAACATTTACACTGTTAGCATACTACATCAAACTCTTATTTCAAAAAAGTGTTTATGTGTTATGACATTAAGACAAATTGCTTGTTTGAGGTCTTGCAACTTGTGCTTTTTGTTTTTGTCCACGAGGCTGAGCGGAGCAGTCGGCTGACATCTTGTCTCCTTTTTTGTCATTATCAGGTTTTCTTCAAGGCTAAGTCGAAGTATTCTCCTCACCTGCTCAAGTACAAGTGAGTAATTAGCAGAACGGTGCTGTCAGCTGTCACTGTTCTCCATATTCATGCCTGTCCTGCCTTTCCCAATTTTCCCCTTAGCCCAAATGATCCAAGACTTCTTGTCTGAAGTTTACATTTTAAGTTTTGCAATGAAGCCACAAGGCTAACATAGCTAACAAGTAATGAATGGTTATGCCAGAGCCGGTTTATGAGGAGCCTGGCCACTTTTCCCCTGTTACAACAAAAACATGACTGCAAAATGTCAGAAGGCTCCCACGAGCAAATCATCAAAGAATGGGAGTGAATGGAGGTCAACGGCTAAAAACATAAATTTTAAATAGTTTCTGATTACTTGCCCAGAACTTTCCTTTAATTTTAGAAAGCAGAATGTATTTGACTAAAAAAGCAAAGAAATCTTACCTGTATATTTCCTTTTTTCTACAGCAAACGGGTTTTGGGCAGCAGAATGCTAACATTATTGCTATTAAGTGCTGATTGATTGGCGAGCGGAGCAGCTCATTGGCTGTTCGCGCTCACAGACGTCATGGACATACACGAGGCGCCGTTTTAAACTCCTATAACTCGAGTTTAAAAGCTCTTAAAAATATAACAGCAGTGTTAAAATGTTTTATGCTATTCAGTGTTCAGGAACTGAATGTATTCTTTTACATTAAAAATGTTTAAACATTTATAATATATTTTGCTCTAATGCTTCATCTTTACCCATTTATTTTGGACTGGCTCAGCTAAGCTAATAGCGAGTCTTGTTTAGCAACAATCCAGCAGTGCCCCTCTTCTCGTGCTGGGGCTGAATCTCAAATGACTCCCTGCGCCCTACATATACGTAGGAATTTAAATACTGGATCCTGCACCACAACATAATAATATATAATATAGCTAAGAAATAGCTATTTGGGACTTGGTCACATCCATACTCGATAAATGATGCAATATTTGCTTGTAGAGGCTAGAAATTCTAAAGTTTCATACCTAGCACACTATATACGGAGTATTGAGCCGTTTGGGATTCAGCCAGGGTTTGACGCTAATTACCTCTGCCTGAAACACGAACGTTTGAGGCTTGTAATCCATTCAGGTGACATTCTTTAGACTTTTATACTGCAGTTTTACAGTGAATCATATCGTGAGTACTTATTTCAAGCCTGTCATATTAATGATGGAGTTGTTTAGGGTGTTTGCTATCTTTTATCTTCCTGTTTGCTAGCTGAGCAGCCTAGTTCTAGCTAAGAAAATAAGTTCCTCAGTTTAAACAATAAACGTGTTCTTACTTCATCAGTACACTCGGTGGTCCCTGCGAGCAGAGTGAGAGTCAAAGATGATTCCATTAACAGCACAAGGGTTTTTCGTGCCGTGGCGCAGTGATATACAATTCACTTGTTGTGAACCAGTCGTAGCTGTGGGTATATCGTGGATTTGCAGAACCAAAAGTCCAGGGGGTACGGCTGGATCTGATCCAACTTCTCCCACGTCGTGTTTTAATTGGTCTGAACTAGATCCGTCTCCTATATGGTAAGTGGAGCTGATAAAATGGACAATGAGTGTAGAAAAAAGATAGAATGAGCTATTAAAGTGGCTTATCATGGTATTTAACATTTAATATGATTTTTTTAGGTATATTGTCATTTTTATTAGACTTATGGGAATGTGTGGAAGTCATATCAAATCCTTTTAAATGTAAAAAAAAATCATTATAAATATTTTTTTATTATGAAATTCCAGGATTTAGTTGATAAAACACAGTTATGTGGGTTATTTTGACCTGTCATATGTGCATTCTAGTGTTTAAAAACGGTCAGCGTTTTCAACTCGAACCCGTCTATCATAAGTACTCTTGAGATGAAGGCCTACAGAACGGACTTTGTACCGTAATGTGAAAAAAGCTTTTCGAGTTTTGACAAATGAGTGTGAACGTGGTGAACCATGAGCGGTTATAAAGGCTGTGTTGTGGCATTCAGGACGGAGCAACATCGAAAAAAAAACAAAAACACCAGCAACACCTGCGGGTTTCCCACTGATTAAAACGCGACAGGGTAGACCAATGAAATAAATCGCAGGCAGAAAACCTAAGTGACACATAGTAGTTTAAAGACCAATGGAAATGCGATGATTTTAGACCAATGAAAAGAAGACGTGGGCGGAGTTGGATCAGATCCAGCCGTACCCCCTGGACTTTTGGTTCTGCAGCGAGTAATAGTTGGGATTTTACAACTGCTTCGAACGCAGCTCAGCCAATCAGATTATTAGGCCGTCAGTTCAGATCCTGAACCACAGTGAAAAAAAATTCTGATTTCTGTTGGACTTTTCAAGAATTTAACCCTTTTGTTTCCAACCAAAACTTAACAATGAAATAGGAGTAGTACTGCAATGTGTACAGAGTTTAAATACAACAAGTTTGATGATTATATTTAGTAAAATTAAATAATTACAGGCATATTTTGGTTTGTTTAACAAAATCCATTAGGCCTTCTCTTAAAAATGGACAAAAGTGTGTAGTAGCAACCATATGACGCTAACCAAATTACATTACATGTAAGTTACATTAGCCTCTTAGGTCCAGGATGAAACTGCATAAATTTTACTTTTTTCTGCACAGAGTCTATTGAGCTTTAACTGCTTATTCAGTCTTTCACTCTCTGACGTCTAATAGGATGAACAGCCATTAGAAGCCATCTAAATAATTATACCGGCGTAGTAGTAATATGACATGATACAACCTCTCTCTCTCTCTCTCTCTCTCTCTCTCTCTCTCAGGTTCCCCCTGTACCTGCTCTTTGTAGGTGTGAGTCTGCTATTCCTGCTGGTCAATCTGGCCTGTGCTCTACTGGTTAAAATGACAGACACGCAGGTGAAGACCATTGTGCTGGTGCGGGTCACCATTAATGACTCGCTCTTCGTCCTCTGTGCCATCTCTCTCTCTGTCTGCCTCTACAAGGTGGCCAAGATGTCCCTGGCCAGCATCTATCTGGAGTCAAAGGTAGACATCAGACCTCGAGAGAGGCAGTTAACACAGTCAAAGTAAAGGCAAAACCGCCTTACTGAGTTTATCTAACAAAGGGCAACATAACTTATTATTTCTGTTGCTGAAAAACATAGAAGAATCTGAAGTTTGCTTCTTTTATTTTGCACTGGAGCTACGAGGCTAATGTAGCTCACAAGCAGTGACTATAGTGACCATGTTGGCATTTTTGAGCTGTAAAGTTATAGACTTGCTTATGTGGTTTCTGACACTGTATTACACACCGTTATCTAAAAAAACAGACAAAATTCAGCCTTCAAGATGTCTGCTAGCACTGTTTTTAGCTATGCTATGTAATTTGTACTTTTGTTTTATAGCTAATAGTATGTCTTACAGTGTCATAAGCAAGTGTATTTGAGATTACATAACAACTTGACACAGTTTGAAGGGGCTCTGTACTTGAATGACTGCTAGGAAACCATGTCTGATAATTTCTTATTTTACTTACAAATAAGTAGGACAAATCTACATGCATTAAGAGGACACAACAGTAAGACATAACAAGCACTCTCATGTTTGGGAATCATTGTTAAATCTAAGTTTATAATGGTATTATTAATATGCTGCCTATTCTCTCTCCATCTTATTTGTTACAGGGTACTTCAGTGTGTCAGGTGACGCTGATTGGCATCATGGTGATTCTCTTGTATGCGTCTAGAGCCTGCTACAACCTCGTCGTTCTGGCTTTAACAGACATTGAGACCATTAACTCCTTTGATTATGACTGGTACAATGTGTCTGACCAGGTAAGTACTGAAAAAGTACAATGATGCAGACACACGTTTGCCACACAGTCTATATATGTGTGTGTGTGTGTGTATATATATATATATATATATACACACACACACCAACCAGCCATTTTCTAAGTGATAGGTTAACATATCTATAGAAATAACATACTGGAAGTTTAACATACTGGAAAAACAAAAAGTAAAATACAAAATGCGCCATAATGTTTGCACATGCCATATTTTGTTTTATTTTTTTTCCATATGTTACACTCAGCAAATAAACTGTAATTGTCCATTAAAATGTACATCAACTAAACATGTATAATTTGACAAGAGGTGCCTAGAGTTTTGCATACCACTATATTAATCACCGTTCAAAAAAAGTCTTCAACTTTACAAAATGTACCTTATTTTAATGTAAATTAATGTAAAAAAGATTTACAAGCAATTTTGGAGCTTTTCTATTGGTCCAATCATCAAGACATTTTCACACTGTCTCAAATGATGAAGAAAAAAAATGGAGATGTATATATGTTTTTTGAACAGTGATGATATATATACATATATGTCATTGTTGTCTTTTTACTTTCTCACCTTTGAGTGAAAGTTGATGTAATATAATTTTATTCTATGTCATTTTGGATCATTTCTGTTTGTCCATTTGTCATGAAATTTAGACACGATGTAAAGAGCAGCTAATATATCTTCAAACTAGGTCAAAAAATGAAAAACTAAAAATGTTTTGTTCTGACAGCAAAAATATATCAGTACTTAACTCTACTTAGTCCTACCCTACTAACCAAACTTTTGCTCAAGTCAGGAGCATTTTGCTGAGTTAGCCTCTTTTTTCCTCTAGTTTCCTGTATGATGAGAAAACGTTTGTCCTGAAAATATGTGGAAAACAAACACATGCTTACTCCCCTGTCCTGTCTATGATCCTGCAGGCTGATCTGAGGTCCAGTCTGGGTGATGCAGGCTATGTCGTATTTGGGATCATTCTCTTTGTGTGGGAACTACTGCCCACTTCCCTGGTGGTCTTCTTCTTCAGGGTTCGCAAGCCAGCACAGGACAGGGTGAGGAGAACTGTGTGCATGTGTGAGTGAAACACATGAAATTGATGAAATACAGTGTTACATTTATCTCTTTTTGCACGTCTTGTGTTGAGTGCAATTAAATATACAAGTATAGCTGAAACAGCTAAAGCTACGACAACTATGCCATATATAAGACAGAAACCACCTTTCATTTATTTAATTTCCAAACAAGTACAGCAAATGTATTTTTTTCAGGAGATATTTCTGAGATTAGATCTAAATTAATCCACTTCCATAATGAAGGAAAATAAGTGAAAAACGTTGAAAAACTGTAGTTTAAAAGCTACAGAGAAAATAAGACTCCTAACAACCATGCAAGACCTGGTAGACACCAAAACTGCTCCCGTCAGATAAACAGCCCTTACAGCTTTCATCTCTGTGAAAGAGGAGAAAATCAGGCTGCTTCAGATCTGAAAACATCCACAGTGTTTCTGTCCATGCTTCCACTGTGAGAAGACGACTCAGCACCCTGAGTCTGAAAGGATGTGTAGCTGTCAAGAAGCTCTTACTGAGAAAAAGAGACAGATACATCAAAAAAAGAAGCTGCTGGTGTTCTCAAAACAATGGACTGACCACCCCAGAGTCCAGACCTCAACATCACTGAATGCATTTGAAATTACTTATATGATGAAAAGCAGAAAATGCAACCAACTTCTAAGACTGAACTTTGAAAGTGTGGAAACATATCCTCGCAGATTTTTTTGAAAAACGGAAAGAAAGTCTCCCACAAAGATTGGAAGCTGTAATAAAAACAATACATTTAGTTGTTGAGGCTTCTGGGCAATTTTCTGTTGAATATACTCGATATTTTCACTTTTTCCTAGTATTGAAACTTGTACTTAATGGCCATTTTGACTGGATGTTAAAAATAAGAGAAGGGTCGTCTTAGATTTTGCACAACACTGCACATAAGCTTCCTATAATTTCCCATTTAGCTTTCACTATTTAGTTCTACTGTGGTTTTACAGTACACCTTTTTCACAAATATTTGTCGATACATTATAAATAATCATTTTGAATAAACTGTCAGATACTTAAAAAACTAATGCTGGATATTTCCTTGGGTCTAGAGCGCATCTGCCATCCCCAGTCATGTCTTCTCCACCAAGCGTTACTTCTTTGACAATCCCAGACGTTATGACAGTGATGATGATCTCGCCTGGGGCTCGCATCCCCAGAGCTCTTCTACAAGGTAAAATGAGGCGCATGCTGCATACCAGATGTTACGTAGTATTAGTCCCTACCACACGCAGCCTACACTCTCAGAAAAAAAGGTACGAAACTGTTACTGGGGTGGTACCCTCACGGGTACACCTCAGTACCTTTAGTCAGGGAACATAATTGGACCATAATCCAGTGAAATTATATTTTCTAAGTTGTATTGACTCCATACACCCCGTCTCATCTCCAGGCTTTCATTTTGTTGTTATGTTTTGAAACTTCAGTTTAAGAAAAGGTACTAATATGTACTTTTCACCTGGAAAAACTTATGAGGTACACAACTGGACCTCAAAACCACTGTTGTATCTTTGAGGGAACATTTACGTAGTTTGTACCTTGATGACCAAAAAATGTACCTGCACGGACCTTCATTTTTAACAGTGTACATCCTATTGAAAATACTAGCATCACCCTTTATCAAGGTAGCAGGCTTGAGCAAGGAATTTCCTCCAAATCTGGTATCATTCTTGTCCACAGTTGCTGGTATTTAGCATAACTGCAAAGTGATATTCAGCAAGCTGTAATCTGATAATGATAAAGCATAAATGTCTCTGGTCCTAAACCTGGACTTTATGGTTAAAAACACCTATTGTTTCTCAGTTTGTCCACAGACTGCTATGACTGGGGGAGCCGAAGCAGCAGCTTCCTCGTGCATCTGGGAGGAGACAATCAACGATCGTCCCCAGTGACCCCAGGGCTAAACCGCTAACACCTGGCCCACATATACTGCTATGTGTAAATTAGCTATGTGATTGCACCGCACTTTAATGTCCTCAACGTCTGCATATGCACACACGGTCAGCTACTCTAAATGTGTCAGTCAGCTAACACTACTGAAAGGACAGCCGCAGCCGGAAAGGAGATCATGCAGAGCAAGTTTCCATGGCAATCCCTGCTAAGAGATGTATCAGTTACCATGGTAATCCTAGCTAAGTGATGCACAAATTCCCATGATAATCTTAGCTAAGACATGCATGTTACCATGGCATTCCTGTCTGAAAAATGCAGGAGTTACCATGGTAATCCAGGTTAGTTAATGCATAAATTACCATGGTAACCACAGTTGCACGATCCATCAATTGCCATGGCAATCACCATTATACTATACATGTTACAATAATCTCAATTAATCTTGATCTTTGTTGAGTAATGCATAAATTACCATGCTAATCATTTTAACTTGTTTCATGAGTTACCATGGCAGTCTTAATCTTAGCTATATGAAATATGGATTACCATGGTAATTTCAACTAAGGCATTTATGAGTTACCATGGTAATTCCAGCTGAGAGATACATAACTAACCATGACAACCAATACTTCATGTTGCACAAGTTACCATGGTAATCCCTGCTAAAAGATGCACCATTTACCACAGCAATCCCAGTTAAGTGATTCATGAATTACCATGGTAATCCTAGCCAAGAGATATACCAGTTACCAAGGTAATCCATCTGAGAGATGCAGGAGTTACCATGGTAATCCTAACAAAATCATGTAGTCATCACCAGGTTATTACAGTTAAGTGATGCATGAGTTACTATGGTATTCTCAGTTAAGACATAATACATAGGTAATCCCTTGTAAGAGACACATAAGTTACCATGGTAAGCCCAGATGTGTAATGCATTAATTATCATGGTAAGCCCAGTTAAGTGATGGATCAGTTACCATGGTAATCCCAGTTAAGTGATGCACAAATTCCCATGATAATCTTAGGAAAGAGATGCACGTTACCATGTTATTCCCATCTAAAATATGCAGGAGTTACAATGATAATCGAATGGTAATGGTAATTTACACACAGCTGCACAATCCAACAGTTATCCAAGACATGCATCAGTTACCATCGTAATCCATTTGAGAGATGCACGAGTTACCATGGGAACCCTACCAAAATTATGTAATCATTACCATGGCAATTACAGTTAAGTGATGCACAAGTTCCTATGGTAATCCCAGTTAAAACATGCATGAGTTACCATGGTAATCCCATGTAAGGGACGCATCAGTTACCATGGCAATCCCAGATGTGTGATGCAGCTGTTACCATGATAATTCCAGCCAAGTGATGCAGCTGTTACCATGGTAATTCCAGCGAAGTGATGCAGCTGTTACCATGGTAATTCCAGCCAAGTGATACAGAAATTACTCTTATAATCCCAACAAGTAATGCAGGAGTTTCCATGGCAGGGCTAGATTTTCTGAAAAAATCGTAAAAAGGAGTGCTGTAGGCTGCACTGTAGCATCACAGACATGTAATAAAGGCAAAGGAAATTGCTAGTAGTGTAAAAGGTACACTAATCAAGATTTTAACATTTACAATTATTGAAATATTTAACAAAAAATTGAAACACCACATTTAATATTTACATTAAACATGTAACCATATATCCCATATTCATTTTGCAAAACAAAATGGTAAAAGTCAAATATGTTCTAATATCCCAGTACTCATTTGATTTTAAACATGTGGGGGAATCTTAATTAGAGTACCTCTAACACTGATGAGCACTAACAACTTAATGTACAATCAAGTCTAGTCAGCATCATATTAGTTCACGTTAGTGAAAATAAGGACCATAAAATAAGCTATTATGTACAGCATGAATGTGTTCTTTGCTTTTAAGTATTTGTATTAAAAATTATGTTTGTGAGAAAGTGAGTACTGTTCGTTCGTTTATTTATTCCCCCAAACAAATGATTAAATGATTACAGTATTTCATGCCTTTCGTTTATGATCAGTAAAGTGTCTCTTTTTGTGAAATTCAGTCATTTTCATGATTGTTGGTGGCTTGAGAATATTTTGTTGATCACACAGATTGTGACGGTTCACCAATAAAGAAATAATGTTTGAAAAGAACCGGTCTCAAGCTTTGCACTGTAAAAGAATTAGTTTCCCTGCTGAGCTAACTTAAGTGACACAAACACAGAGGGGAAAAATTACAAAGACACTTTTTGATGAATAGATTTATTCCTCTGTTCAAATAAATAGATTTGACATGTACACACAGTAACACAGGAGCAATGATACTGTAAACAGACAGTAAATTAGAGAAGTGAACAGGTTTCCTTCGTTTAAACACGGTGCAAAAATCAGGGCTGAGTTTCTCAAAAGCATTATCAGATCACACAACAGCTGCTCACGTTCGTGTTAAAGGTACAGTAAGGAGCATTAGCTGCAATGTCAATTGCATATTAACACTTCTGTTCATATAATCAGGAGAACTTTGTCCTCATTCACGTACAAAACAAATTTGTATGAAAGTTTTTCAGAACATGCTCCTATTATTTCACAACATTCCATACGTCGATTTTTTTAATAAGAATATTTTTTTTTCAAAAAATTTCAAGTTTTAATTAAAATTTTTACTTATTGCTCCCTTAAACTACAGACTTTGCCATCTTTGCAACAGAAGAGATGTCTTTTTTTTTTCTTTTTTGGGAAACACAGTCCTGGCTGGACTTCAGTGGTGGAAAGTAACTGATTTGCAAGATGTTTTCAGTTTTATGGCAGTTTTACTTACTTGAGTGGATTCAAACAAAACTTTGGCCATTATTACAGTTTTTCAAATTCCGTCGAGGTGGAATCAGAAGCATAATGCTTTTATTCACCAAGTACAATAAGTTTAAGGACTCTCCTTTGGTGTATGTATCAACAGAAATTCAAATATAAATACATAAAATATACAACAATCTTTGAATAACACAAAAGAGAATGATTTTTAGGTATAGCTACATTATAAGTACTGATGCTTATACCCAAGTACTTACCGTAAATACTGCTAATGTAACTATAAACGATTACTTTGAAATTAATAGCACGTCTTTTTTGTCATTTGCAGATTTTGTTTATTTGATATATTTTCTCTGTATTTTTGCTTTGTTGACAGCTGCACCAGAAATTCCTTGTGCATCTAATACTGGCCAAATAAATAAATAAATAAATAATAAAACAATAATACAATTTCACTGTCAAATTTTTAACTGACTGTTTGCCGTCAATCCATATCAATCAGTAAGTAAGGAAACACTGTTTGTGTCTAAAGGTTGACTTCTCATCTCAAAATAATGCCTTATTTTCTCGAAATTTAAACTTTTTTTTTTATGTAGGAAAAACAATTTTCTCAAGATTTTGTCTCATTATGTTGATACAATATGTAATAATGAGCCATTACTCTTTGAGTAAGCATAACTATTTCAACTCATTGTCATGCCAGGACTTATCTTTTTTTAAACATCGAGTCACTTTCGTGGAAAACGAACATACACCATCTAGTAGATGAAGAACAATCAAATCCTTCATTTCGTCAAGCATGTAGTCAATATCAGCATCACTTCAAAAATGTTTTGTTGCTGTGTTAAACGCTGCTTGCAACTTCCAGTACAACTGTTTATTTTCACACACGTGCAAACTGAGAAAAACGAAAGAAATCAGAGTAAGGTATACATGTGCTGAGAAATCTGATTACTGTGCTAAAAACAAGCTCTCTTTACCAGATGTCTTAATTGGATCTAACCGGAGTGTGGTTTATACGTGACCACTCAATTAATCAGTTAACTGCAGAAATCAGATTATGATCGAATTATTATGTGCATGTAAACTCACTCAGTATTTTGACATACAAAGTCAAAATATAGAGAAATAAGTTATTTTGCGAGGTCAGACACAGGCCAGAATCGGACATACTGCTGCTAAAAAACAAACAGGTAACTTTTTCCACCTGTCAGAAACAGGCTTTTGGTGGACGGACGTCTCTGACCAGGAACAGTTAGTGCCAAAAATTAGACAAGCTTTTTTCAAACAGCGCAGAGTCAGTATTTACTATTAGCCTCTGTAATTCAAAGGAGGTGCATTATAATCTCCTCCTAGTTTACTCATTGAGATGAAACCTCACAAATACAGAGGCATTAAGGCAAAAAAGTAAAAGAACAGTGACTGCTGGAACAGTAACTTTCAAATGGATAAACAGGGTTTGCAACAGTGCAGAAGTATTAGTTGATCTGCCCCAACGAGCGTTTTTCCACTGCACAAACAAAACAAGAACTGACCTCAACAGGAACCTGCAGAACTTACGGTTGTAGTTCTACTTTTTTTTCCACCAGCTTGAGAAACAGCTGGAACTGTCATCATAACCACAATAAATGATTTAACTGTTCTAACTGGTCATTTTATGTTGCTCTAAAGAATCTACTTTTGCTAATTAGCTACATTGCTTGATAGTTAGCTTAACTTACTTGCTGATATGAAACAATAGAGCACTGCTCTGTTCACACACACACACACATATGTCTACCTCATGTACAGCATAAAGCCAAGCTTGATTTCTTTCTCTTGAGAATGCGAGCTGACATATTAGCTATCTGCTAAATAGACTAGCTGTGCTGGCATGATTTTCTGAATTATACTCAAACAAATGGTGAAAATTTCATAAGCAAAGTTTAGATTTTTACTCTTATACTATAAATACTAGCATAAGTGCTTACAGTATTAGCTTAGCTTCTTTATTAGCTTAGGCCACTTCAACAAAGTAAAAAATAGCCATCAGATGCTTCAACATGCTATTCCAGTTTACATCCTGGTGCGCTTGTTGGTCATGTAATAGTGCTTAGCGACTTTATCATCACACAGAAGAGTAAAGAGTTTTCTAAACTGTTGTTGGCTTCAGCCTAGAGAACCATTACATCTTGTTGGTACCAATTTTGGGCACCATAAATGTGAATCTTGGGCCGATGGGCAGTGGAAAAAGCACAGTGCTAGTTTTTCAGGTGCTAAAGGTTTCAGAACTGTGTGCAGTGGAAGAACGCCCTAAGTTCCTAGGGCGTCTTTGAAGTAACTTTTTAGTAAATTTTCAGCCCTCTTTCCACCACTGATCGTCCTGATTATTTCAGAAAGGAAATATTGAAGAATGTAACAAATGCTAAAAACAGAAATTTCACAATCTGTTTATACCGTCATGAGCTCCATCACGAGCAGGATTTTGGAACTGTTAAGGCAGACGAGTATGCTCTGGTGCTCTTCAAAGCATGCACTGCTCATTACCACACACCCACACACACACACACACACACCTGCTCTTATCTTTATCTTCATCGTCACTGTTATTACACTCTTATCCCCACATTATAATCATGGCCTCACAGACCAGTGATATAGATATTGTGCGTGTATGGAAGAAGTTTTCATGAGCATGCAAATTCACGTGTTGCCAGGGCATTACAATGAGCTACAGTACTGCGCAAAAGTCAGAGACCACCCTTCACTTATTTAATTTAGAGTCAAAACAGCCATCAGGGACAAGTTATTCAGGAGATATTTCTAAAAGTAAGTGGAAAAATGAGCTTTTTAAAACAGGAGCTCAATTAAAAGAACCCCTATTAACCGTGCAAGATCTGACTCAAAGACCCTATCTAAAGCTTTCATCTTTGAGAGAGAGGAGAAACTCAAGCTGCTTCAGATCTGCAAAAAATCCACAGGTGTTTCTGTCTGTCCTTTCACTGTGAGAAGACAACTCAGCGCTATGGGTCTGAAAGGATGTGTATCTGTCAAGAAGACCTAACTGATAAAAGGAAACAGACAAAAAGAAGAACATGTACAAATCAAACAATGGACTGACTACTCCAGAGTATAGACCTCAAAATCATTGAAGTTTTGAGTGCCCTGAAAAGAATGCAAGCTGTAATAAAGGCAATGGATGAAACACTAAATAAAAACAAACCTATATTTAATTTGTGAGACTTTTTTGTGTCATTTTATATTTAATATGTTTTCTGCTTTTTTCCTGACACTGAAAAACTGAATAACTCGCCATTTGACTAAAAAAATGAAATAAATGAAGAGTGGTCTATGAATTTTGCACAGTGCTGTATCAGTCAGACTGTGTGCGCAAACCAAAAATCACAACAAAGTAGGGCAAAACATATTGAAGCGTCCACTTACATACTTAAAATGATCTAACATCAAGAAGGAAGCAACAAAGGGTCAGCGGAAAGTCTTTGGTCCAAATCGCACTGTATAGAGAACTGAATTTAACAAACTTTTCTGGTACAGCAGTTTGACAAAATGTTCAATAAAAGCACCCACAGACCACTCGCACACACGCACACCCCTTCACACTGAACACTATAAATAATCCTAGTGAAGTCAAAAATAAACCGATAGAAGCACCCACGTGTCTACAGCATAAGCAGGAAGTCCAAAAGAGGGAAGATTTGATGTCTGTGAGCTGCCAAAAAATGAATTTGAAGCACTTTTCAAACATCATCAGATCTTGCAGAACCAGCACATTACAATAAGCCACGCATCAGGTTATTCAACACTGATACATAAAGTCGCTTATTCTAGAAATGGACTTTATTACAGAGGATATTACAGATATCCTCTGTAAAAGATTCCAATTCAGATTAAGGATGGGCAATATGACGATACTGTTATCACAATAAATTATTATTATGATAGCATTTCTGAGTGTATATATACCATGAGTTTCATCAGTAATTAAAGAACAATGTTTCATTATGAAAAAATTTAGACAGAGTTCCTTTGTGATGCACAGCTGTCCAAGGTTTCACTCTGTTGCTGGGAGATTGCAGGTTAGAGGATCACTGATCCTGTTTATTTAAATGTAAGGATGTGAAGTACATCGTCACTCTCAGAACAAAACCTTGTATTACCATTTTCGTCTTTATTATTATTTTTATATGATTTGAAATTGACATGACGATCGTAGAAATGGTCCAAAATGACTTAGAATGAAATTAAATTACTTAAAAATTGACTTAAAATTACAAAATGTCTTTAAATGAAATTACATTGCAGGTTTACAAAGTTTTATGCTTCTCCTGAAAAGTTTCTGGAGGTTTTATTCTGACAGCGACGAAATTTTTTGCTAGCAGTTTCTAAATATTGCTATGCTGGTAAATAGAGTCAGTTCCAACTTAAACCTCAGTAACCTAAATAAACATCATGATACACATCATGATTACTATTTTGGTCTATTGACAGAATTTAGACATAAGTTAAAAATCTGAGTTTGGCTACATTGCTAAACTCTCTTCAACTTCAAGCCACTGATAATGAACTGAGTGAAAACAGGCAAAGCCTGTTAACTGCTTGTTATGAGTTGCTCAAGTTTGTAACATCACAATGCTACATTTCCTTCTTTCAGGCAGCATGTACAGTACCAGTCAAAAGTTTAGACACATCTACTCATAGAAGGCCTTTCCTTGCTTTAAGCCTACTATTTTACTCTTTTTCAAATATGCAGTGAATTTAGACTTTATTTTAGATTCTTAAACGCAGCCAGTTTTCATGCACATCTGGCATCCTCTCAAGCCACTTCATGAGAGAGTGCTTTTACAATAGGCCTGAAGAAGTTCCCCATAAGCTAAGGCCTTACCGGCTGCTGAAAAATACTTTCAGGGGGAGTATTCCAGAAAAGAAAATAATTAGGAATGCATGTTTACATCAGAATCATATCAGTATCAGCAAACAACTGCTTTCAAAAAAGTTATTATTGCAGCATCACTGCAATATTTCAATATATCAAACTGATATCTGAGAATATATTTATTGTACTCATTTGCTAAAATATCTGTTTTTTTTTCCACTTTACCGCATTTCTAATCCCATAGAAATAAACGCTATATTTCTCCCTAATGTCTTCACTTTAAATGTTTACAGTTGTACGCAAAAACCACCCCTGGTCAAATGACATGTTTTGTTTATTTCCTAAGTTAAAAATAAGATAACACATCCACTACAGGGAACACACTTATTATATATTAGTGCAAACATGCACAATTTCGATTTATTTGCTGATTTTTACATACTGAACTAAACATCTAAAAGGTGCCATAACTTTTGCATAGGCCAGATTTTATGGGTTTCGTTTGACCAGGGGTACCCAAACTTTTGCATATGACTGTATGTACTGGCATCAGCACTGGCTGGTATGTACATGAAGAATTTTGGAAATCTGCACTGATTCACAGTTCCAATATCACTAACATATAATAATTTAAACTGTTCAGCTGGGAAATAAATTCATAGACAGGCATGACCTGCATTTACATTTGTTTAAGGAACAGCTTTTCAAGAAATTAGGCATAAGTCTGTAGATCACAACCTATTTAAGAGTAGTGTGTCCAAACTACTGACTGATATTGTTTGTGAGAAGGACTGCAAATCTGTGATTCAGACCTGCTGCTTATTGGCGAAATATGCATCAATCACAGGTTAAATTCAAAATTCACAAATCAAATCAAATGGCTCAAAGGGAAACTGAGCTATTTTGCTGAATAACACTGTCACAGGCTTTCTGCTCAGATGCAAAAACATAAACTCACTCGCGACATTTATAACGCTTAAAATGAACTGAGAATTTATCCTGTATCATTACCAAGTATCTGTGTTAAAGAGGTAAATACTTCAGCATGACAGTACGTAAATAACAAACTGCCACATTTATAAACGCAAGAGTAATGGTCCTACCCTCACTCTCACACTGCACGCGTACAGCAAATGCACACGTTTTAAAATATAACCATATATATATATATATATATATATGTTAAAAAAAATAGGCATTGAGAGGTGTTTTTTTGAGGGGGCGTTGAAAAGGGGCTAAAAACCATAAATCACTGTAAAAAACAAAGCCGAAAAAATCTGTGTGCTCATGGATGCTCTGAGTGCTGGCTGTTATTCTTACTACGTTAGAAGCTGACAGCTAGCATGAGTCTTGTTTGCAGTGGTTTACAGCCAGTTGGACAGTAGAGCGGAGCAGTGGGGGAGGGTTCTGTTGGCCAGATATCAATCCTGAAGTCCCTGATAGAGGCCTTACTCTGAGGAAGATAAGACTATTGCAGTGTCCTCTGGGCTGGCGCCACCTGGTGGCCTGGATGTGTGTTACCTGTGGTCCTTCAAAAGGGTCCTGAAGTTATGGAGCTCTTTAATGCTGGTGGAGAGTCTAAAGACAGAGAAAGACAAAGAAATAAAAAAAAGCAAATCCAGACCCTGTTAAGACCCTGCTTCTAAGGGGCAATGTGTGTGTGTGTGTGTGTGTGTGTGTGTGTGTGTGTGTATACACATGTACATATAGTTGCTTTCACAACAAAAGCTCATATCTTCAAAATGGTAACAGGAGAAGAAAGAAGTGTCTTAACTTTGAATGGGAGTTAATGGAACCTTTTTTTCCAGGTAATTTTGGACCATTTCTATTGTTCTATTCATCATTAAAATTTTACCGCAAGGTAAGAGCAGCTAACATTTTCAAACTGCATTTAAAAATAAAAAAGATATTACTATATATATGCATGCATGTATTGTCCCCAGCAATAACACAGACAGGGTGGGCAAATTTGCATGCTGCCTGGCTTTGATGACAAACAGCCAATAGGATGTAACTGGTGGGTTAATGTTTGCTTCCTAGCGGTTTGTTATGTTATATTCACTCATATTTTTATTCATATTTTTTTATTTATATATTCACTCATTACATATTCATATTTTAGGCAAGAAAAAAAAAGTTGTAGTAGGGGTAGTCTATTTTTTCATTTATAGATGCACTTTATAATTATTAAAATCTTTGCTGTTCTCCTGAAAAGGGAATAGTAAAAGAAGTGAAACTAAAATGTAGTGTTTCGCCTTTCCTGTTCTACCACCAAGCGCTCCCCTCTGGATGTTTGCAGATGAAAGCAAATAATGTCCTGTGGCATTCTCTTTACAAGGCCTTATAATCAAATGCAGATCTACTGACTGTTTACAAAATTATGACTGACATGCCTCTCAGTCAATCCCAGTCATCTCTAAATGTGCCTTGTTCCATCAAAGAAAAGGAAGAACTACTCAAAAACAAACCTGCAGTGAGAATGGTGTCGGCAAGACATTAGCCTGATTTATTAAGAGTAAGAAATGGTGGAAAGGTGTTTAAGAGAAACGTATAATGTCTGAATCATCTGGACTGTTTTTATTTAATTCTTGGAGCTGAAATAGCTTTGGATTAAACTTTAAGGAACACCAAACTCACACCTCAATGACAAAACTATTAAGAGGCAGAATTACACTCGTTCTCATGTAAGCTAAACTTTATCTGGGTTAACGTATTTACTAAAAATCAGTTTAATGTGATGTCTAACAATAAGCAACATTACAGAAAAGTGTTAAGATCGGTTAGGTATGTAATTAGCTTTTGTCAGCTTAGCTGCTGACAGCTAACTTGATAAATGAGTCAGATTAAACAGCACTTTACAGCACTCACATTTGACTATTATGTGTAAAGATAAATATTAAATCATGCCAATCTTCGTACTGTTTCATTAAAGATTACTGAAAGACTTCGAGTAAAAGATATCCTCCTCAACTCTGACTAGCTCCAGTGTTCATCTGATGATATGATTAATGTATCCTTTAAAAATCCTTTATCATTCATCTTTTGTCTGTTCTCAAACATGTATGTATGCACTGAACATCTTGTAAAGCCAGTTTACTCAAATCCTCTAAAGCAATCAATACATGAGGTAAAGAGAGCTGACTGCGTGCCACCCTTTCAAAATGAATGGGGAAAAAAAGAACAAATAAATTAAAAGAACTTTAAAACTCACCTCCCAAAGGCATTGAGCAAAGCTACAATCTCCTGGCGTGTGAGCTGGAAGCCCTTGGAGGGACTGTTTTCTGGAAGGTTCTTGATTTCTTTCTCAGAGAAGAGGATCTTCAGGGCCGTGCCCAGCCCCTGGGTCTGATGGAGGGAAACAGCAGCTTTAGGCTGTAGGGCGTGCTGTACAGCTATTCTAAAGCTAATGTGCTGTTTAGTGTGTTCATGTTAAAATTCCAAACCCAGACACTGCAAAAAATTATGTCTTGGTAAGTGAAAAAATCTAATCAAGATATCTAGTGTTTCTCATTATGACAATATATAAGATTATTCTATTTGTTCCAAGAATTTTTGATGCTTGTTTTACACAGTTTTGTTCTATAGAAACTACACTATGTGGCCAAAAGTTTGTGGACACCTGCTCATCCAACGTTTCTTCCAAAATCAAGAATACTGAAAAGTTTATCCCGCTCTGCTGCAGTAACTGTCTCTACTCTTCAGGGAAGGCTTTAAACTAGATGTTGGAACATTGCTTTGAGGATCTGATTGCATTCAGCAGTGAGAGCATTAGTGATGATCAGTTCTGGACATTCCAATTCATCCCAAATGTATTGGATGGGGCTCTAACAATCCAGAGAATGTTGTTCCACTGCTCCACAGCCGAGGGCTGGAGGCTTTATACTCCTCTAGCTGACACTTGGCATGGGACATGGTGACCTTGGCTCATGTGCGGCTGATTTGGAGGGATTTCTCAGAATAAGAGAAACACTTTCACCTACCTGTAACTTTCCCCACAGTCGACATTTACTGCAGCCCACACAGTCCATTATGCGGGAAATGTTCTTAAAATGGAGCCTGAACTCCTCCTGTGATGGAGAGACAAGGGAAACGGCGCTTGTTACACAACACTCTCATTTCTTACATTTGCATGTTTGTATACTTTGACTTAACTAGCTCTGACTAAACAAATAAGAGCATTTTAATTCATGAAAATCACCATTAAATTCAGACCACAAGGCCACTTTAAGACTGCAGGGCTGAGAGTAATGTATTTTTACAGACGTGACTCTCACGTGCCTGTCAAAGCATCAGGTACTGTGTGTGGAAGCACAGTACAGTGATGAAGAGAGGAAGCCACTAAAAGCTTCCTAGTTTACATTTCTAGCAGCAAAATGTGGCCCCTGTGAGTGAGAAACAATAGAAAGTGAAGTGAAGTAAATTTGCATTTGCAAAAAGAGCTTGTTCACCTTCAGTCTTCTGGCTTCCATTTTGTGGCCTGCAAACATGGAGCTCTCATCAAAGTGCATGGGGAAAGCTCTGATGGGGGAGAGAGGGAGAGGGAGAGGGGGAGAGAGAGAGGGAGAGGAGGAGAGAAAGAGGGAGAGAGACGGAGAGAGGGAGAGAGAGAGAGAGAGAGAATTTGCATTTTAGTTCTACATGGCATACTGATAAAGCTCAGGCTGATAAGGCTCAGTGCCTTTTAGTTTGCATCTGCCACATATGAGTTGTTGCAAAAATTAAATATAAATTTGAATTTTTGCTGAACAACAACAAATTATTAAAAGTATTTGAATAAAAAATCATGCTGTAATAATCTGATGTTAATTCAACTGCATCAAGTTTGAAATATCAGAATTGATCATAGTTATAAGGGAAAAGTTCATGAACAAACTTTAAGTCGGCTTGACAAAGCATTTTGCTGAGAAATCCCAGGTGGTTGCAAAGGTGTTGCTAACCTGCTTATATGATATCCCAGGTGGTTCCTTTGCTGTGTTACCTCTGGTTGCTAAGGTTTTGCTAAGCCATTGCTATGGAATGTCAGTTGGTTTTTACAGTCTTTCTAGGCTATCGCTATGGTTTTGCTTGGCCATTACTACGTTATCCAAGGTAGCCTCTGTGTATGAGAGTCTGTAATGTCAGTGGGGGTCAGTTTGAAAAATGTTGTTTGTGACAACATTTAAGAGTTAGATTTTAATTTTCTTAACATTCAACCGTTCATTTCCCGTGGGAAAAAAACTGAGTTTGAACAAGCACCATACAAAAACCGCATGTGCAACCGGAGCCAAAAGCATGCATGGACTATTCCTGTATAGGCTCTACAATCCTGCAAAATATTGCAGTTCTAGCTGAACAAAAACTGCGATCTGTAAAAACGGTACAAAAAAAGCATACAATAATAAATAAAACACCAGTAAGCTGGCTTTCTCAAGCCAACTTAATAATATTCAGTAACATATGTGCTAATTTTATTAGCCCATAATAAAATTCTCAGGCTATTGTCAGCCATGAAATTTCAAACTCAAATGTTAAATGTTTTTAAAAAATAATAATTTTTATCTAAATTCCCTCCAAGTATACAGACATATTTTGTTATTTTAAATTAAAAAAAATAAATTTAAAAAGATAAAAATAAATGACTCCTAAAGAATCGTAATCAACTTGGATCACTGTGAGGTCAGGGATTTACACCCCTAATTACCAGGTCTGCAATGATTACTCTGCAGTCTGCAATGCCTTTGCCCTTAATGAGTGTGCTGTATGATGAATCAGTTGCTGGCTCTCACTTGGTCTCATTAAAAATCTGCAGCAGCAGTTCCTTGGTAATCGAGTCCTCCTGAGCATTTCCTGTGTACAGGTTAATGAAGGCACGCTCGAAGTACGGAGCCACCTTGGACAGCGCTCTTAGCTCGATCAGGTACAGGAAGTAGAGGTTCTTTAACCAGCGGGTTCCTTCTCCTTTAGTCTCAGCTGAACTGAAGCGGCGGCGGAACTCGTGAACGTTCGGCCCCCAGATTGACTTCCCCCAACTTTCTTCATGGAAAACACACAGCAACAAACAAGAATTTTCAGACTGTAGCTTTGTTTCCATAGTTTTTCTGCACTAATTGCAGCACTAAAATGAAGATGACGTAATCAGTAAAATCAGTAAAAATTGTTTTCATCTAATTATATGTATGTCACAACTAACTTACCTATAACCTAGTTCTTTATTGTTTTTGTAACAAAACAGACACTCAAGAGGCCAGTATTTTCAGTTACCATCCAATTAGAGGTGTGTGATTTGGCAAAAATGACATATCACCATACTTAATCACAATATACATCATAATATTTCACTTTTAAAAACTGTCATCAAAAACTCATCACAAGTATAATGGTTTATATTCAACATTTCCCACATTGTGCTGCACTAAACCCAAATAAAAATGACTAAGTTATTGTTTTAATTAAACATGTTCTTTAAATACAGATGATATCCACAATACGCTCACAAAAGCATAAACAACTACATTTATCATGTTAAAATATCACCTACCTCTACATGCAATATGTAGTTTATCTAATCAATATTTCATTAATCCTTGATAAATCAACATTTTATTAAGTTAAATCAGGTTTGCTGCTGGTGGAACTGCAGCTACAGTCGTTGATGGCATGGATTTGTTCATTAAGGAAAAGAGAAACCAAACCCATACATATGTGTTAGAAATAACTACGTACAATTCAAAGACAATCAGCCAACTTTTTACTGCATTAATGTCTATTTGAATTTATTCAAATGCAGTGTTTTACAATCAAAAATACACTTACTGCATAGACAAAGTTAAACAATCTTCTTGGCTGATGTAAGACATTTGCACCGTATCGTATGACACTAAAGCAAATATTGGGTTACCATTAGGAATTAAACTACGACATCACTGAGTAAGCGTTTGACACTTACCATCCAGGAGGTATTCAGCACACAGGTGGATGTTAATGCTGCTGTGGAGGCCAGAGATGAGCTTGTAAAACACTCTCTTCTCCAGACACAGCCCTGCAGCATACAGACACATGCACAATTTACAAACATTACGATGGCCAACATCACTAAAACAGAAAGCATATACAGAGAAATACTGACCCTGGATGACAAAATCAGAATAATAAACAAGTTTGTTAGGTGGTTTGAGCTGAGACTTCCAGCCTTTTGTGATTTTCACTCTTCAAATGTTGCATATTCATATGTCTGCCTTTTAAAGCTGCAACATAGTCATTCAGTCATCAGTGACTGAGCAGCATTTAACTTAAAGGGTCATTCTGGCCGAAAATTAGCATTCAATATGTTATTTGTCATGTTATGTGCATGCATAACGTTGCGCAGCATTGTATCCCTCAACCCTATCAGCTTGAAAGAAGAATTCACAATTTTGTATCTTTTTTGAGCTTTCATTGATCAATGTTCTCTCACTACAACACCCAGCATGCATTATGAGAGACTGTTTAGAATCTCCATAATAAACTCAGATCTGATAACTAGCTTCCTAGCTGTAACATGAGTTATCTGGCTTCCTTTTGCTTTGGCCAGTTAGCATGGAAAAAAAAACATTTTAAGCAGGCTGCCCCTCAAATATCTGCCCTAAAGCACTTGTATTTTTTTCAAAAGTCCCTCCCACCTTCATGACACAACATCAAAAGGGGGCTTTCCTAGCATTTAAGCCAGAAAATCTCACTCATAGGACTGTCATGGCACCGCCACAGGAGACAAGTGAGTATATTTACAAGTAGCAATAGATACATTTTTTATTCTGGACAGAGGGCAGCTTTAAAAACGAAAGCACTCTCTAATGACACATGATGCCTTTCTGACAAATTGCAATACACAAGGTAAAGCATAGGGCTGATATGGCTTCTACTGTTCTGCTGCACCACAAAGGAGAAAATCACTTATTTCACAGATCAAACTTTGACAGAGTGATGTCATGACACCATCCAAGAAGGCAAAATGGTTTGAATTAGCAGATTAAATAAAATAATTAGCTGCACAGTGCAGTTGTGAAGATCTTTGGTGAACGTGGCATCTCTAGCCCCCCCAACCAGAGTACTGCCAGCACAACTCCCCCTCCAGTGCCCCCTCTGTGATAGACCTATATAAGGTCTTTGTTAAAGAGGACTGAAGTGATTCTTCTAATGGGAAAAAGAATCACTGAGAGATGGAGGGGTCCATTTCGAGGGGTGCTGACAAAATTGAAAGAATATTACACTGACCAGTTTACAAAGGGAGGCTTGTTCTGCAGTCTAATCCCTGAGTGTGAGTATCTGTGTGTGTTAGTGAGCTCAGCAGTGTTGTGTTTGCAGACAGTCTCAGGTCAGTCTGTGCATACGTGGTGATAAGGACGAGAAAGATCCAATTACCTTCCAGCCATTTGTAAAAGCCTTCACCTGTGAGAACAAAGTCAACACAGACAGTATGTCAGCATGGGAGCAAATGCCTCTATCTCACCTCAACCCATATGGACTTAACAGCTCAGAATAAAGCGTGCTGAGGAAGGGCTAGGTTTCTCACCTCCACGTAATCAAATAATCATATATCCTAAATCTAAACTTCTGCTCTGATGAGTTTATGCAGACTCAGATTTAAATTCATGACTCGTGTAAGTACATTGTTTACATATTAGTCCCAAATAATTTATAGTGTTCAGAGTGATGAGCTGAAATATAAAAAAAACTGAATATAAATATATCCACAGCAATGTTGTCAAAATAAATATGTGCAAAATAACTCACCATCATCATCACCTAGTACAGAAAGGAAGAAATAAAAAGAGTGGTTAAGACAAAACTCATAAACAACGATATGATTGTAAAGAAAACACCAAAGCACACACTGTCAAACAGAGTACTGTCCAGGAAAATTATAAGTACACACTTAACTTAAAAGTGTCCTTAAGGTCCAATTGTGTACTTTATATGTTCTTTTAAAGGTGCATGGCATTCACTTTCCCAGGTAAAAGATGCACATTTTTACTCACATTTCATAACTTAAAGGTCCCATATCATAAAAAAATGTTTTTTTCTTGTTTTGTTTTTGCTTTCTGCTTAAATTTAAAGTGATGTAGTATGTAAAATTTCAAAATGTATGAGTCACTTTTCAGTCCATACATGGAAACTAAGCTGCAAAAAACAGCTTGTTTTGAATTAATTCTTTTTTTGTTTGTCACAAAAAACAACGCATTTACATATATCTATTAAAGCCTTTTCAGCCTAGAGCAGTTTGGCCCTTCATATTCACATAGAAGTTAAAAGAGATATTTAAGCCCTGACTACTTTTTGAATGAGACACAGTGCAGGATAGCTAAACAGAACAGAGCTCATTTGCATTATTATTCTTAAAGGCATAGTAACAAAACAGCGATAAAGAGAAGTTAGATAAAAAGGAAATGATGTCTGATTTTGGTTCATAAAACCAAACTAACGTTAAAAAATAAAATATGGACATATTAACTTTAACTTAGATAAACAGATAAATTGAAAAAATACATTAAAAAGCCTGGAGTCAAGACAGAGATTATGGATCCAATCCAATTTTATAAAGTATAACTACAATAGATTATGGTACAGGTATGTTCACTAGCTAAAGGTTCTGAAGACTTATCCCTTTAGGGTACCACTCCAATGACAGCATTTGTACCCTGAAAGGTGCAGTATTTTCTACAAGTCTAAGGAAGAGAGTTTTCCAAATGAAACAAAGATCTCTAACTCACCACGACCTGGGGCCAGGGGGTTAAGAGGCCGATACACTGATCTTGGCCTAAAAATGGATGACATTTACAATAAATTAGAGATGTTAAGAAATGTACACACCTTTCAATTTCTAAAACTTAAAGCTCTCAAATTCTAAAGCATTAACTACACTGATGTGCCATTTGACAGATACACCAAGTCAGAAGTGTTCACAGTGGTGGTGACAGGACCTAGATATTTGAAGAGCTTAATGCCTCTAAAAGCAGAGCACAGAACTTTATTACATGAAATGGTTATAAATACACTGCCTGATGTCTGAGACCCTGTTAAACAATAGTTCTGACATAAAGTTTTGATGTAAAATGTACTTTTAAAAATGCATTCATGGCAGACAGGTACATGCAAGGTGACATAAGACAAAACAGTCCCCAACAAAAACTTTTTTTTTCACATTTACTGCTATTTTGCCATCAACAACATTATATATAAAAACCCAGAAGATATGTGTAGGTTCACTAGTTATTTTGGATCGTAAATAAAATTATGTTGCAGCATTATGACCCTTGTTCCTAGCACCACCACAATAAAGAAATCTGCGTTGGTTTTTCTACAATAAATAATTTCAGATTAAACCACCATAAAAGACTTTGTTTACATCTCAATGGTTATATTATGCTAAAATAAAAAAGGTGAATTCCCCTTTAAATAAAGTGCTTCAATTCAATCATTATTGAGATTCTCAAGGTCACAATATATATCAAAAAAGAAAAAGTGGTATTGTGCCATCTCTGCTTTAAACTGAAACTGGAACCACTATTCCTCAGGTCCTGGGCCTGGTGCAAGGAATGAAAACACTATTAAAACTCTCCTTTTTGTTGTTTTATAAAAGTGTGACTACATCTCAGTCACTGCAGTCATGAGTGGCATCTTCAATGCACAATAAACACTTTATTTTAATATAAATCAGAATATGCCAATTACTGCAGTGTGCCGTTGGTTTAAATGTGTGCTGAGGAAGGCAAGTTTTATTCAAGTTATTCAAGACTAGATTTTTCTATTCTATAAGTGCAGATGACTCACTTGAAGCAGTTCTCCTCATAGATGCTGTTCCACACCCTCCATGCGGAGGGCCCTTTATATCCGGTGTAGCGTTCAGGATTCAGCCGCAGATCCACATACTCAGCATCAGGAGAGGTCTCGTCTACAGAACAACGCAAGACTGAGTTTGTGTGCTGCGCTACACCAAAGGAGATGGCCATGATTAAAAACACACCCATGAAATGATCCATGTAACCAGAAGACCTGTCATCTGTATCAAAAGTCTCTAATAAAGAAGAAGGTCTCCTGAGCAGGAGTTAGTAATATAGCAACATTCTAAACAAAATACTTTAAACACAAAACATCACAGTATTTAGCTTTTTAGCTTAGTTTGCTAAGAAGTTGAAACAGACGATGCACCAGCAAAACAGAAGCAGCTAATTGTAAGCATAAGAATTATCATTTTTTCCGGATGTGACGATGTAGGCTTGTGAAATCATGCACAATACACTACCGTCCAATCGTGCCCAAAGTCATTGGCTGATGATAGTATTGCGAGTAGGATGTTTTAGGGAGTGAACAGGGTGAGAGCCACCAACAACACACTGTGTGCTGTTACTTCGGAAACAAGAGCCACAAACACAGAGAGGCTGTTCCTTCAGCGGCTCCTCTCTTTAGTTTCAGAACGGCAGGTTACGTGGTCATGTCAGAAAAAAAAAATCTTGTAGCTTGTGGGCCGACTTTGTTCCTGCTCTGATTTGGCAGTTCTCAGGTTGGTTTTGTAGTTTTTGTTACAGGTTTAATAAATTACAGCTTATAAAGAACTAAACTTAGCTAAACTGAACGGCTAAACTAAACTAAAATGGCTTGAGCTTACTGTGAAGTCAGCCTATAGGCTACTGTTACTGTAGCTTTTCTTAACTGTAATTTTAGCCCACTATTATTATTACTATTAGGCAATTAATAAAAATTACAGTCCTTGTCTTTTTTGTTTTTGATGTAATCTCAATGTCAAAATTGTTTAAGACCTCATTAATGACATGTGAGGAAATCTGTGCGTTTAAATAGCACAACCATGGTAAAAAAGAAAATAAAAACAGAAATGTTCTATGATCACAGAACATACTGAGACTGATATGAACATGAACTGCACATTAAAAAAAATAAAAGACCACAAGAAAAATATGATTACTCAATGATCTCGTCAGTTGGCTCAAGACTATAATGGCATAAAGCTCCTTATTACTATACAGTTTTACTGTGATGGAGACTCGACAGGCTGCTCTCTCTCTAGAAATGGTCTAAATCTCAATTTTTTTATGAAGCATGCAATTAGCCAGTATTACTGAAAATTCTGCAGCTAAAAATAGTCAAATACTTGCAATAGTTGTGTTTTTTGCCCAAAAAATAAAACAGGCTTATAATGAGGTGTCAAAATCTAAGGCTGCTTTTAATGGTACTAAAAATGAGAAACAGTGATCAAAATGCTTTGCTCTCATTTAAACAGTCTCCGCAGCAGATGATAAATAGTGAAAATGTTGGCTGTGCTGAAATATTCCACAGTTTCTATGAGGAAAATTAGACAAGTGCTTCATAATCTCTTCTTTACTACAGAGAAGTTTGATTCCACTTGAACACATCCTGCTTGATATACAGAATACAACAAAACAGCAGAAGCAGCAAGGAAAGTCCTGGCTAGCACAAAGACATCACCTGTAGCCACAGTGTTTGAAATGATGGAAAAAAAAAATCACAAGCAGCAGTGCCAAAGCATAAAAAGTATAAAAAATAAAATAAAATAAAATAAAAAAAATCTTTGCTTTGATTGACCAACGATTCTCTGTTGTGTCACGCATTGTAACTGTTTTAGTAAATTCATTTTGTGTAAACTGGTATTTAGCTATTGCCAGCTTTTTCGGTTTATTTATTTATTGACAGCTTTTTCAGTACAATAATACTGCCATACAAATAATTGTGTTCAATTATTTAATTGTATGCATTTGTTTGTAGTGTACGCAACCATTAAAGGAAAAGCCTAAACTGTCCAACTGCTTGATTACCTGTTTTGCTTCCAAGCTGTTATACTCAAATAAAACTCAAACTCAAATAAACAAACATTACTCACTGCTGCCCTCTAAAGGTGTTATAGTACCAATCGAAAGCTAGAACTTAGTCTCATTAAATGTGTTTTCAGTTTTCTTTCATTTCTCTTGCTTGTATATCAACACAACTGAGAAAAATGCACCCAATTCACATTCTATGTGTTGACATGTTAACATTACAACTGTGGAAAATAATTGCAGTCGGATTAAACAATAGCATTTATGCATTGCATAAAATAACAGTGATCAGCTGATTATCTAATAATTGTGACGCGTTTAGTTTTGGCCAAGAATTTTCATTTCAGTGAATCACTGTAATGTAATTTATAATAATAACAACATATCATATCACACACCCTACTTCTGACTGCATAAAGTCTAGTGCAGTCTTACCATCCAGCCCGCAGAAGTGATCCTGGGCGTCGTCATGGTGCGCCCAGTCCTCAAACGCCTCCTTACTCTGATTACTGTAGACAGCACGGAGGAAAATGTATCAGAAAGACTGCTGACACAAACTGTACATTTACTGCATGCTTATGAACAAGTGTATGACTGCAGCTAATGGTTGGACAGGAATAGGATGGTCAAGTGCCTGTGTTAACTACATACCTCAGTGTGCTGTTAATGGCACCCAGCTCATGAGCCTGCTCACACTCCTTAATGTCTCTGATAGTGTTCGCAGCCTGGGAATACTGCCAGGAGAAGAGATCAATGTCAGAGCGGGCACTGAGAATACAGTGCAGAGACACTTTACATAAAAAGTTACACAGAACCACCATCAAAAGAGAAAAAGCACAAGTGTTCAGCACCCTTAGTGCAAATACTAGGCGAAACATTTTAAAGCCAACAAAACGTAATTGTTTAACTACTGGTAACTATGTAGAGTCAGATGGAGTATACGCCTGTGGAACTGTGGTTCATTTGTTTGCACAATATGAACAAACAAACAGGAAATGAAGTGACAGAGAAAGTAAAAAAGTACAAAGAACAATGTTCCAAGCACTGAACATGCAGTTGTATGCAAAAGTTTGGGTGCTTCAGTCAAATAACACATCTGGTGATTTTCTATGTGAAAATAAGTACACATCCTCTTAATTTTCAATTCCTGAATTCAACATATTAAGGACAAAAATAAAACAAAATGTGGCCTGTACCAAAGTTATGCCACATTTTGCACTGTATTTTTTCAATACTTTAAACTCAGCAAATAAACAGACATGGTGAACTAAAACTTAAGTCTACTCCTTGTAAAGAACTTATCACTTAGAAAATCAACACAATATGTAATTTAACAACTGTACAAGGAATAAAATGTATCAAGAGAAGCATCTACACAATAAGTACAAACTTAAAACAAAAACAAAAAAAAAAGGAAAAAGAAAAGGCAATTATTGATGTGGTGAAATAACTATTAAGCAATCATGACAGAAGACAGGTTTAACTAGTAGTATTAGCATGTTCATAATGATAAATTATGAACGACACTATTTTTTTTAACACTGTTAATGCATTTATCTAATATGACCCATTGAACCACCTGTAGTTCCACTCTGAAGCCCAGCTGTGCTTTTCTAATGACTGACTCTGTGACCGAATCCTTCTCGTTCAAATACAGCTTTAAATAACAGGTTCCACTGATGACTCTCTTGATAAAACCAGTTATTTCCAGCTACTGTAAAGCTGTGAATTTGTTTATCACTGACGTATGTCGAGACTGAACTATAATTGACAAGCATAATACAAGCCCTGATGGGTCAACAACAGAAATTTGTCAGACTACACTGAACAGTGTTTGTTGTTGACCTGTGAATAAATCAATGGCTGTGTTTACATGCAAAGATTTTTGCCAATTCGACTGAATATATTTTAATTACAGATTTAGACCGAGGTGTTTATATGCTCAACAATCTGATGGAAAATATCCATTTACATGAACACTACAGGCAATCCGATCCAAAATGATGCGCATGCGTAGAAAACCACTTAGTGTGGACATTACAATGACAGCGAGCATCACGTGAGTCCAGTCAGAGTGAGACAAGTTTTCAGCTGGTGCGTTTGTGTTTCTAATTGCTTTAGAAATGTATTTCACAGGCATTAAGGAAGGGCGAGAGGAAGACGTCATGTTCTGAGACACATAAGGTGGATGCCCGTCCCACCGCCGTCTTTTAAAGATCAGAGCATAAACTTTGTCTGCTCTGCAGACCAGTTTCTGCTCCCACCATGTTGAATGTTATAAACCTTCACTATGATGTGACGCACATGCAGAATGTACTTAAACTTTCTGATTGGGAATGTCATCAGATACAGGCATTTACCCGGTTAATATTCTTCTATTTAACGGATTATTTACAGGATTACCCACCTCGTTCAATCGGAGAGAAATTGTATTCCGAATGGCCTCAATCGGACTAGTCTATGCCAATTGAGGAGTGTTGATGGACATATTCTATTCCGATTGAGCTATTAGTTGGATTATTAACGCATTATTAGGCTGCATGTAAACGTGGCTAATGAGCAGCAAATCAATAAAAGCAATAGCAAAGGAAACCATGAGCTGTATGAATAAGAGCAAGACCAAAAGGCTACAATCACAGAGGAGCTGAACCACTGACTGCATATGTGATATAAATGATATGTACAGTCAATGACTGTATATATGACATATATGATATCTACACTCAGTGGTTAGAACATGAAGTCACTGTTGCTCTCACTGGACGTCAGTGATGAAAACTGGAAACTGTTCACTTATGTTCAGGTTAATGTGACCTCTATGAAAATAATGTTACTGAATTACTGAAAGTAATAAATACATTCTGTTGAAGCTTATTCATATGCACTGCTTTTTAAGTGGATAAAATCTTCCTTTAGGGTCAAATTTGAGCACATAGGACAAATTATTCACAATTAACCCCACAAAAGAATGTAATTAATCACAATTAAACATTTTAATCGTTTGCCAGCCACAGTCTTAGCAAGTGTTTTTTGAAGATTTTAAGACCGGAGATGGCATGTTTTTATCAAAGGGTATCTGTATGAAACCAATACCAGCAGAAAATGCTTGACTGTATATTGGAGGGAAAAAAGAATGAATGTGTTCCAGTTCCATAACAAATCTACCTGAAGTATCGCTCACTGTGTGATGTGATGCTGTTAGCTGTGTAGTTCTTCCTGTGGGGTTAATATAGCATGTGAGTAGTTTCAGCATGATAGCCCACTTTTAGACGCTCATCCAAAATGTCAGATCAGTATTAACTGACACACAAAGTTTCAATATCAGTATCAAAAAAGTATCATCGTGTCATCTCTAATCGAGACCTGCTTGTTGTTTGTTAAACAACGTATGTGCAAATCAGCTCAAGTGAAACACAGCCTGCCTAACCTTGACTGCTATCACACAGCCAGATGTCACAGCACTCTGAGTACACGCATTACAGAGCAAACAGTGAGTGCTAGAAGAGTGCTGTGCGCTGACTCGACACTAAGTGCTAGAACAAGTGTGGCTATCCTTAGCCTTCTGCTTCATTACACAAACCTGCAGGCTTACAACAAACAAAATGCACTTAAAATCCTGGCTGATCGCAGGACAGAAATGTGCCACCAACACATTAGCTGTTGTTTGCATAAAAAATATCTGGTTTTGATATACAGTACTGTGCAGAAGTCTAAGCCCCCTAGGCAAACTGTTAAAAAATGGGCAAGAAGTGTGTTTTGCTTGTAAAAATACTGTATAGCATGAGAAATGCAAACAAACATTAATAAAGAAATAATTAATAAAAATAAAGACTTTTAAAGTAGTTCATTTCTTGTGAGCTAGTTAAAAGAACAATGTTCAGGTTCAGATTTCTCCTCGATGCCCTTAACCATTACATAATTAGTTAATTTAGTCCTGATTTAATTTAATGAAGCACTGATTAGCCAAACCAGGTACTGGATGATAACTACAAATATCAGTCTGCCTCGGAAATTGTTTCCTGAAAACATTAACGGGGAATTCCACCGATTTTCCAAAACTTCTGCATAATTAAACCATTATGATGTAAACAATGTTTACCAGATATATATAAAGCTTGTAAAAGCTCCTTCACAGAAAGTTATTACATGAACTAATTATAAATTTGATATCTGATGCCCTAAATTCTGAAAGTGTTGAACAAAGATTATAGCCTAAAACATATTTTTTTATCAATATATTCACAGCAGAGAGGTACATGCAGAGGGTTATGAGGCAAAATAGACTAGAAAATTGATTTTTTTTTTATATTTTTCACTATTTTACCATCATCAACATTATATATAACAACTCAGAAGGCACATATAGGTTCACTGGTGGTTTTGGATAAAATAAAATGACTATTTGTGTTGTAGTCATGGTGATCACCATGTCATCACCACCCCTGTAAAGAAATCAGAGTCAGTAAGTTTCTCTACAGTGAACCATTTCATACCAAACCACTCTGAATGACTGTTTACATCTCAATGATTGAATTATAGACATTTTGAAAAACTGGTGCAATTACTTTTTAACATACATAAAATGAATAATTATTGTATTGATGTTCTTTGTATTAAATCTAATAGTATTCTTTTTGAGAAAAAAAACGCTTACTGCTCAGCTATTAAATACAACTTTCTCAGGGGCCTAAAACTTTTGCACAATATTGTATCTCAAGTAAACCATTTAACCACCTGGGATATGAATCAAAAGTGCACCCATTTCCATCTTCTGCAAGTTATCATGACTTTTATTTTAGTGGCCAAAAAATTAAATGTGTACAATATTCCCCTTACCGCAAATGCAATCGAGACACATAGTGACCAAAGTTTGTTTCGTTAATTTTGCACTGGAGCTGTGAGGTAACAGAAACTCTTCGCCACCTGTCAGGCTTGTGCAAAGTGAAGCATAGTTCTGCCTTAAACCACATTAAGTGACCTCTAATGGACTTGCTTATGTGTTTTTTGGCCATAAGTCTGTTCATACACGAAACTCTACTTTGAAACTGCTCCACAACCTGACACAGTTTGAAGCAAGTGTGTGATGATTTAAGCATTCAGTTTGCAGAGCACTAACAGGTGACTATAAACTTCCATTACAATGGGGAAAATCAAATAAATGATCTCTTTAAATATAAGGATCTATACAGTCAACTTCAAATTTCACAGGGACGTTTACTAAAGGAAGTGGTGCGATATGGATTCTGCTGCACTGTTTGTAAATGTCAAGTGATTAGAGCATTTATTATCATGTAAACCTTGTTTACTAAAGGGAATATGTTCTCCAGAGATTCTCTCACCTTATTATAGTTGCCTGATTTAATCCCCACTGGTACCTTGCTCTGCATGATGTAAAACACAGCAAATGAACAAAACTTCATGCAAAGAGTACAACAGCCTCATGGAAAAAAGTCTTTACAATAACAGTACAATAAAATAACTTGGTAATAGCAATAACATGACTCCGTTTCCAATTATTTCACTTCTGAGAAAAATTAAGGATATCTGACAAATATTATAAAATATGTATTTGCTGCCCAATTCTGGGATAGGTGTTGAACTCTGACCTCTGGGCAGGGTTCCACTTGGCAGTCCTTAATGGCACAGTGGCTGTCATCAGGCCAGAATGGACAGGGCCGCTTGAGGTTTACCTAAGCAGAGAAGCCATGAACAATGAATAACCGCATCCTTGTCCAAATAATCATAGCGCATGCTAGAGTCCGACCGAAACACCAGTTGACCGATATTGCGTGGATTTATTGGTATCAACAAAAAATGCTTTGGGGTTGCTCTGATACATTTGCATCAAAAAACACTTTATGTGAAGAGAACAAATAGAAAAAAAAGAAAAATAGATAAAACAACAGATAGATGACAGAATGTCATGCTCCCAAATTTACATTCTTTGAAGGACACATTTCACTGAAAACCAAATTTCCCTTGCTTTCATTGTAATAAAAGTTGCACAGTATGTAAACACTTACTAAGTATTAAAACACTTATGTAAACACTTACAAGTACTAGTATTAAAACCATATTGTTCACCCCTCAGTCCACACAGTCCATATATGGAAACTAAGCTGCAAAATGTCCTGTTTCGAAATTCACTGTTTCAGAAATGCTACCAAAAAAACAAAAAGTTAATATATATCCACCTATTTAGCCTGCAGCAGTTAAGCCCTGCCCATTCATACTGAAGTTCTAAGGAGTGTTTCAGGCCAGACTGCTTTCTGAATGTAGCCCATTTTATTCCAAAGATAAGGAGGTTGGAAAATGCTCAAAAATAATTATGGCTGTTTTGGGTACATTTAACCATGCAAACGTCTTTTTGTGTGGTTTACATACCAAAAATAGCCACAATGAGGTGAGGGGAAAAATACACACATCTAACATCATAAGCAGAAAAATGCAGAACATGGGCCGTTTAAGACCTTGTGAGTTTCTTCTGTTTATTCGAGTGCAAGAGTTAGACAACTGAGAAGTGACAGTAATATTTCACAATTAACAGTGGACAACTGACAATCATAGTAGTTAACTAAAACTACTGGAGCCTGTAGGTTTTTACTATATTAACTTTAAAATGAGTATAAATGATACTCTTGCCATATCCATCAAGCCTTAGAGCAGCACATCAACAGAATTTTTTGTTAGTGAAAGAATTGTGGCAGTTGACGTGGATTAGCCCCATTTCTCTTTCGTATATTGATTTCACACTCAGAGCCATTTCCTCCACAGTGGCTTGCATCACCAGCACTTTTTTCCTTTACAGTAAAAGGCCCCCTAAAAGCACGCCACTTTGCCACAGCAGCCCACAACTAGTGCATATATATGAATCTCTTAAATCTTTTCCTTTAAGCTTCGGGTAAATTAGATGAATCATTTAACGCTCTAAGACTTGCAGGTGCTGGGTAATATCACGATCGAAATCAGCACGTGCTTTCTTGTGTGAACTGGTGCAAGCAATGTGGAAAAAGATTTATTTAGATACTACTAAATATAAAATCAGGTTTTAGCTCTAAAGAACCTCATACACTGACATAGGATTCATTTAAGCAAATTAGAACCTTTTTTGGAATTCATTCCAGCCTGTTGATTATAAGAGGGACACTGTGGAATACAGTGCTATAGGAGGAGCAAGGAGCAAGCCAGAGGAAAAATGCAAATCAGGAGGTTAACGACTAGACTGAAGCACCTGGACAAGGAGAGACACTGTAGTCACTTGGAACGATAATTTGCAATAAGCAAAATGTATTGCAAATTGTCTTTTGTGACAATGGAATCACAAAAGTGCAACGTTAGGAAGTGATGAACTTACCCGGTAATATCTAAAGAAATCTCTTTCAATGAGCTTCTGCATGAGTGGAAAAATCTTGAAGTTGTTGAAGACATCGATGCTCTCGATGTCACAGAAACAGTCGTCCAAGACGCCCGTCAACTGACAACAATGAGAAAAGACATTTTTAAAAAAGGAAAGTAAGAGAAACAGCAGATGTGTATTTGCAATAAACAAAATAAATCTGAATTCTGTATTTTGAAGCACGTGCTATTAAGCCAGACTGTACGCAAATTATACTCTATTCAACAACTAAAAATAATAGACTTTCAAAGCTCCTTTCTCGTTTCTCATTCGATACCAGCTACATTTCTTTATCTACCTTTATGCATTATAAATAGACAGCTGCTTTGTGTAACGGGCTTTGCATTGGTATCTGAAACGGACATCACGTAAATAATTAACACCTCCGTCCAATCAATGCAACAGGTTCCTGAATTCATTATATATATATCTATACAATTACATAATAACCAATAAAAAGGGGAATTCCAATGATTTTTACAATTATCTGCATTAAGACACAAATTCATTCAAAGTTCTAGAGAAACTTACAGAGTCAGAAGTGCTCACAGTGGTGGAGATAGGAACCAGCTGTCTGAAGAGTTTAACGCCTCTAAAAGCTCCCACACAGCAGGTTATCACACAAAACTCTTACAAATACAGATACCTGAAACAATGTTTTACAATAGTTTTGAGATAAAGTTTTGGACTAAAACTTATTTTTCTGAATACATTATTGTTGGAGAGGTACACGGAGGGCATTCTTAGGGCAAATAGTTCCCAAAGAAAGCATACTGTGTTAGATTTACTACGATTTCACCATTATTAACATTACACAATACTCAGAAGACACATATATAATCTCTGGCAATACTGAGTAGGGAAAGAGGCTATACTTGCACTGTAGTGATCATGACCCCGGGTTCCTATCACCACTACTGTAATGTACCATTTCACATCAAACCACTCTGAATGTTTCCATCTCAACATATGTTTGAAACATTGGTGGAATTCCCCTGTAACAGTTAATACAATTCAGGACAACAAACATAATTTGAACTACAGAAAAAAAAGAGTTAAGAAAAAGGTTTTTTTTAAAAATGGACAGCATAAAGAGAGTAATGTTCTATTCTATGCATTCAAAGCACTAGATCAGATTATTGGTCTTACGCCCTGTGTGATCTGGCATGACTGCAAAAGTCCAAAAAGGCTGATGGCAAGAAAGGCTGTCCTCCACAGGCTCCATCTGTCTCCAGGCATATTAAAACTTTTGCCAGCCTCGTTTAACAGCGAAGTTCTGCACTTCCCCTGGTCTTAACGGCTGTCATCTCCTGACAGAATCCGAGGCAAGTCACCTTCTAGACCTGCTGTATATAAACCCAACTTTGGAAAGGGAGGGAGAGTTCACCTAATGAGCTGCCACTTACAGCCACATGTCTTAGAGTCGTACACGCCTCCAAAACAAAGATCCCGTCACGCGAAGCCCCGCCTCCCGCGCTGTAGTTTTTCAACCGCTGCTACGTTATTCAAATGGGCCGCGACGTAACGCGGTAAAAACTACAAATCCCAGAACTCCGTCTATCCCGAAACTTCGCTGAGCCAATCAGACAACAACACGCTGAGTAAATTGTCAGTTTGGTTTCTGGGGCTCAGTGTGGTTTAGATGCAGAAGCTTTTTTTTAAACATGCGTGTACGATCGATTAAATTTTGTAATTTTTACTTGTGAAATGCATCTAAACGAGCACCTCGTAGGTTTAACAGTGGAAAAGGTTTCTCGGTATCACTGAATTGGGTCTGCACACTTAATTACATCTTAATGTTCACATATATCAAAGCTACTATAGAAACGTGCCCAGTTATAACTTACTAAGCTCTGATTATTGGGCAAATATGCCATGATGTGATTATGTTTATATCTATATCCATCCTGCTAGCAATCTTGCTCTGTGAAGTTTCCCGTTCCACCTTAAATGGTACAGCATTTACTGCAGCACCATTTAAGGTGGAACGGGCAAATTCGAACAAGAAGCTGACTTCTTCGTGGAGCCATACAAGATACAAGATGACGTCAAATGTGACATTAGAAAATGCGAGAAGGATGCACCGCGTGACAAACACGGTCTGGGTACAAATTACTATAATAAAGTTAATAATAAAATGCTAATGTCAGTTTTTTTTTTTGCTTTATTGTAGGTTGTAATTCATCCGCATTGTACTCACATGACACAGGCAGCTCTGCTCCAAGCTGTCCGCGGTGTGTTGTTGTTGTTGTTGTTGGGTTTTGCCCTGACTGCCGTAATGAAACCATCCAAAGACTAAATCTCCAAACAGTAAACACAGCAGGAATAAAACTCCACAAAGGTGTGTGGTGTGTTTTACCATCGCTGTTTCTATAGACCCAACACAGGCGAACTTAGTGCTCGGTTGCTAAGTTAGCTAGGTTAAGCAACAAACGTTAGTTAGTTAGCGTTAGCATCTGCAGATGGCAAAAACAGGGAAAAACAAGAGATAATTCTGCTTCTTCTATTGCGCCAGTTTCTGTGAATTCCTACAAAAAATTTGACCTGAAAATGGTTTCTGTGAGAAACAGTAAGTAAGTAAGGAAAGTCAGCATCGGTTTCCTCAGAGCTGCGCCTTCCTGACTCCGGAAACTGAGGAGGCGCTGTGGCCGCGTTCCAAACCCAAATCCTGGGTTGCGTCTCAAATCGACTGCTTGTTTCCTAGGTAGTGCACTTATTAGAAATTGAATCTTTTCTAGAACGTTCCAACGCAGAAATTTCTAGTGTGTGTTTCTCCGTGTTTCACACGGTACTTCATGCATTTGGGTACGTGGTTTATTATACAAGACAAAAACGATTCAGTTAAACAAATACTTAGATTCACTAATGATCAGATAAGAGTAGAACTGTGCAAATTCCATTTCTTATGCCTCGTGCAATAGAGAATCTACAATTTTTACACGACTTGTGTTGCCTTTTTTCTTTCTGTAGTTTTTTCTAAGTGTCAAGTGTTTGTGCTGTGTGCATGCCAGTCCTGTAGGGTGCTCCCAGACAGAGACTGCGACAGACACTGACCTGAGCATAGCCGAGCTGTACAAATGTAAAACAAGTGAGTTTCATGAACACTTTAATTTTACATAGCCTTCCTCAACTGAACCACCAGCTCAAGCCAAGTCCCTGGGAGCACACTGTCCCAGTCCTGGGCAACACAACAAAAGGGGCATTTCTTCTCTCCACAATGCCAGCCCACCAACATAGATATACATATATATCATATATAGAGATCACCACTAGCCATACACATCACCCTCAGAATCACCACCAACCCACACTAACTACTTGCTACAATACAGTTAATATTACATAGCAACGTTTAATGCAGAAACCTTTTTTATCATAAGTGTCATTTGTTTATCCAGTTACCACCGCTAGCATGCTAAGCTAACGGAGCTGTGCATTCATTTATTGCAGCTTTTAAATAACCACAGACATTTGAGGTTTGTAACAGACATTCAGTGAACTACATTTTTAATTCTGTATTTTGCAGTTTTCAGTAATGATCTGACCTTGAAAATATCAAATATAGGCCTGTTAATACTAGTTAGTTGACAGCATCCTGTTACCACATGTCCAAAATACCCCCCTGTATGGGGGTCCCATGTTGGCTGGCTACTCCAGCGCTGACTGACAGAAAACTTTCCCTGAATTTGTATTTGAGCATTTATTTTTACCTAACTGGGTGATGGTGCAGTTTGCGGCTGTCGCTACAGCAAAACTGAGTGAAACTGAAAGTATGGCAGGAACAGCAATGTTATGAGCATAAACCATTTAAGGAAGTGCAGTGCTTCAAAGAACATGGCTTCATAATCACTGCTTGATAAAGCCCAGTTCTTATTGTTGGAATCTGTGCCTTCAACCAGATGAAGAATTGCTAATTGAACATCACGGGGCTACTACTCTGTCATTAGCCAGGCAGCAGTTAAGTCTCACTTTAATAATGAGTCTCACTTTAAACAGTTTAGTCCACATCAGTTTACGTCATGATCAGCCCAACTGAAACAAAACACTGCAAAACAAAAATATATTTTGCCGTATAAAAGCTTAAGTTTACGTAGCTTTTCAAATGCACAGCCTATTTATTTCAGGCCTAACCTAACACAGCAATGTAAATTACACAGAGTCTGTGTATGTCACCTGGCCTAACTGTGTACAGTGCTATTTCTTTTATTTCCATTATGCTACTCATAATTTAAAACATACTCACTCACTCAGAGAAGTATCCATGGCATTTTTAAATTATTAGCTGACATGAAACTAGACAACATTGAGTGGATGGAATAAGTTGACTCGAGGAAGGGGTTTACAGTGGAGTGCTACTTGGTGAGTGAGGCGACCCTGTGCACTGGTATCTGTTGATGCCTCTCCAAAAGGCCCACTTCACCTGAGGAGCAACAATTTAACAGAAGCCATGAGTTGCTGCCTTGAAAAGCCTGGGGCTGCTTTGCTTGCCTCGACATCGGACTGCGAATCAGCCCACAGAGGCCAAGCAACATCATTGTTCACTGGAAGAGCCCCGTTTTCTTTCTTTCCTTCTTTATTTCTTGTGTAGTGGTGGGGAAATGAAGACTAGGGCCCAATCCCATTTCTTCTTTTTACCTCTACCCCTTGTTTTCGAGTGTCACCCTACTGAGTTACAAGGGGTAGTGGTTGAAATCTTGCCCTATGAAATGGGACAACCTTCAAATTAAAAAAAAAAAAAAAACATTGCTTCATTAACAGGCTACTAGTGGTGCTCTGTAGGCGACCTGCCCCGTCTTCAGGAAAGGGAAAAGTTCAGCAACCTCACTGCTGGGCTTTAGTTACATTTAAGGCATCATATGCTTTCAAAGAGGGGGTATAAAACAATTATTTATTATCCCTCACCTCTAATTCTTTGGTGATACAAAGCTGAAGTCAGCTATTTGCCAGCTTCTTGTTCAAATTTTCAAGTTCCACCTTAAATAGTACAGCAGTTACATTCTGGCGCTTCAGGCATCAGTACTGCTGGGCCATTTAAGGTGGAACAGGAAAGTTAGCTAGCTAGCTACCGTGACATTAGCATACTCATAGCGATTTTTCATGCTTGTTATGAAGAAAACGACTATAATACATTGAAATGACATTAAACTAAGATAATACAATGGTTTACGTGATTTTTTAACAGAGAAAATACTCATGTTTGTGGGTTTCCTTGTTCGTGCGCGCAGACATCTTGCTGGTTTTTCTTTTTTTGGAGTGTGCCTCTGAGAAACCTCTGTTTGGAGGGCCATGTAGCCCTAACACTTTGCCCTACCCCTCTATCTCAACAAAAAATGGAACACCCTACCCCTAGACTGAATCAAAACAGAGGGCTAAGGGGTAAGTGATAGGGGCAAGGGGTGAAATGGGATTGGGCCTAAATGCTTGCTGAGATGAAATGCATGTCTGTTACAGTTTCCCTCTGAAGTCATAATAGTAATAACAAACACAGATCATCTTAACGCTTTATCAAGTTGAGTTTGGTATTTCAATGTGCTTAATTAAGCAATATAGCATAAAATTAAAATGTCCTGAAGTCCCAAAACAGTATGATGGAAGGTGTATGGGACTAGGTATGGGATATTAAAATATACCAGCTGAAAATGCACTTCAATTGTAATAAATCTTGTCTTAAACCTAAAGTAAACCATGTCTTTAGCAAGTTTAAGGTAATCCTCATTTAACCTTTTTATGAAGCATCTAGTGGAAAATGTATGATTTTTAATGACACAGTAATTCAGTTTAGGTTAAACTGCTGGTGCACTTTAAGCTGGAGCTTTCAAGGACACAACAATGGAAATGAACGTTAAACCACAGCTAAGCTGAAGACAGTGTAAATGCCCCTACTGCTAACAGACTCCTTTTAACTGGTTTTTACTTAATATTTTCTGTAACTAAATATGCCTCACTAGAGGCGGCTGAGCAGGTTAGCAGAAAACTAATCGGCTAACGCTTCATTAAGAACAGACAAACGTTAAGTTCAAACATTTGCAGAATGAGTAACTTAAAACTGAGACATACAAAGTAAAGAATATGTTAATCACATGCCTGTTACAAACTTAAAAGGCTTCATTTAAACTAAAGCAGACATGAAAATCTAACATAATGCTGACCTAACCCTGCTAGCTTGGCGCTAACATACCACGAGGAGCATTATCTTAGCAAGTTAAACAAAACAAAACCTTAAAGAGTAACTACACTCTAAGACCTTTTTTTTCATTAACAGCTGTAATACATTGATCTGTAATAATATAATATACCAGCCTTGCTTACAATGTGAAAACATCTTTCCAAACTGTAAAAACGTCATTTTTATTGTGGTCAGTTCTGCCTCTGCAGCGCCCCTCTGGTTCAACTCTGCTATAGGCGCGGATGATGTGTCTTTGTACCAAAGTACCATGACACGTCACAGTATGCAAATCAAACAACATTACCGCCCCCTGATGACAACCTACTCGTGCTGCACTCATAACTATGAAAGTATAGGACCCTGGAGTGAGGAGATAACCACAATCATGTGCTGAGCTAAACACCCCCAGCACCAACCGTAAATAACCCAGTTAATCTACCCAGTCCAACATCTTTATTATTAGCTTATAATAAAGATGTTGGACTGATTAGGTGAAAATTCTTGCGAGTCTCCATAAACTACGGAAAGTGACATGGTTCAGGAAAGGTTACCGTTAAATGGTTATTGTTAGCGACTGTGCCAGCCTTTCGTCCATACAGCCTTTCTTGAACTTTTTTCCCGCTTTCCATAGTTCCAGTGTTGCTTGCCGTTGATTTTTGTTTAGTGAGTTTGCGCACCGAGGGTTAGATTTATGAAGGGGAACGTAAATTTGAGTGGGAACTGAATCGGATATAACATGGTAAATGCCATGAACAGTAAGGATTTAGGGCCACTGCAGCAAACTCTGGCTGACCAGTGATGCAGTCTGCGACCTTGATGTCAAACTGAATGAAACTTAGACAGTTGTCAAAGAAATCCTCTTTATTCATTCGGAATTCAGTACATCTGAGAAATCGGGACTCAAGTTATATCGAATATGGACCTGCTGAACAGATAATTAGAAGCGAGCTGTCACGGACGCTTCTGCCGCTCGCTGTTAATCATTTTCTGGCACTATGTTCACTCTTCAGCAGCTTGAGTCAGTGACTTATACTGTTAAGATAAGACGCACTGTCTGATCAGAAACACCTTCCCTCATTGAAGATGGGGATAGAAGTGGAGAAGAATCTTTATCCTCGTAAGACCTTTCAGTTGCAAAAGTGCAGCTTGATTCTGTCACTCTCTCTATATTTTCTGGTAGCTAACATGAGCTATAAAAACACAGCAGCCTAGCCCACCCGGTTCCCCTCGCAGCAACACCTACAAACCCGTACATCACTGCAGTGCCCCTCCAAGCATGCCCCTCCCATTTTTGAGCATTTTTTTCAAGTTGAGCCAGGGGTGGAGTTAGCTAAAAATAGTAGGGTGTAGTTACTCTTTAAGTGAATTAACATGAATCATTGCTGTGTAATGGCTTTACTTCATGGCTTTATGTTTGTATCTTAAAGTGTGAACAAAATTTAAAAGTTGAAATGACTTTATTAGCGTAAAGTAATTAGTGTAGGCTTTAAATTAAATCCTCTGACTGTTTCTGTCCTGCAGGTTCAGGTTTTTTGACAGATCTTTTACAAATATTGACACAAAAGCATTAAAAACCATGTGGATTAAATGGTTTTGCTTCCTATTGGGAATTGGTTAAATGGTTTCCAATAGAGACCATCCTCCTGTAGAATACCTTTAGATCTTGTTAGGAAGCAATCAAATGCATTTAGAATCAGCCATTAGTCACTTGTTAAACCATTAGGATCCTTTACACTGTGATATCAACCCACTAAAAAAGCCAAAACATATTACAAAACCTTCAGGAACCAAAAGAAACCCTTAACGGTTTCTATCATTTTTTTCATCAGGGCTCAAGCATCACAATAAAAAAGACTGACATTTGTATCATGTTAGGATGTTACTAGCATTTCACATATATAGTCTGTTCACACTTCACCGGAAGTTCTGTGCATAAGTCACCAAAAACACCAAGGGATGCAAAAATAAGGTGGATAGTTAAAAACATTGACAAAGTCAATAGCAGGCTATGCTACCAGCATACAGTTTGTTTACATATGGCATCATGTTTCAGACAAACTGGGTGTTATTAGATAGAAGAATGACATAAACAGAAACTTATTTTGTGTTTTCAAATGCAAAGCACCAGAAATGAAAGTGGCCTTAATATTGTGCTGTTGAGCTTTTTCTCTTCTCTATACTCATGTACTGTCTAATAATCTTCACCCTTTGCCTTAAGAACAAGGTTCAAGCAAGCGTACCTAACGTTTGACTGAGACTGTGTTTTTACTTGACAGTGACCATTTCAAATATGGGAAATCTTGATTTTCCAGTTTTGTCTGCACCTCTAGATCAGGTGATATTTATGTAATCACTTGTTAATACTGCAACAGAAACAGCCACACCATCATTCACCTGTCCTTCAGAGGAGTCTTATCCTAGAAGATTTTCTTCAAGAGTACAACAGGGAAAATGTCACAAATAGAAGAAACTAGCTGTAATGGTGAGTTTTATTTGTGTTCTTTTTCATTTAATATCAAATATCTAATTAAAAATTGATATGTGCTATACTCTGCATACCTGGCCTTAGTGAGATAACTAATGGTTATTTGGGTTCTTATCTGAACATTTTTACTTGTGTAATATTTATGGTTCACTTTACATTTTCTTGCTGCTTTTTTTTCAAGAAAGCATAATGAAACATTTTGTGTATGTCATTTATACTGGTTTAGTTTGCTGAAATTATCTCTGTGGATTTTGTTCTTCAGAGGAACTGCTGGGCAAAAATGACATTTGAAAAAGGAATAGCAGTTAGTAGCAGTTGCTATTACTCATTGGCCATTTTATCAGAAAAACCTACCATACTGTTGTACTTTATAGGCTTAGTGTCTGCACTCCATCTGTTGCTGTAGAATTATGCCTGATACACTCATATTAGATGTACCTTCAAATACAAATGTACCCTCAAAGGGCTGTGTACCTTAAATAACTTTTTAAACTAGAACAATAAATTAAAAAGGCTGGATGCTGATTGTACAGCAAAAGATAGCCAGCATAGTGCCTACATAGTAGTGTAGGTATACCTGACAAAATGATCAATGACTGGACTTAAAGGTCTTTAGCGTGGATCACCTCTATGTCCACTGGTTGGCAGCCTGAGCCTGGCTTACACTCTTAAAAAAAGAGGTTTCTAAATGGTTCTTGGCTTGGATGTACGGGTCAGGCAATTGAATAACTTCTACATGATGAGGAGGTTCTTTAAACTTTGAAGTGGTTCCTATAAGGCATCACTCCAAAAAACATATTTTGTGTTTGTGAGCCTTGGTTTAGAATTGCTCACTAGAGTGACCTCAGACCACCAAATGGCGTCTCATTAATCAATTTCTTTCAGTCGCAGGTACAGAGCTGAGGGCAGTAATTCTGGGATGGCACAAGGCTGGAAAGACTTCGGTGATCAACACCATATTAGGACCCAGTGTGGCTGTGTCAGTTAGTGGTCAGTGTGTGAAGAAAGAGGGATATGTTAATGGAAGGAAAATCGCGCTGGTTGACACGCCTGGCTGGTGGAAAGACTGCAGTATAAGAGATTCACCAGAGCTTTCCAAACAAGCAATAATGCGTAGTGTATCTCTGTGCCCTCCAGGGCCTCACGCCTTTCTCCTGGTCATTGAGGCAGATTTGTCATTCAAGCAAAAGCACATGGAACCACTAGTGCACGCATGGAGCTTTTGAGTGAGAGAGTCTGGGCACATACCATAGTGCTCTTCACAGGGGGCGATTTACTGACAAACACGAGCATTGAGCAGCGTATACAAAGAGGAGGGGAAACCCTCCAGAAGCTTTTAAAGAAATGTGGGAACAGATATCATGTTTTTGATAATGTTAACACAGGCAATAGCGCTCAAGTCGAGGAATTATTCGTGACAATAGATGATTTAGTGAGGCAAAATTATGGCAGACATTTTGAGATTGATCTGGATGTTCTAGAAAGACTTCAAAGAAACTGGGAGGAAATTCAGAGAAGAGCAACTGCAAGGCAAACCAAGGTATGGGATGAAAGGTCCTTGATTAAAGATAAAGGTAGGTTTATTTACAGTCAACATTTCTCTGAAGAGCTGTTTGGTTTCATATTTTGGCATGTCATGTACTAAATTAAGTTCTCCTTTGCCCTCATATGAATCCATTTGAATCTAAGCTTATGTACGTCATCTTGAAGAGCTAAGAATGGTCCTCTTGGGTTGGGTGATGTCTGGGAAGAGCTCAGCAGGAAACACCATACTGAAGCAGGAAGGGTTTATGACAGGAGAGCGAACAACAAAGTGTATAAGAAGGTTTGGAGATGTGGCTGGAAGAAAGATGGCTGTATTGGACACGCCTGGTTGGTTGAAGTACTTCTCGTCCAAATTCAATGAAAGGGTCCAACCCACAGTCCTTGAGGGTGTCTCACAATGTAAGAAATTCCCCCATGGCGTGCTCCTGGTGCTTCCTGCAGATTCATCCTTTAAGGAGGAACAGAAGAAGATCATTGAAGAAAACATGGCCATCTTTGGTGAACAAATATGGAGACACACCATTGTGCTTTTCACGTGGGGTGATTTTCTTGGTGACGCACTGATCGAGCAGCACATTGAGAGTGAAGGCGAGGCCCTGCAGTGGCTGATAGACAAATGTGGAAACAGATATCGTGTCTTTGACAATACAAAAAGGGGTGATGATGCTCAGGTCACTGAGCTGTTGGAGAAGATTGAAGAAATGGTGGCTGGAAACTGTGTGTTCTGTCCTGATGTTACAAAGTTAAGTGAAATGAAGGCTGAGCTACTGCTTGATACTTCTGAAGATACCTTGAAGTTAATAAAGGAGGAATGGAACAGAAAAGCTATGAAGTTCAGAGAAAATGTAGAAAAATTACTGGCAGAAGACACTTGGGCACTACCCAAGAAAAGTAACAAAAGCAGGACACCTCCTCCTACCTGTAAGTTAGAACAGTTAATATGGTTTTTTTTTTCTCAGTTTTGTGTTTTCATTTGTTTCATTTGCAGTAAAATGAATATGTTTTATTTGCAGTTAGTGAAAAGGATGTATCCACTGATACTATTGAAGCGTGTTGGCCTGTATGTGAGATGGATATTGCATCAAAGAAAAAAAGGAAACATCTGGGCTATACTTCCGAGGTATAAAGATACAGGGGTTTGATATTCCACCAAATACACTATATGATCAAATGTATGTGGACACCCCTCCTAATTATTGAGTTCAGGTGTTTCAGCCATGCCCATTGCTAACAGGAGTGTAAAATAGCACATAGCCTTGCAATCTTCATAGACAACAGTTTGGGAGAGGCCCCTAAAGTGTATTGACTGTGCCCCTGTGCACATAGAGAGGTCCATAAAGACAAGTTTGGTTTGTAGTAACTCCAGTGGCCTGCACTCACAGAGCCCTGAACTCAAGCCCACTGAACACCTTTGGGATGAATTAGAATGTCAACTGTGAGCCAGGCCTTCTTGTCCAACATCAGGGCTTGACATCACATTGCTCTTTTGACAGAATGTGCACTAATTCCCACAAACACACTCCAAAAGCCTCTGCAGAGCCTTCCCAAAAGAGTGAAGGCTGTTATAGCCGCAGGAGGAAAACTGCATGTTAATGCACAAGATTTTGGAATTGGATTTCCAATAATCTTATATAGGTATGATAGTCAAGTGTCCACATACTTTTGGCAAATAGTGTAGCATGCACTGTATTCTCAATATAAGAGTAAGTATATTTAAATAGGTTTAAACTCTCTGGTAACATACTGTGGCGTCAGAGCCAGCCTGAGTTCTGTTTAGTTTAAAAATGTTTTAATGCTAAGCTTAGTTATTTATTTCAGTAAAAATGCTTAGACTGTTCATAACTGTTTGTTTGGAGGCTTTTGGACAAACTTTACAGAACATTCAACCTACCGAGAAATTGTAGCAAACAACTGTTTTGTCAAAACACATATTCACATTGGACCACTACAATATTTGCTTAGAGAGACTATACAGTGTTGAGTTTAAAATGCTACTGTTTTAGCTAATTAGGTTGAAAATGTTAAGGATTTTCCACCAACTGAGCTGTTGTGATTCTAGAGGTTTGCACTACGCCTCTATAGGGCAAAATAGTCTGGACAGGCTACAATGCCTCAACAGATCAATGAGATATGCCAAAGCTCGACCATTAAGGGCTGTAATCGTCATAAGCAAGATCTTGTAGTCAATACAGAACTTAACAGGAAGCCAGTGTCAACTGAATAAGACCAGATGAATATGCCCAAACTTTCTTTTCCTGATAAGCAAACAACAGCACAAACTGCTAGTCCCTATTTCCTCTGGATTCTTGCAAAACCTCCATAATCTCCTCCCCATATGTTAATCCTTGTTTGATAATACAGGGTCTGGGCATAAAGACACAATAAAATTCCACCATAAAACCCAAGCTGAATTCTCAGTGCTTCTGATTTATCAGAAAAAGTCCTTTTTAGCACATCTAATCTGGGTCACCCAGTCAATTGGGTACTGAAGATCACTATTTCATTGATGTGATTTCTGTGCTTCTTCTCATTCCTACCCAAACATAGGTCAGTGATAACCTCACAGAGCAGCTTCTATCACTTCTGGAGAGAGAGTGGAGCAGACAAGAGGCAATGGTGATGGAGAAAGTGCGTGCAACTCTTCTTAAAGCCAACGGTGGGTTACAGTTTGAATACAAGCAATAAATAATGTTATAATAAAGTTCAAAACATGCAATAAGCAGATACAGATGCTAAGGAATGTACAGATGCTAGTAAATACAATCTCTACAGAGGTCTCTTCTGAAGTGGATGAAGATGAGATCCATGCATCGATGGCCAAAGTGCTTTGGTGGATTCCAGCCTGTGAAATTGGCAAAGACCTATACAGAAGCAGTGATGTGTATGAGGATGTAGAGGATGTATCCTCACAGAACTAGGCCATTTTCTGACCAATGGATTTGTCCTCTGTGTACTGGTATGCTAGCTAGTAGATACTGTCTTTGACAGCCAATGCTCTATAAGTTAAACATGACAACACAGTGAAAAACAATCAAATAGAAGAGTTAACTTTACTATTGCTTCCATCTTGTCTTGATGTGTCTCAGCTATCTAGGTCTCCAATACGTATATCTATGTCTTGTTTCGCCTACCGAGGTAGACAAGGTACCGGGTATACAAAATATCCAGACAGACCCTTGAGTGAATTCAGCAACTTTAAGGTACAGCTATTGTTGGCAATGGCTTTCAGTAGTGCACATGCACAACTTGTATAATCTTCAAAAAAGAAAAGTGCTGCCAATACAGTGGGACACTGTGGAGCTACCACAAATGAGCTTAAAGTCATCCTGCCCAATGCCAAGCATCATCTAGAGGGGTATAAAGCCCCCTGCATTGGGCTGTGGAGCAGTGGAACTGCACTCTCTGGACTAATGGAGGTCCATGCAATACCTTTAGGATGAGCTGGAGTGATCCAGAACTGATCATCCAATATCAGTACCTGACCTCACTAATGTTCTTGTGGCTTCCCAGAAGAGTAGAGGACAAACTCCCTACAATATCCTTCATTTTAAACGCTGGACAAATAGGTGTTTTTTGGATACGTATGTACTGACCTACATTTAGTATATGATTCATGCTTAAAGTTTTTGTTTATCAAACATGCAACTTTAAATTGTAATCTCATACCTATTAATAATGTAACTCATACTGAAACAATCATGGTAAGCTAATACCTTGTTTTCTTATGTGTTTTTGGTTTTATTTGGGAATGCTATGTGAACTGAGCATTATTTAATGTGGTTAAAAAATTAAGTGATAAAAATTAAGTGATTTTTTTCTATTGGTCTGCTTATCATGAAACTTTCACACAATGTAAGAGACAGCTGGTGTTTTCAAATTATAGTAAAAAACATAAAACAACCAAAATACCAAATACCAAGATACAATGTTTGCCATTAAACACTTTGGGTGTTTGGTTCCTATGACTCTGAGTCTGTAAGTTTCTTTCATATCAAACCACTCCAAATAACTGTTTATATCTAAACCAGCAGTTCCCAAACTGTAGTACACATAACCCCAGGGGTACGGGTAGTGAAGTTAGGGGTACGCAAAAAAATTCTGACAGTTGACGTTTACACTTTTTTTAATCTTCATTTCATTTCAGCCGGCCACGCGATTACACAGATACTTCCTGATACAGACAACACAGACGACTCTGCAGCTCTGCACTCCACTCCACTTACAAACTCTGGCCAATGCCAGATTTCTGGATAGCAGCTCTGCTGTATAACTGTACATGAGCGATGAGTTAGCAGGATATTTATAATTCCCAGAACATGACAAATGCGCGTTCTTTATTATTATTTGTGTAAAGCCTGTATTGGAAAAGTAGGTGCGTCTCTCCGGTTCCTTCTGCGTGTCACTTAAGAAATTAAGACCCCGTTTACACCTGTTCACTTCAAGTGACTACTATCTGGATTCTATCCTGATAAGATTTTAGGCACATGCATTTACACTTGGTAGTCAAATGCATCTTCGGTCCGACTGAAATCGGATTGCTGTGTGGGATGGTATATGCAAATCCGCTTGTTACGCAGCGAGCAATTACCAATTGTTTATTCGTTTAGCCTCTTCCTGTTTTGTCCTGGGCAGCACAATGGGGCACAAGGGGAACTTCCTCTCTCTCCACGATGCCGGCCCACTAAACTCTCCTCTGCTCACCACGGCACTTCCACACTGAGGCCTTCAACAGTTTTGCTTCTGCTGGCACCGCCGCTGTGCCTCGCCATGCCACCTCAAGCACTGAACCTTACCGTACTGACCTAGCCACTACGCTTCCCTGCACCAGCCCTGTCGTCAGGCCTTCCTTCCCCGGCTCCGCCGTCGAGTCTTACCATGCCTTACAGTGCTGTCCCCATCATCATGGCCTTTCGTCAGGCTTTGCCTCTCTTGCTGCTCACTCTTGAATTTGTGGAGGCATCATTTGTCACCATTTCTCACAGCTGACCATTAAAGGGAGGGGGCTATGTAGTGACCTGCTACTGGCCACCAGACGCTCATGAGGAAGATCATGTGTACATGCCACATGAATGCTTGTTGGGGGGGGTGCTATCCCACTTCTAACACCAGTGTAGCATCTGCATAGAATAAGATCCAAGGCACACCATGATTCCACCACAAGAAATACTTTTTATTAAACACCTGGACTGAAAAGCACATAAAGAAGCAAGAACCCAAGGGGGAGATCACCACTAGACATACACATCACCCTCACGATCACCACCAACCCACACTAACTAAACCCACTCCCAGACACAGAACACCACAATATACACATACCCCTTACCTTTAACTGACAAACAACAACACAGCCAACACAAATAGTCCCTTTTCTGGAGGACACACCTCCCCTGATCCTCCTGGCACAACCATCAGCATTGGCATGCCTCACAAGTGTCTAGAGGCCAGCCCCAGACAATGGCAGGTTGCTACAATACAGTCAATATTACATAGCAATGTTTAATGCAGAAACCTTTTTGTATCATAAGTGTCATTTGTTCATCCAGTTACTATTGCTAGCATGCTAATGTTATGTTAGCGCTAAGCTAACGGTGCTGTACAATAATGATTTATTGCAGCTTTTAAATAACCACAGACATTTGAGGTTTGTAATAGATATTCAGTTAACAGTTAATTCTGTATTTTGCAGTTTTCAGTAATGATCTGACATTAAAAATATTAAATATAGGCCTGTTAATAAGAATCAGTTGACAGCATCATGTTATCTCCATGTGCTTGTATGGGGGTCCCATGTTGGCTGGCTACTCCAGCGCTGACTGGCTGCTAACTTACTCACCATAGTGAAGCAGATGCTAGCTTTGAAGGCAACATGTTTGGTTTAACAGTTCTTCTTTTGGAAAGAATTCTAGTTTGGTGATGTGCTCTTGCACACATTCATTGTAGATCATACACATCTCTTGTGTCTTTGAGAAATGAGTAACAATTCACTCTTTCCACCAATCTCTTGATGATTTTAGATTTACAAGCATGCATATTGTAAAGATTTTCAGAGGTATCCTGGGCATAGTTACAGTTGCTAGGCTATGAAGGACCAACTGGGTGAACCAATCTGCTTCAGTGCTATCCTGGGGTAGACCAGTGCTGCATTTCTAGTTAGGAATACCAAAAACATTCCCTGAAGTTGTTTTAGAGCATCTATTTTACCTAACAGACATAATGTCGAAAGTTTGTTTTCAGGAACACCACAGAATTTTGATGTTAAGACATTCAGATGGTCCAAGTGGTTAATTGGGGGTCTGCATTTCTGGGTGGTGGTGCAGTTTGCAGCCATCACTATTGCCAAGTGAAACTGAAAGTATGGCAGGAACAGCAATGTTATGAGCATAAACCGTTTAAGGAAGTGCAGTGCTTCAAAGAACATGGCTTCATAATCACTGGTTGATAAAGCCCAGTTCTTATTGTTGGAATCTGTGCCTTCAACTAAAGATGAAGAATTGCTAATTGAACATCACGGGGCTACTACTCTGTCATTAGCCAGGCAGCAGTTTAGTCTCACTTTAACAGTGAGTCTCACTTTAGACAGTTTAGACCACGTCAGTTTACGTCATGATCAGCTGAAACAAAACACTGCAAAACAACAATATATTTTGCCCTATAAAAGCTTAAGTTTACGTAGCTTTTTAAATGCACAGCCTATTTATTTCAGGCCTAACCTAACACAGCAATGTAAATTAGACAGAGTCTGTGTATGTCATCTGGCCTAACTGTGTACAGTGCTATTTCTTTTATTTCTATTATGCTACTCATAATTTAAAACATACTCACTCACTCAGAGAAGTATCCATGGCATTTTTAAATTATTAGCTGACATGAAACTGGACAACATTGAGTGGATGGAATAAGTTGACTCGAGGAAGGGGTTTACAGTGGAGTGCTACTTGGTGAGTGAGGTGACCCTGTGCACTGGTATCTGTTGATGGCTCTCCAAAAGGCCCACTTCACCTGAGGAGCAACGATTTAACAGAAGCCATGAGTTGCTGCCTTGAAAAGCCTGAGGCCTCTTTGCTTGCCTCAACATTGGACTGCGAACCAGCCCACAGAGGCCAAGCAATAATAACATAAACACAGATCATCTTAACGCTTCATCTGGTTGAGTTTGGTATTTCAATGTGCTTAATTAAGCAATATAGCATAAAATGTCCTGAAGTCCTAAAGCAGTATGATGGAAGGTATATGGGACTAGGTATGGAATATTAAAATATATGAGCTGAAAATGCCTTTTTATTATATTAATCTTGCCTTAATCTTAAAGTAAAACCATATCTTTAGCAAGTTTAAGGTAATCCTCATTTAACCTTGATATGAAGCATCTAGTGGAAAATGTATGATTTTTAATGACACAGTAATTCAGTTTAGGTTAAACTGCTGGTGCACTTTAAGCTGGAGCTTTCAAGGACACAACAGAGTTGAAGAACCCACATGACTCTTTCAGGTTTAAACTGGGGTTAAACGCTAAACCACACCTAAGCTAATGACACTCTACTGCTAACAGACTCCTTTTAACTGGCTTATACTTATATATATACAGGGTGTCCTAAAAAAATTGACATCATTTGAGATGTGAATATCTGAGTAACTACATGTCCTAGGCAAACAAAATTAAATTCAAACAAGAGATTCAGAGGGATGTAGATTTTATAACTGATTTCACAAAGCTTCACAAATGTAATATCTTCCGATACTGGTGGTTGTCCAGATCCCTTTGCCCTGCACAGACAGCCTTCCTCTTTGAATTTTTTGTGCCATGTCCAAATCTGCTTTCCAGTTGGTGCATTTTTATTGAATTTTCTCAAAAATGCACGCTGCACACTCTTATTTGACTGTGTTCGAACATGTTCTAACACACAAAATGCCTTTTTATTTCTAGTGAATGCCATTCTTCAACCTGAAAAAAAAAACATTAAAAAATTAAACTTGGTTAGTTTTTACACATTTTTTAAAAATTTGAGATCATTTGAGGGAGAACTGGCTATGTTATTAGACTACGAAATGATGTCAATTTTTTGGGACACCCTATATATATATATATATATATTTTCTGTAACTAAATATGCCTCACTAGAGGCGGCTGAGCAGGTTAGCAGAAAACTAATTGGCTAACGCTTCATTAAGGACAGACAAATGTTAAGTTCAAACATTTGCAGAATGAGTAACTTAAAACTGTAAAGAATATGTTAATCACATGCCTGTTACAAACTTAAAAGGCTTTATTTAAACTAAAGCAGACATGAAAATCTAACATAATGCTGACCTAACCCTGCTAGCTTGGTGCTAACATACCACGAGGAGCATTATCTTAGCAAGTTAAAAAAACAAAACCTTAAGCAAATTAACATTAAACATTGCTGTGTAATGGCTCTGCTTCATAGTTTTATGCCTGTATCTTACAGTGTGAGCAAAATTAAAAAGTTGAAATTAAATGACTGCATTAGCATAAGTAATCAGTGTAGGCTTTAAGTAAAATCCTCTCTCCCGCAGATTCAGGTTACTTGACAGGTCGATATAAAAAGCTCTTCCTGCCAAAAAAGGCCCATCATAAATCATCAGGATTAAAACCTAATGGTTTTGCTTTCTAATAGGCCACTGTACTAGTGTCGTCATTTTGTAGTGGGCTCCATGCTCTTATGCCCTTATTAGGAACTCGATTTCTCTATGGCCAGAATGAAACTTATCTACCGCACCCTGTGGTAGATAAAAATGTTCAGAACCTGATACGTTTTGTCCTGTGAACGTTCTTCTCTTGAATATCACTGGATCCTCTGAATTACAAGGTTGTTAAGGGTTGAAATATGAATATTGCTACATGTAAACTAAAGCTACTGCACATTACATTCTGAACTTCTGCACCATTTTAAGGTGGAACAGGAAAATTCGAACAAGCAGCCGGCAAGAAAGAAGCTGACTTCAGCTTCATGGAGAGTTGAAAGGCATGATATGAGCAGGTTTCTCTATTTCCGCCTAACAGCTGAGTAACATTAACTTATTTTTGTCTCGTTTGCTAATGTTTGTGATCGCTAATCACAACTGCTGCACCAATTAAGGTGGAACAGGAACATTCAAAAAAGAAGCTAAATTCAGTCTCATAGTTTGAACGCTTGTAGTATTTTTTTTTTATAATCTTTTGAGTTTCGATAACTTTTTGAGTTTTAGATACTTTATCAAAATATCCTACCTAGAGACTGTATTTACGAGTATACTTGTAATTATGCACTACGGTAGAACATTTTGATAAGGTAGCACAGCTCGTCAGAGCACCGGCACAGCCCGACTTACTTTCACATAGCTTAGTGACGTGTTTGTTTACATGTGACATGATATGCTTCAACTAAATGAAGTGTCCCAGTTCTCCAGTAAATATGCTGAAAAATCATCTCTGTTATTTCTGGTCCTGCAAAATGGCTATTCATAGATTCTCTTCAAGAAAAAGAACTGTAGCTCCTTTTTCACCCAAAGGTGAATGTTTAAACTAGAACAATAAAATAAAAAGACTGGATGCTGATTGTACAGCAAAAGATGGGCAGCATTGTGCCTGCATAGTAGGTGTAGTAGGTAAAGAAAGTGACCAATGATTGTACATAAAGATTGTGGATCACATCTATATCCACTGGTTGGCAGCCTGAGCCTGGCTTACACTCTTAGTTCTTGGCTTGGTTTTATGGTTTTAGAGAACTGAAGGACTTTTTACATGATGAGGAGGCTCTTTACATTTTAAAGTGGTTCTTATAGGGCATCACTCCAAAGAACCCTTTTGTGTTTGTGAGTTGTGAGCCTGGGTTTAAAATTGCTCACTAGAGTGACCACAAAATAGCCTCTCATTTCTCTTTCACTTTTATTTTACATATTTCTCTTTATGTACAGCACTTTGGTCAACTGTAGTTGTTTTAAATATTTACTTACAATTGATGTGTATATTTATTTATTTATACAATTTAAACACAACCTCTGCAGTAAACTATTTGATTTTTTTTCCTGCAAATGTTCATTCACTGTTAATAAACTAACGGGAAAGGTGGAATCCTATGAATCCTTCAGACAAACCCACTACTTAGAAGGGTCGCCACACATTTTAGGTGATGTAAGTTGTACCTTTTCTCCCTCACATCCCTCCTGCTATTCTCTGTGTTCCTGTCATGCAGATAAACTATTTCAATTTCTTTTGATTTGAGCTACAGCAGGACTGAACTATGTAATATTCAAATCATGCTAAAGTTTTGTATTTCTCAAATGTGCAACTTTATATTGTAGTCTTATTAGTAATGTTAATAAGTAATACTGCATTAATGATCAAATGATCATGGTAGGTTTATACCTCCTCCTGTTACGTTCTCCTGTGATGTGGTTTAAGAGTGATTTGAAATTGCTATGATCTGAATCTTATTTAATATGCCTAAATGTTTGAGCAGTCTACAAGCCCTTTTCCAAAAAAAGTTGGGAAGTTATGCAAAATGTAAATAAAATCGAAATGCAATGATGTGGAAATCATTTAAACCCTATATTTTATTGAAAATACTACAAAGACAACATATCAAATGTTGAAACTGACAAATTTTATTGTTTTTTGAAAAATATATGAAAAATATATATTTTGAATTTGATGCTGACAACATGTTGGAAAAAGTTGGGACAGTGGCAACAAAAGGCTGCTAAAGTTGTGTGATGCTAAAAAAAACCTGGTGGTTGATTGGCAACAGGTCAGTAACATGATTGGGTATAAAAGAGCATCTCAAAGAGGCTGAGTCTTTCAGAAGTAAAGATGAGGAGGGGTTCATCACTCAGTGAAAGACTGCATGATCAAATAGTGCAACAATTAAAGAATAATGTTTTTCAACATAAAATAGCAAAGAACTTTTGCTTTTCATCATCTGCGATACATAATAACATTGAAAGATTCATAGAATCTGGAGAAATCTCTGTATGCAAGGGACAAGGCAAAAACCAGTATTTGCTGGCTGTGATCTTTGGGCCCTCAGGCGGCACTGCATTAAAAACAGACATGATTCTATCATGGAAATCACTGCATGGGCTCAGAAACACTTCTGAAAACCACTGTCTGTGAAAACAGTTCGTCTCTGCATCCACAAATGCAAGTTAAAACTTTAAAATACAAAGAAGAAAGCATATATGAACAGGATACAGAAACGCTGCCACCTTCTCTGGGCCCAAAACTGAGCTCAGTAAAAACAGACTGAGGTGAAGTGTCCTGTGGTCTGACAAATCAAAATTTGAAATTCTTTTTGGAAATCATGGATGCTGTGTCCTCCAGGCTAAAGACAATTTAGCTTGTTAGCAGTGCACAGTTCAAAAGCCAGTATTCATGATGGTATAGGGGTGCATTAGTGCACATGGCAAGGCACCATCAATGCTGAACGATATAAACATGTTTTAGCAACATATGCTGCCATCCAGACAATGACTTTCTCAGGGAAGGCCTTGTTTATTTCAGCAAGACGATGTCAAACCACATTCTGCATGCGTTACAACAGCATGGCTCCATATTAAAAGAGTCTGGGTGCTAAACTGGCCTGTCTGCAGTCCAGATCTGTCAGAACATTTGGCACATTATAAAATGAAAAATAAGACAAAGGAGAACCTGATCTGAAATCCTATATCAAACAAAAATGGGAAAACATTTCACTTTCAAAACTACAGCAGTGTCTCGTCAGTTCCCAAATGCTTACAGAGTGTTGTTAAAAGAAGAGGTGATGAAACACAGTGGTAAACATGCCCCCATCCCAACTTTTTTGGAACATGTTGTTGGCATCAAATTCAAAATGGGCATATATTTTTCAAAAAACAATAAAATGTCTGTTTCAACATTTGATATGTTGTCTTTGTACTATCAATGAAATATAGAGTTTAAATGATTTGCACATCATTGAATTTTGTTTTTATGTACATTTTGCACAGCGTTGCAACTTTTTTGGAAACGGGGTTATATTGTGTTTTCAAATGCAAAAGCACCACCAATGAAAAGTGGGCTTGTGCTGTTAAGCTTTCATTTCTCTGTACTTATTTACTGTTTTACACTCTTTCTATAAAAACCATAGTAACAGAAAAAAATGAAAATATTTTGTTGAAGAAAATCTAAAATAGCCTGCAAATCTTTCCTCTAAATAGTCACCCTTTGCCTTATGAACATAAGCAATGCAGTTAACAAGGTCCAAGAAACTGTACCCAGCGTTTTGACTGATACTTTGCATTTCAAGTCTGGAAAATCTTGTTTGTCCAGTTGCGTCAGGACACTGCATTTTTAGATCATCTGATATCACTTGTGAATAGTCCAACAGAAACAGTCACCACAGCACCACTCGCACACCCTTCAGAAGTGTCTTATCCTAGAAGATATTCTTCAAGAATACAACAGGGAAAATGTCACAAGTACAAGAAGCTAGCAGTAATGGTGAGTTTTGATTATTTTTTAATTTAATATCAGATATCTAATTGAAAATAGCCATTTGCTGTACTCTGCATACATAGTCACGGTCAGACAAATTATTCGGACTCTGCACATTTTTAAATGTACATTTGTCAACATTTGTCTGTCATTTATTCTGTTTTAGTTTGTTTAAATTATGTTCTTCAGAGGCATTACTGTCCTTTGAAAAATGAACAGTAGTTGTCAGTTTATTAGGTCCACCTACTTTGTATGTAAACTTATTTAGACATTTTTTCAGAAACACCTACATTAAGGTGCACTTTTTAGAGTGATATATTTATTACCTTTTGCTGGACGGTTTAACAACACTGCTTTCAGTTTCACAAATAATATCTGGTTTCACCACATAAAACTGTACACAACCAAAAATATTTTCACCCATAATGGCGTCTCATTTCTTATCTCTTGCAGTCACAGGTACAGAGCTGAGGGCAGTAATTCTGGGATGGCACAAAGCTGGAAAGACTTCGGTGATCAACACCATATTAGGACCAGGTGTGGCTGTGTCAGTTAGTGGTCAATGTCTGAAGAAAGAGGGATATGTTAATGGAAGGAAAATCACGCTGGTTGACACGCCTGGCTGGTGGAAAGACTGCAGTATAAGAGATTCACCAGAGCTTTGCAAACAAGCAGTAATGCGTAGTGTATCTCTGTGCCCTCCAGGGCCTCACGCCTTTCTCCTGGTCATACAGGCAGATTTGTTATTCAAGGAAAAGTTCATGGAACCACTAGTGCAGCACATGGAGCTTTTGAGTGAGAGAGTCTGGGCGCATACCATAGTGCTCTTCACAGGGGGCGATTCACTGACAAACATGAGCATTGAGCAGCGCATACAAACAGGAGGGGAACCCCTCCAGAAGCTTTTGGAGAAATGTGGAAACAGATATCATGTTTTTGATAATTTCAACACAAGCAACAGAACTCAAGTCTCAACACTATTTGAGAAAATAGATAATGTTGTCAGTCAAAATTGTGGCAGAAGTTTTGAGATTGATCTGGAAGTGCTACAAGGACTTGAGAGAAGGTGGGAAGAAGTTCAGAGAAGAGCAGCTGCTAGGCAATCAAAGGTACAGGAAGAAAGGTCCTTGATTAAAGATAAAGGTAGGTTTATTTACCATCCAGATGAACCGTCAACATTTCTCTGAAAAGCTGTTTGATTTCAAATTTTGTCATCATGTCATGCACTAAATTAAGTTTTCCTTTTCCCCCTATATGAATCCATTTGAATCTAAGCTTATTTACGTCATCTTGAAGAGCTAAGAATGGTCCTCTTGGGTTGGGTGATGTCTGGGAAGAGCTCAGCAGGAAACACCATACTGAAGCAGGAAGGATTTATGACAGGGGAGCGAACAACAAAGTGTATAAGAAGGTTTGGAGATGTGGCTGGAAGAAAGATGGCTGTATTGGACACGCCTGGCTATTGGAAGTTTTTTTCATCCAAGTTCAACCCAGAGTGGGTCCAAGCTGCAGTCCTTAAAGATGTGTTAAAGTGTAAGAAATTCCCCCATGGCGTGCTCCTGGTGCTTCCTGCAGACACATCCTTTAAGGAGGAACAGAAGAAGATCATTGAAGAAAACATGGCCATCTTTGGTGAACAAATATGGAGACACACCATTGTGCTTTTCACGTGGGGTGATTTTCTTGGTGACGCACTGATCGAGCAGCACATTGAGAGTGAAGGCGAGGCCCTGCAGTGGCTGATAGACAAATGTGGAAACAGATATCATGTCTTTGACAATACAAAAAGGGGTGATGATGCTCAGGTCACTGAGCTGTTGGAGAAGATTGAAGAAATGGTGGCTGGAAACTGTTTGTTCCGTCCTGATGTTACAGAGTTAAGTGAAATGAAGGCTGAGCTACTGCTTGATACTTCTGAGGAAGTTTGGATTGAGGATTTCTTGAACTTGTTTAAGGAGGAATGGAACAGAAGAACTAAGGAGTTTAGAGAAAATCTAGAACAGTTGTGGGCGGAATCAAGAGATTCAACCATGAAAAGCTACCGAAGCAAAACACCCCCTCCTAAGTGTAAGTTAGGACTGTTAACATAGTTTTCAGTTTTGGGTTTTTGTCTATTTCAGTTAAGTGCTGAAATGGAATGTGTTTGATTTGCAGTTCATGGAGAGGATGAGTCCACTGACACCCCTGAAACATTTGGGCCTGAATGTAAGACGGACAGCGCACAGGTGTTCAACACTAAGGTGTGGTTTCAGGGCCAGCTCTAGCCATTTGGGGGGCTGAAGCATATATATATAGCATATAATATATAATATATATAAAAATATATAATATATAAAAAGCATATTATATATATATATAATCTTAATCCTTTAATGACAGAAGAGGGTGTGGGCATCAAGCAACAATCAGATTACACCTACAAAAATCCAAGCCAAATTCTTAGCGCTCCTGAGGTAGCTAAAAAAAATTCTTCTTAGCATATCTGATCTTCAACATTTTTTACAGGATACCTTGTGACCAGATCTTTATGAACAATGTGATCTTTGTTCATGAACTGGGTATTGGAGATCATTTCACTCATGTAATGTCTACCCCTCTCCTCATTCCTGCCCAAACACAGCAGCATCTTCTATCACTTGTGGAGAGAGAGTGGAGCAGACAAGAGGCAATCGTGATGGAAAAAGTGTGTACAACTCTTCTCCATGCCAACCTAGCTGACGGTAAGTTATGTTTGAATGCATGTAATAAATACATTTCAAAGAATGCTATAAGCAGATACAGGTGCAAGTGAATCTGCCATTTCTACAGACGGGTTTTCTGAGATGGGAGAAAAAGAGATCAGTGCGTCGGTGGCCAAAGTGGAACGGTGGCTTTCAGGCTGTGAACATGAGAAACACATGCAGTGATGATGAGGACCTGGAGGAAACAAAGCTCTCTCCTAAATGGCAAACCAGCACATGCTATAAAACTGTCTCTGGCAGTCAATGCTGCCAATATGACAAGAAGGAGGACAGTAAAAAATACAACTGAAATATAAAAGGCAACTTTGCAACTGCTTCTGTCTAGTTTCCTGCTCTAGATAATCTCTAGTCTCTTGCATTACTCAGTAGTTGTCCTCTGACAGCTCTTAAGGTGTCTAATATATATGTTTACACTACATTGCCTAAAGTATGTGGACATCTGAACATCATACATTGAGGGAAATCAAGTATTCAGACACTTTTGTGTCATTGAATACACATCCATTGCATGCTTCCACCATTGCACTTCACTGTGCGTGTTCTTTGGATTATACACAACAGCCTTCTTTCTCCAAACAGGAATAGCAGAATTATTGCCAAAGACTTCAATTTTTTTATCTGGCCAGAGCACATTGGGCCTCATTCTCCAATATCTTCCTAAGTTTTTCCTTAAATCTGTTCTAAAAATAAAATATAAATGAAAACGCCTGACTTACTTTGCTCTGCTTTAAGCTTTAGCTCAACTATAGCCACTTTTCTCGCATCTCTGGCAGGAAACTTCCCCGAAAAAGCAGAATAGTTTCTTATAAAATGTCTCTCAACTGTCAATTTTTTATGAGGCCAGCTTTTCATTCACCAGCTACTTTTTCGAATTTTCCTGTTCCACCTTAAATGGCACCAGAATATAACTCCTGCACTATTTAAGATGGAATGGGAAAATTCGAACAAGAAGCTGGCGAACGAGAATCTGACTTCAGATTCATGACGTTTTAGTGTTTGAGAGTTTCTCTGTGAATGTATCAGGAAACCAGCTGAGTGCTTATAAACGCAAATAGTCTCTAAATTATTGATGTACGTCTTAAATCTTTCTCTCTGCCTTTTTGTTAACTACTAGCTAGGCAAGATTGTTGTCTGCATTGCTATAGAGACCAGCAGTCTGTGCGCCAACCCTCAGGGTTAAAGGGTGAATGAGCAGTTATAGGCTACATTAACTCCAGCGTTTAAGACCATTTATTGTTAAAACTATTAGAATGATCAGCAGAGCTTTATTTTCCTGCAAAGGAGGATTATTTTACTGTTACCTAAAAATGTAATTCTGTGGTGGGGGAGCAACAGGGCAGTAAAAGAGCCGCATGCTGATGACCCCTGGCCTAAATGCTTGTGTTCAAATTTTAGATGAGTATCTCTGTGCTTCTTTATAGCAGAGGAGGTTTGGGTGAGGTAACTGTTGTCTTTTCGAGTGACTGCTAGGTTCTTTTTTACATTAATCTATCATTATCATTAGTCTGAGTGCATGTTGTGAAATCCTGCATGGCGCACCTGTCTGGGGAAGATTAGTTCCATGAACTTTCCACTTGTCAAACTGTACTTTAAAAACAATAATCATATTATTATATGATATTATATAAACTCCAGAAGCACCGCTGTGTCTGATCCACTCGTACCAGTGCAACACACTCTAACACACCGCCACCAGCTCAGTGTCACTGCAGTGCTGAGAATGACCCGCTACCCAAATAATGCCTGCTCTGAGGTGGTTCTGACCATTGAAGAACAGGGTGAAAGGGGGCTAACAAAGTATGCAGAGAAACAGATGGACCACAGTCTGTACTTGTAGAACTACAAAGTGCTTCTACATGGTCAATGGAGCTGTTAAAATGGACAAAGAGTGTAGAAACAAAGAGGTGGTTTTAATGAAGTGTCCAGTTGGTGTATATATACATATCGTTGCTGTATCTCCAAAATGGTAACTTTTCAGGAGAAGGAAAAAACATTCTAAACTTTCAATGGAAGTAAATATAAAAATTGTTTTTACTTTTGTACTATTTCTATTGATCCATCCATCATTCACACAGTGTGAAGTCTGGCTGGTCTTTTCATGTTATGTGAACTAATGAAAAACAAAAAAATATGATAAAGTTTTGTTCTGACAGCGGTATTTTGGAACTTCTAGTATATTCCACATATATTGTATACACACATACCATGTTAGTACTATTCAGTATTCACTATTCATGTTGTTAGTTGACTTAATAACTTAAATCTCCCTTCTTTTATTGTCATTTAACAGTAATACTTCAACAAAATGTTACTTAATGTTCTGTCTAATAGAGATTATTCATAATGCTCCACCTGGACCAGCGGTGCTCAGTCCTGTTCCTGGACATTAGCACCATGCAGAGTTTAGCTCCAACTCTAACCTAACACACCTGATCCAGGTAGTGAAGGCCTTCAGGAACATATGTACATTAGAGCCAGAGATGTTGGATCTGAACTCTCCAGGGTGGTAGATCCAGGATTGAGCAACCCTGACCTATACCATACTATACCAACCCTTACTGCAGGAACTTCTAATGCGTGAGTTTTTAATGTCATCACTGTAGCACAACAGTTAACCTGTACATGTTTTTGCTTACTGTGCACCTGGAATAGCATGCAAAACAATCTAAAGCTTACCTGGTTTTTATCCTTAGGGCACTTTAAATGTTTAATTTCATCTTATATCACATCTTTTCATTCATGTTTTATTTGATGCATTTGTTTTAGATTGTAATTATTGTATTTCTTTTTAGGGTTTTATTATTTTACTAATGTGGTTGTTTTATTATTCCACTTAATCATTACCATTTCTTATTTGTGCTAAGTTTCTTACTAGGCTATATTGTAAATGAGGCCTTTACCTCATTTACCTCATTAAATAAAGGCTGAATGAATAAATGAATGAATGAATGAATGTTGCACAGCATACAGTGGCCAACTGTACATCATGGTTTGTTCCAAAAATATTGGGAGTGGACTTTACACATACAAGAAATATCAGGGCTCTCAGGCAATATATATATATATATATATATATATATATATATATATATATATATATATATATATATATATATATATATATATATATATATATAGGAACAAAACTTTTCATATAATCTACACAATCAATGGGTTTAAATGAGTTTGCAGCCTTAAGTTTTTGTAATGTGTGAAATTTGAAAGGCTAGTAGTAGTGAGAGTAGTGAGTATGTAATACAAATATTGCTACTTATCTAAATCTTACCTCATGAAAATCATCTTCATATCCACAGCATCAGTGACCCCAGTGTAACTGGACATATATTCTAAACAGGACCCTAAAGCCCCTGAATGATATGAATCATCAGCTCAGCATAAAGAGCAGCAATCTATCAGCGCCTTGGCTCAAACGCTTCTGCAATTAGAAGAGCCATATTAGATTGAGCTGGGAACATTACAAGGTCTCTCATTCTCTGTTGTATCTCTCTAAGAGTTGAATTCTTTCCACATCTCTGGCGAGGTTGGGAGGTGCCCTATGATGCTAATTACCATATTAATCACAATATTAATTGCAATACTGATTTTGCAGAAAGCGTAAGGAGCTCATTAACCAATCATAATGTTTTTAAACTGTGTGCTGTCAGCATCCTGACCAATCACAGTCCCACATTAGTGTTTCTGTAGGTGTACAATCCAGAAAAGTCATATTTTGGTCAAACTAATGCAGACCAATGTGTCAACAATATTAACAGTTTTGTTATATGTTGTAAGGTTTTACAAATACAATTCTAGATTTTTCAATAGCCCAACAGCACAAGCCTGCAGATTTATTTAATTTCAGCTACAACAAGATAGTAACGCAAGTCATGAAAGCTGCTTATTGATATCAGATAATACAGAGTAATTAGCAGAGCAGATATTTAAGAGGATGAAATCAAGATAAACTGTAAGCGCTGAATAAAAAGAGGGGGCAGAAAATGGATAATGTATTTTTTTTTATCACAGATAACTCCATTATAAACTTCATATGACCTGCTAATTTATTAAGCTAATAAAACAGTTGTGAGGATCCTGAGTATTTTGTGTGTACTGTCAGAGTTTGAGGTGTGAGCTATTTAGTACATTATTGTGTACATTTCTGCAAAAAGTCAGCAAGTTTCAGTCAGAAAACTGTAAATAAAAACATCATTGAAAGTTTGTCAATCTGTCTTGTTTATTGAGTTTGCTGTGCATAACATTTTCTGCTGTACAGTATCTGGTCCATTTAGTGAACTGCATTACTGCAGTAATTTCTTTGTGCAAAAGATCAACACAAGACTGCTGTGCCTTAACACACGTCTCGGTAAAACTGGATTTCATTTGGCTACATATTTGTTGTACATTCATAAACGGAGCTGATTTAAATTTGAAAAATAAAATAAAGTAAATGGTAAACGAGGAATGTAATCGTCACTGTACTCCATCTCACATACAACACTATTATAGCACAAGCAGAAGCATTCAGTAAGGAAAGTGCAGTTTGAATTTAGTTTTATGTACAATAACACAGCATAAACAGAAGGCACGTATGTTTCTACATACACAACTGGGTATGTGCTGTGTGGTTCGGGGGTGGCAGGGTGGAAAATCTTTATAATCGTATTGACACCTGATCATTAAAAGGTTTAAAAGTATAAAAACATATATACACATAAATATTCTGAAGCTAAAAGTTCTTAATTTACTTTATCTTTTATACACACCACCACTAAGGCTCACCTTAAACCCACAGTCTTTATATGCATGCAGTCTGACAAGCAGATGCATTACACTGTTCCATTAGAAGACATCAGTTATAACATTATTGCACTCTCTATAACACACAGCAATCAGCAGTTCAGAGGTGGCTTCGCTTTAATATAAATCCTGGGCTGCAGTTTGAATATTTACCTACTGAACACAACTGAAAGCCTGTATGGGCAACTGACTGTATACACTAAATGTTATCATTGTAAGTGGAAGCATATTAACCTTATATCTTATATGTCTCATTATAACTGTGTGGGAATATTATAAGGCTACTTAACCTTTTTCTGGACATTTTCACATACAAATACGATGTTAACGAGTTTATATTGCACTGGCAGATTATTTTACTTATCTACAGTTACTGTATAATTACTTAAAATAAGTAAAAATGTCTTCAAATAGGTTGAATAATCCTATAATATTCTCAAACGTCTCAATCTTATAATGAGAAATATTATCGCCTACATTTAAGAAGCTTTTACCTGCCAACAGTTCACTGAAGTCAGAACAGATTAGAAGCTAGATCTGCCCAGAGTGTTATAACCTCATCTCTCCTTCTTGGTAAGCTAGCAGTAGTTTCTTTGGTTTTAACTCATCAGTAACAATGGCAATATACACAAACCACAGTGGAGATCAGTTTGACTGAATTGAAGTCATTTAAAATGACTTGTAATGTTGAGAAATGATTTTAAATCAGTGAAACCATTAATTAAACGCTTCTGGAATTCAAGTTTCAAGTTTTTAAAAAAAAAAAAGAAATCAGCAGTGAACATCAAGGAGATGCTTAGTGTCAGTGTTAGAAAGGTCTCAGCTGGTGAGATGTGACTCTGGATCTACTAGGCTGTTCTCTTTCTCCTCACTGGGTTGTGCATGTGGCTGTGCTTCATCTCATAGTACTGCACCTACAGCAGGAGTTGAAAAGACAAAAAGAAAAAAGCTTAAAAATAAGCTAAAAATCACAGAATGAACACTCACTATGAACAAATAGAAGGAAATAATTAACTACATTGTTAAACAACACAAAACTGCAATGTACACTAGATGGCCAAAAGTATGTGGACACCCCTCCTTCAGTATCTCACAGTCTGACAGATGAATCTTCTGGTGGATGCCAGGAGAACACCATCTACGGCAAAGTGCCAACAGTAAAGTTTAGTAGAGGAGGGATAATGGGCTGGGGCTGTTTTTCAGGGTTTGAACTGGAACACTGACTGCAAGCCAGGACGTCTTGTCCAACATCAGTGTCTGACCTCACAAATAGTCTTTTGACAGAATGGGAACAAATACCCACAAACACACTCCAAAATCTTGTGGAAAGCCATTCCAGAAGAGTGGAAATGAGATGTCCAACAAGCTCATGAATGTAAGATGGTCAAGTGTTCACATACCTTTGGCCATATAGTGTATCTAATATCTACATTGCAGGTCTGAGTTATTAGGAAAATGATTGTCATTTATTTGCATATTTACTAAACAATGAATGTCTATATAAAATTCCTACTTTGTCAACCTGCAGTCAAAACCTTGTTCATGTCATCGTATCATATATAAATTAAAAGATATAATTATTGTTTCTTATAATGTGTCATCAAAATGCAATGACACCCCCCCATAAGGTTTTCTGATTTTTGATTATGTTGATGTGTACCAGCACGCGAGGAAAATATTAACTAATAAAATCATGTTTTACTTCCTTCTCCCACCCCCCTACCTATCATTAATAGAAAACACTCTGCTAGCCCAGAGACCCTCCATCATACTGCATTTCACAGACAACGCGCTATGATTTCTGATCCTCAATGACTTTACAGGGCTTTCTGACGCTACACAGCTTTGAGCTACTGTCATTTGCTACATTGTTTCAGGAACTAAAAGCTGCCAAATAACTGCCAAAATTCTGAAGGCTTTACCTTTTGGACATCTGAAGGCACTCTGGAGAGGAAGTCCATTACTTCGTTGTTGTCAATGGCGTATGGATTCCGGAGTTTCTTTGTGAATTTATTTATACCTAAAAGAAATGCACACAAACTCATGATCATTGCAACAATTGTCCAGCAGGTGGAGACAGTGAGCAGCTGTAAGTTACAACCATTAGTACTTTTTCGTAACCACATTTCAAATTAGAACAATGTAAATAATATAAATAGTGCATGGAATAAAAAGCACAAATTAAAAATAAGTGACTGAACACTGAAATGAGCAAACACTCCTTTATTTCTGATGTTTTACTTGTGATACACTAAAACTGTCAGAATCATCTGAGAAACTCCTGCTTCTGTGTATCTTACCCCATATCAAGATAACATAGCGCAGTGGGATGAAGTATGTGATCACTGTGATGATGATGAGAACCAGAAAGGCCAGGTTTGATAAAAATGGCACTGACCAGTTAAATGTGCTGTAAAACATATAAAAGAGTGAAAGAATTTCAGCTTTAACGCCAAAGTGCAAACACTACACTGCAGTACACTTGTTTAAAAACAACATGACATCAAAAGAAAGTATAATAATTTTGAAAAATCATTCTTGTAATCATTGTTATATACAATAGCACTTACTTTTTTATTCTTTCAGCAAAGCAGGCTATTCCCTCCAGTAGGTTCTGGACAGTGATGACAATATCCTGGACCATGTGGATTTTCTCTATCAAGCCTTTTCTCTCAGATTCCTATCCCCAAAAAAGAAGCACTTGTTTTTGTAAAACTGTGTTAAATCCAAACTAAATGTGAGAGGCAAAATAGCCTACCTTATCTTCTTCATCTTCCTCATCCCCAAGATCCATACTGTCCTGAGAAGAAAGAGTAAAACAAGTGAACATCTACTAAAATCTTTTGTCAGTCTCAAAAAAACCTAATAAAACATAGTCAACTTGGTTAAATCCTTCTTCACCTTTAAGCTCTAAAAACTATCAAAACTAGCTGCAGCTAGACTGAAGTGTCTTAACATCAAAGGTGAGACAACTGAGCTCACAGTTAACCATGCATTACCTCTACAAATCTACAAATATGACTACAAATATGACACCTGTAAACATGCTGAAAATGTTTTGGGCTGTTTTCCCAGATCCAGATTAAGCCTAAGATAAATTGGATTCTTAATCGTGAAACATCATTAACACTGCAATAGTCCAAGACTAGACTTCCATATCCACAAAAGCATTCAAGAATGTCCACTAGAGGGCGGTCTGACTTTTCAGTCAAATTATACAGCCCAAGTTTGAACACCCCTTGTCAAATGATGTTTTGTTGATTTACCAAGTGAAAATAAGTGAACACATCCTCCACAGAGAACACACTAAAATAAGGCAATTTTCTGCAAATTTTAGTGCACAATTCCTGTTGATTTGGGGGAAAAATAAATAAATAAAACATAAAATGTAATTTTTAGGCCATCATTTATGTTTTTTCCCTCCAATATGTTCAATTCACAATCACCAAAACAGCCTTCTGTCTCATAAATATAGGTGCAGTCAAGGGTTCGGTGTCTGAAAAAGATCTAGGGAAGCTCATCCATGCTTTAATCTCCAGTAGAGTGGACTACTGTAACTGGACTTCACAAAAAGACCAATAAGCAGCTGCAGCTCATTCAGAACACAGCTGCTAAACTTTTCACCAGTTTTAACTAACAGAGACTAACAGAGCGCATTACTCTAGTTCTAAAATCTTTACAATGGCTTCCAGTTAGTTACAGAATAGATTTTAAGTGATGTTACTACTCAGTCAGTCAATCACTCAGTGTTTTCGGCCCAGAATGCATCTCTGATATGTTTGAAGAATATAAAGTGAGCAGCTCTCTCAGATCCATGGACTCAGGACAGCCAGTACAAACTAAACATAGTGAAGCAGCTGTTTTAGCTGTTAAGCTGCAAACAGCTGCAACAAACTGCCAGAAGATTTCAGATGAGCCCCAAATGTGGTGATTTTTAAATCCAGATTAAAAATATTTCTCTTTTCATGATTGAGCTTTATAGCTTGCACTCCATTCTTCCTCCACTTAACTTTTAATACGCTCATTTGCATAACACTTATGTCCTGTTTTAATTCCTTTTTACGTTTTTATTCTGCTTTATGTACTTTGTAATTTCTTTTTTCTGTTTTCTTTTTAACATATTTATCTTTTGTTTTTCACTTTATTTTTCCTTCAGATGTTCCTTTTGCTCTTACTTATGCAAAACTTATTAAATTGCCTTTGTGTATGAAATGTGCTATATAAATAAACTTGCCTTGCCCTACTTTCTCCAGTAAATCTCCAAAATGGTAACTTTGCAGGAGAAGGCAGAAACATCCCTAACATGAGTTAACGTAATGAGACTTTATTTATTAGTATTAAGTACTTTTGGACTTTTTTAGTTGGCCCTTTCATTATGGAATGTGTGTAAAGGACAACTGCAATGCCAAAAACATATAGAAAAAAAATGGAACAAATGATGTTTCGACATGCCAGCAACTATTATTTTCAAAAAATAAAAGTAAAATCTAGGTTCTAAAGGAAATGGATACATTAATTCAGGTTTTTTTTAATTATCCCCCCAATTTTCTCCCCAATTTAGTCATATCTAATTCCTCCCACTAGTTTGGACTCCCCCGGTCACATGATACCACCAGCGCTAGGAGGGTGAAGGTTAGCACAGGCTTCCTCCATCCTACCCACCCACAGAGTGAGGCCAACTGTGCTTTCTTGGACTCTCGGCCACGGGTGGCTAGAGTTTTGCACTTTTCTGACTGAATATGATGAACACATGATGTGCATTAGTCATTACAGAATACTGCTGGTGATGGTAGCTGGCATTATCTATAATTACTGCAGTACAATTCACTGTATAAACATTTGATAACCCTTCAGAAGCTATCAGGAACGTGACATTTCATGTTTACATTTTCAAGTAGTGACAGGCCACTTGGTTCTTGACAGAACAGTCAAGAGTGGTCAGTGTTACATTTTCTTATAAAACATCTGATGGCTATGGGGCTAAACTGTGGTAAGGTGTTTCTCTAGCACTAACCTGATCTTGGCTGACCCTCTCGAAGGCGATCTGTAGATAGTTCCACACGAGCATGATGATCAGGAACAAAGGCAACATGTAGAATTCCCAGTACCACACTGTCAGCACGAAGATCTGCAGGAAAAGGATAAGGGCAGTCATAAAGTACAGGCCTGCGATTGGCTTTTTGTTTTTGTTTTAGCATAATGAGGGTCTTTTCCTGTTTTGACTAATCTCAGGAATAATTAGCATTTCTTCCTGTTTAAGCTGGTCTTGGTAAAGATAACCTAACCGAGGAAAACACAAAGCTAGAGCAGGATTAGCCTCTGCAAAGCACTACAAAGCAAACACAGTGATGCATTCACATTTTCCCTACTGCCTCTACCAGGGCCTGACCAACATACCAGTTGTCTGATAATACTAGCCAACCAGCGGTTTTATAAGTATCTGTTTCAGAACTTACTTACAGTTGACTGGGGCAGATCTAGCAGTACAGTACAAATCATGGCATCTTAGGACGGTGCCATGTTTAAAGTCACTGAGCTTTTCATTACTACATGCTACTTCTGTGTGGCAGTGTGGAACCTCTTGCTTTTCATATTCGCTGGCAGGTCAACAGATCAGAGAGTTACACAGACAGTGTGAGCAATGTGGCAGAGCTTTGGAGATGCGCCCTAGAAGCGGCAGTGCATTTAGGGAAAAGTACTGAATGCCACGCACCAAAATACACTAAAACACCAGTGAAAAAAAAAAAGTTGAATAAAATGTTTAAAAATGGCAAATTCTACAACCATTATCAAACGAAATACTAGATAAAGGGATGAATATTTAGGCTCCCTGGAAATGTACCACAGCTTTAAACAACAACAGGCGGAGCAGTAAGTGTTGCTGTGTCCCACCCATCCATCCATCCATCATCTAAACCGCTTATCCTTCTGGGTCGCGGTGGGGTGCTGGAGCCTATCCCAGCTGTCATTGGGCAGAAGGCAGGATACACCCTGGACGGGTCGCCAGTCCATCGCAGGGCTGTGTCCCACCCAGTGGTGAGATAAAAAAAAAAACGGTAACTTAAATCCAAAAGGTGTTTCATGGAGGCCTACAGACACACACAGCGAACTACCATATCTTCCGCCCCAGAATTCACAAACAACAAAATCTGGACAAAGACAGCTTCAGGGCCCATACCGAAATACATACATACATATATATACAACCAAACATATTCAAGCTTAATATACAGCCACAAAACTTCATCTGAAACAGGGGAGCAGCGAGAGCAACAGCAGCCAGCTGAGGAAGAGCTACGAGCTACTGCTGACCATTTGTGGTTGTTAACCACTGTATCTATTTGTTGCAGCAAGTTTACTCTGACAAAATTTATTCTAACATCTTTTATAGCTGCTCTCGACTTTGGTGGATTCAACTAATAGTCATTCTTCATCTATGAAAATCTGACTGTTGCTATGGAGGAGGAAACGACAGTTTCTGCCACTTTACATCTTTGTGGACTGTTCACTCTTCCTGCAGTTCCTGTTTGTGACTGCATATCTTCATATTTAAATACATGTCTCGGTGTTTCAAAGTATGTATTCAGGTATTTCAGGATTGAATAGCTTGCAGCCACCATATGGTTTGATGCTGAGATGGATAAAAAATGATGGCAGGCAGCGCTCCTCACTTTCGCCTTCTCGTTACTTTTGTAACACAGCACTGTTTATGTGAAGAGTTCAAAAAGAACTGCAATACAAACTTTTCTTTTTCAGTCCCTGTGTCTTACTCTGCACACTCAGAGGTAACAGGCCACTCTAGGGGGCTACCTGGGAGCAACAGGCTACATCGTGGAAGTGGCTGTTCTCAAAAATAAAGCTTATCATGACCTCAGTAGGAATAAACATGTGAATTTCTTGGGCCGTGGTGGAGCAACTTGAACCATTCTTGTGTGATTCATTTAGAGGAGGGGGCAGAATATTTGCATTGTGTAGGTGAATCATTAAATATACCTCCTTGTTTCTACACTCACTGTCCCTTTTATCAGCTCCGCTCACCATATAGGAGCACTTTGTAGGTACAGACTGTAGTCCATCTGTTTTTCTTTGTTAGGCCTCTTTTACCCTGGTCAGGACCCCTACAGGACCAGGTACTATTTGGGTGGTGGATCATTCTCAGCACTGCAGTAACACTGATGTGGTGGTGATGCGTTCGTGTGTTGTGCTGGTGTAAGTGGATCAGACACAGGAGTTTGTAAACACTACGTCCACTCACTGTCTCTATTAGACACTCATACTCTGTTGGTCCACCTTGTAGATGTAACGTCAGAGAGCTCATCTGTTGCTGCACAGTTTGTGTTGATCACCCTCTAGTCCTTCATCAGTGGTCACAGGACGCTGACCACAGGACGCTGTTGGTTGGATATTTTTGGTTGGTGGACTATTCTCAGTCCAGCAGTGACATTGAGGTGTTCCAAAACAACCGCTGGACCACATAAACAGGGTGAAAGGGGGGCTAACAGAGCATAGAGAAACAGACGGACTACAGTCTGTAAAGTACAAAGCGCTCCTATATGGTAAGTGGAGCTGATAAAAGGGACAATGAGCGTAGAAACAAGGAGGTATATTTAATGATAACACCCCAAGGCAGAGTGTTTACCTCTGAGGGTACAGAGTGAGACATGAGTCATGAGTTTTGTAATTCCTTTTGAACCATTCACAGAATGAAATTTCTTTTGGCTGGAGGGCAAAAGATAGGGAAAGCGAGGTGCGCTGCCTGCCATCATTTTTTCTGTCATATTAAATTTTACAGTGGCTGCAAGCTATTCAAACCTGACATACCTGAATGACACATCAAGACATTTATTAAAATATGAAGATATGCAAGAAGAGTTAATCATCCACAAAGATGTGAAGTGACAGTAAAGTGTCATTTCTTCCTCCGAAGCAACAGTCGGGATTTCATGAATGTGTTTTTTCTGTAAATGAAGGACTACCAGTTGAATCCAAATGGTCCACAAAGATGTAAAGTGGCAGAAACTGTCGTTACCTCCTCCATAGCAACAGTCAGATTTTCATAGATGAAGAATGACTATTAGTTGAATCCACCAAAGTCGAGAGCAGCTATAAAAGATGTTAGAATAAATTTTGTCAGAGCAAACTTGCTGCAACAAATAGATACAGTGGTTAACAACCACAAATGGTCAGCAGTAGCTCGTAGCTCTTCCTCAGCTGGCTGCTGTTGCGCTCGCTGCTCCCCTGTGTCAGATGAAGTGTTAAAGCTATAAGCTATAAATTAAGCTTGAATATGTTTGGTCGTATGTATGAATGTATGCATCTATGTATGTATGTAGGGGCCCTGGAAGCTGTTGTCCAGATTTTGTTGTTTGTGAATTCTGTCTGGGGCAGCAGATGTGGTAGATTGTTTGTTCAGTGTGTGTGTGTGTGTGTGTGTGTGTGTGTGTGTGTGTGTGTGTGTGTGTGTATGTGTAAGCCTCTCTGAAACACTTTTTTTTTTAATGTAGTTTATTGTTTTTTTGAAAGTCTCACCGCTGACTGGGACACAAAGACTAACTGCACCAAATTTTCAAAATATCCGCATAATTCAGTGGTGTAAAAACTTACTCACATTTTTTTGTTTTACAGTAGTGGAGATGTCTATTTCACTTAATTTCTAAAATCACCAGTGAACCTACATGTCTTTTTTAATGTAAAAATAAAAATAGTGTAAAATACTGGTGTAAACTGCTTTGTAAAGTAGTGGTGAATCTGAGAAAATAAGTTTTCTTTAGGGACTGCTTTGCCCTACAACACCCTGCATGTACTCCACCATGAATATATTTTAAAAATACATTTTAGACCAAAACCTTCTTAACACTATCTTAAAACTATGTCTCGGGCATCAGGCAGCTACTTTATCATCATTACTGTGAGGTTATTTGGTGTAAATATTTTCTGTGAGAGAGCTTTTAGACATCTTCAGACATCTGGTTCCTATCATCACCACTGTATTCTAAATGTATTCTGAATATGTTACTGTTTGTTTGTACTGTAATGGAATACATTTATAAATACATTTAGGACAGTGTATTCAGTGTTAAGCTGTCACTACTTGCACCACTCTGACAGCTATGCAGTACAAACGCTTTACGTATGAATGGCCAACACCTTGCAAGCTGGAGCAGATCACGCTGACGCATCATTCGTGTCATGCAGGGCTAGTATGTGTAAAACGTGCCTTAGAAATGTGACAACTGAGAGCTGCAAGTCATATTTGTCAGCAAAGCACTGTTTAGCTGAAACTACTGGAGTATAATCTAAAATATGAAAGAGAAATATACAATTATATAGCCAGATATTACTGGTTATCTGAGCTTTCAGCCCCTTAAAATCAGTATTGGCCATAAAACTTAAATACAGAACAGCAGCACTTGAGGAACAAACAACGAAACCTCCCGGTTTCCTGTGTCATGTGAACATGTAAATTCATTCATTGCTGCTTTATAATTCCTGTGAATAATTAGTAAGTGAGATCTATATTGATATCACTCATATTAAATATATTTATATTAAGTGCCCATAGCATGTTTATTCTTTCACTGGCTTCTTTATTTGTTTCAATCCTTGTGATCTGTAGTGTCAGCTTTTGAAATGTACAGCACCTGAGAGTCCTTAATCTAATCTGAATCCAGAAATAAGAACCAGATGAGAGGCAGCCTCAGTGCTAATTCTCCACAGTCTGGCTAGGAGAATTTGTGGTGGTATGGATATACACAGCTTTAAAGCCATTCACACCTGTTCTATACCTATTTTAACCTAGCTTGCTCTCCATATTAGACACAAAATAAGCCAAAATAAGGACAAGCATCATGTTAGGAAATTTGCAAATCACGCATAATGCCCACAAGATGACGAACACAAACTGCTAATATAACCTACAGGCTATCGCATAGCTTCTATACCATTTCCAACACAAACCAATTGTCAGCAGCCTGGGCGCTGTTTTGGCCTGCAAGTGATAAACTGCAAACTGCAGCACTTGTTAAAACCTAAGCATTTCTGTTACAGTTACAAATGTAAAACACACAAATTATACTTAAGTGAAAGAACTTACTAATTTGGAAGTATGGAGCCAAAAACATACTGAACTTACATACTGATGTAATTTTAACAACTTACTTGAGCAAATTACAGTACTGTGAAAACGTCAGAGACCACCGTTCATTTATTTAATATCCAGTCAAAATGACTTAAGTACAAATTAGTCATTTTTTTAGTGTCAGGAAAAACACAGAAAATGACACAGAAGCCTCATCAACTAAATGTAATATATTTTTTTCAGTATTAAAAGTGTTCACACTTTGCCTTTATTATAACTTCTAGTCTTTTCAGCAGACTCGCTTTCAGGTTTTTTAAAGAAATCTGCAGATCTGAAATCTGATGTTGAGGTCTTGGCTTAGGAAAAAATGAATAATGTATACTTAATGACTGTTTTTACTGGAAATTGAATAAATGAAGGGTCTCTAACTTTTAAACAATACTGAACAAATCCAAAGCAAGTACAATAAAGAAGTGTAACTACTGAAGTAATTTCCACCCCTGGTTTTGGCAGACAGGCAACAAAAAACAGACATGTGCAGTTCCTCCATGTTGACCTTTCTCTTTGAATGGATCATGATGGCACTCCATACAGGAGCCATTTGTTCTCACCATGAATGCAGTGACGCTCCTCTGAACACTCTCCCACTGAAAGCAGCTCTTAATGTACTGCAGGACTTGATTCAACGCTCTGTAGATGTTTCTCACACGAACAACATTCCTTGCCAGCACCTAACACAAATAAGCAAGCTTGAGACACCAACATTATACAGTCGAATGTTCTATAGCTCGATTTTATTTAGTATTTACTGTCACACCTTTTTGGAAAATTTTGGATTGTCTTCAAGGAACTTCCTCTCCCTCGGATTGAAGCTTCTGATGCTTGCTTTGATCTAATTAGGGATATGATTTAAGTAAACAGATAATTCAGTCAGTTATATGAGTAAATTTCCTCAGATACAATGATGTTGACCAATGTTAGAAAGGCTTTGAACAAATGACACTTACAGGATTGAAAATGACTTCAAGCTCCAGTAATATGGTTCCTTTGGATAAACTCTCCAAGTGGTCCTTCTTCAATGGGCAAGAAATAGTCTGACCATTGTGTATCTGTTAGAAACAGATTAATGTAAATGTAATAATTTAATATATAGGTTTAACATATAGGACTAATTTTCAGTTTTGTGTGCGGGAGTGGGCGGACAACCAGCCCACTGCAGGCAGGAGCAGGACAAAGCACATATAGGCAGAATCATTAAAGAATAGCCAACATAAAGTAGAATTATTACACTAAATCATATACATGAACAACATAAAATGATAACATTAAAACAATTAAAATGAATAAGGTCATTCTAAAGAGTTGTGAAGCAAGTGATCACGTGAACAACATGCAAATTCTTGTAGCTTACAAAGATGGTAGAGCCTTCAGTGTGACAACCACAGCTGCCAGCAAAACACCCAAAATAACTATTCTGTGGTTTGATTCCTGGTTTGTGTTTCCTGGGAATAAATGGTGTTTGGTAAAGTTACTTCACAGTGAGCCTGATGATCATGACTGCCGTGTTATTTTATCAGAAGATAATGTATTTGTGAATAGACCAATCCCATTTCACCCCTTGCCCTTACCACTTAGCCCTTAGCCCTTCGTTTGAGGTAGGGTGTCCCGATTTTTGTTGACATAGAGGGGTAGAGCGAAGTGTTAGGGCTACATTGCCCTCCAAACAGAGTTTTTTCAGAGGCAAACTCCAGAGTGTTATAAGAAAAAAAAGAAAAACTGGCAAGATGTTTTTTCATAAAACAATTTCGATAACCATTGTATTATCTTATTTTAATGTTGTTTCAATGTATTATGGTCCTTTTCTTCCAAAAAAGCTTAAAAATTGCTAATAGAACGCTAATGGTCCTGGTAGCTAGCTGGCTAAATGTCCCGTTCCACCTTAAATAGCCCAGCAGTACCGATGCCTGAAGCTCCAGAATGTAACTGCTGCTCAAATTAAAGGTGGAATGGGAAATTACTGACTTCATCTTTATATTACCAAAGTATTTGGGGTGGGCGATAATAAATAATTATCACATCCCCCCTCTTTGAAAGCATATGATTCCCCAAATCTAATTAAAGCCCAGCAGTGAGGTTGCTGAACTTTACCCTCCTCTGCTGTCACTGCAGACTGGCAGGGACACCTACAGAGCAGCGCTAGTAGCCTGTTAATGAAGTAATGTTCTTTTGTATTTGAGGGTCCCATTTCGTAGGGGAAGATTTCAACCACTACCCCTTGTAACTCAGTTCTAGGGGGCAGTTCTAGCCTCATTTTTTGCCAAAAAACAGCGCTAACAGAAAGTGCTATTTTCTAACTGACAAAAAAACTGACTTTTAACACATGAGCAAAACTGATGTTACACAGTCTGCTACAGAATTTGATCAGGGCGTCAGGTGTGGCATCTTGCAATTAACGTCGTAAGACACAGTTACTGCACAGTTTACAGCAGTTTATTAAGACGACGTCTTGTAACAACACTCTTGAATCCATTGACTACACTTACGCAGTGTCACTGACAAAAAGCACCACTCTTATGAAGCACCAAAAGCTATTTGAGTGATAACAGCGTCCCCTTATAGAGAATCTTAAGTCTGCTAAACATGAGTGAGTCAGTGAGTCAGTCAGTCAGAAGCCATGAGGAGCTTCACATCTGAAAATAAAGATGCCAAAAAGAATTCTTTGGAGCCATGTGATAGAACCTTTGGTGCCCTATAGGACCTTTCAAAAGATGGTTATTTAAGAAAGTGAAGCGTTCGTTAGGAGACCAAAAGTGGTTCTTTTATAACAGAACCCTTTTTGCAACTTTTTAAGAAGATGTAAAGGCCGTTTTACATTCCATACTTTCTTCATCTTTTTTACGCTTTTTTTCCCAGTTTGTTGACAACTGAAGCACATAAACGAGCTATGACATATTTCTACTCATCATTATTCTGAGTAAACTACAATGGATTTTCATCACTTACAGAAAGTACAGGAATGGCCACTTTCCCCAGGAAGTCTGGCGGCTTGTCTCCATCCTCATCAAAGACTGTCACTTCCAATATATCATGAATGTCTTTGACTGGACTGCAAACAAAACCACGTGACATTTCAACACCACATAAGAAGCCACTCATGCCAACATTTTGCAGCTGATGGACGCTTACATGGTACAATAATGGTGCCACTCACAAGGTAAAGACTTTGTTCCACTCGGGGTTGAGCGTTTTGTAGACCGTGTGAGTTTGCATCCTGTCGTTGCCCAACTCCAGCACACAGAATGGATCACTCTTTCCTACAAATAGAGACCATTTGTTGTTGCTGACGTTCAGCTTTTGACATTGATGCCTTGTGTGTGTGAAGTCAGTTTTAGACATACCATTCAAATCAGCAGCCATGAGGTCGCAGGCTTTGATCACTTTGACCTGAAGGAAACCAACATCCTTGATGTTCTTGAAGGAGTTCCTGAAACCCTAAGGAGTCAGACAATAATAAGAATATCAGGTGAGGACCATTTATGCAGCTCTGGAATGCTTGTGAAAAACTTAAAGGAACTGATCGAAAAATCAAATGTACATTCAAATATAATTCCTTTCTTACACCAAATGTAGTCGGTCAGCCAAGTATACATGTTTGTATACCGTAATACACTTACCTCAAACCAAATCAATAGCCTAAAACAAACTTGGTTATTTGGTTCATGACACTGTACAACATAATGGTATAAAAATTGACTAAAGTACATTAAAAGAACTAAAAACAGTGGAAGCAGATATATTCAAGCATAAATCTTGTCTGTGCTTTTGTATATTATGGATCATATCATGCCATAGAGTGTCAGAAACAACATAAGCAAGTCATTTTGGCATTACTTAACAAAAGGGCTGAACAGTGTTTTACAGGCTTTGAACTCTTGTTGGTATTTCTGAACGAGTACCTGAATACTTATTCTCAAAACTACACCTAAAAACAATAATATTAATGCAGGGAAGTCCAATCTTTTCCGCAAAGGGACGGGTCTTCATTCGAACAAAGCAGGAGCTCACTTGATCAGCTGTTGAAGAACTGAAACCAATTGAATAAACAAGTGGAATCAGGTGTGGAATAATAACCTGCAGTCACACCGGCCCTTTAAGAATAAAAATAAGCTTCATGTTTCAGTCCAAACCAGCTGTGGTGGACATGTGACTCAAGTCTATTTTATAGCATTCTTAACTATATTTAAATTAAGAATTCATTAAAACATTCATTAAAAGTGTTTTTGCCCTGCAGGTCCTGCGCTGTACTAATGGTGTGTGGGGGGAGGCTCTTCTCTAATACATCAGTGAAAACTTGTAATTGTGATTTCATGTACATAAGTCAAAACATGTATATAGGAACATGTACATGTCATTACATTTGCTGGATAAACATAAACTCACGAATAAACAATAATAGCAGGTACATAGCCAGGAAAGACTTGGCCAAAGTTAGGATATAATACTAACTTAAAATGGCACATAGCTTTGTCAGTTTTTGATAGTCCTAACACTCAAAGGGGGCCGTGTTGATATTAGTACCCAACTTTTTGTTATAACATTCTTATTGCCATACATGACAAATAAGAGTGATATACCTTCTCCTCTCAGGTGCTGTGAAATTTAAACAAAATTTACTGAGTCTTTAGAAGTCGTGACTGTTATATGACATAAGCAGGCAAAAAAAAAAAAACTGAGCATGAGAAACTGTGCAATCAGGCTCAGGAGCAGCTGTTTAAAGCCATTTTACAAAACTGTGGTTGCAACCAAAGTTCTATACAGCAGCATTTTTAGGAATTTAAGAATTTTTGAGACAAAGATGCAGGGGCTCAAGTCCTTGCAGCCCCCTCGGTGCATGCCTCTGCTTGCAGCTCTATTAGCCTGCAGCTCTAGTGCTGGACTAAAGAAGCAAACTTTGGACATCAAATATGTCTTGGCTGATCGACTACATTTTGATTAAGGGGCAAAATTGTGTAAATTTGATTTTTCACCCATTCCTTTCACTAAGGAGAAGAAATCGGTGACTGGAAACATACGTATTTGCTCAGCATGTTGTCTCTTTCGTGTGGTTCCTCTAGCGGTGGAGCACACAGGTCAGTGATGGACACTCCTGTGCAGGCGGTAAGAGTGATCAGGAATACCACTCTGCCTCGGCCCGGCTCCAGAGCACACGTGAACAGCTGAGGCTTGTTCATCGACAACGTAGACAGGTCAACCTCACACCTGCACATACCACACAGTCATTTTTTTCCACAGGTGCTACAAAAATGCTGCAGTGTGAGACTGGTCTGGCTCATAAAGAGACAGAAAATCTTGTTGACCTTTCATTAGCCTTGTTACAGAAATGTGTTAAAATGAGAAACAGATAATTCATTTACAAAACTCACAGTCCATAACATTCTTCATATTTTCGTCCTTCTTTGGCCCAAACCCCAAGCTCCAAAAAGTTTGGCCCATCGATGAACTGGTTGAAGTCAAACCTCTCCCTCCACTGAGGGTTGGGCCTTTTGCACTGACTCTGTGAAGAGGAATCACAGTCTTTATTAGAGGCGACATGAAGAGTTTAGTTTCATACTTAATCCAATACAACTGGCTCCAAAATCCATATGCGCCTAAAGACTTCAGCTACCAAATCACATTTGCTGCTTTGAAATCGGGTCATTCTACTAAGACACAATGAAATAATAATGTGAATTATATTACATTTATAAACTAAAATCACAAGATGTCCATCTACCAATGACATACAAAATGTTGTGTTGCGATAAAAGGGTCTGCATAATATGGCCAAAAGTATGTGGACACGTGACCATCACACCTACATAAACTTGTTGAGACTTCCCATTCCAAAACCATGGGCATTATATGAAGTTGCCTCTTTTTGTGGCTATCACAGCCTCCACTCCTCTGGGAAGGCTTTCTACAAGACATTAAAGTGTGTCTGTGGGAATTTGTGCCCATTCAGTCAAAAGAACATTTGTGAGATCAAGCACTGATGTTGGATGAGAAGGCCTGGCTTGCAATTCAAATCAAAGGTGTTTAGTGGGGTTGAGGTCATGGCTCTGTGCAGGCCACTGGAGTTTCTCCATACCAAACTGGTCAAACTACGTCTTTATGGACCTTGCGCAGTCATGCTGGAGTAGGAAAGGGCCTTTTCCAAACTGCTGCCACAAACGTGAAAACATATAATTGTCTAAAATGTTCTCGTATGCTACAGCTTTAACATCCTCCTTCACTGGAACTAAGAGGCCCAAACCCTAAAAAACCATTATCCCTCCTAAACCAAACTTTACTGTTGGCACTATGTATTCCGGTAGGTAATGTTCTCCTGGCATCCACCAAATCCAGACTCATCAATCAGACTGCCAGATAGTGAAGCGTGATTTATCACTTTGGAGAACACATTTCCACCGCTCCATAGTCCAGTGGTAGCGTGCTTTACACCACTTCAGTCGACGCTTGGTATTGTACATACTGACCTTAGACTTGTGTGCAGCTGCTCAGACATGGAAACTCATTTTGTGAAGACACACAGTTGTTTCCAGGAGCAGTTTGTACCTTTGAATTGAGTGATGCAACAGAAGACAGCTGATTTTTACAGGCAATGTGCTCCAGCACAACTGTGAGTTTGCGCGGTCTACCACTTTGTGGGTGGGCTGTTGTTGTTCCTTAACACTTCCATTTCACAACAATACCACCTACAGTTGATCAGGGGCAGAAATTTCACAAACTGACTTGTGGCAAAGGCGGCATTCTATGACAGTGTCGTATTTCAAGTCACTGAGCTCTTCAGTATGACCCATTCTACTGCCAGTGTTTGTCTACAGAAATTGCACTGCTTTGTGCTGGATATACATACAGATTTAGCAGCAGGCGTGGCTGAAACACCTGAATGCAATCACTAGGAGGAGTGTCCACTTACTTTTGGTCATACAGTGTGTCTCAATCTATCTGAGAAGTCTAACAATACACATTGTATTGTATTGTTCAGTACAAGCTTCTAAATTCAATATACACAGGCATCAAACAACACATTCAGCAGACTATAAAAAGTACATTTTCTGTTTGAAGAGCCTATAGGAAAATTTCCTCTTTTTTATATAAATGAGCTCGATATGATGTATAAACACTGTTAAAGCTTTAGAACATACAGTTCACCCCGAGTTCATACAGTCCCTGTATGCAAACGAAGCTGCAAAAGCAGCCTATTTTGAATTCTGTTTTTTTTTTTCACCAAAAAAACCCCAAAAAACAATACATTTACATACATTTGCCTACTTAGCCTACAGCAGTTTAGCTCCGCCCATAAAAGTTGCAATCAGCCCAGACTCTATTTACAATAAGACATATTACAGGTCATTTACATATGAGTCTTAAAGGCACAGTAACAAAAAACAGCCTGTTTAATTCTAAAGGACAAAGAGAGGTTAAAAAAACAATGTAAAAGGACTAAAGTAAAGTAAGTAAAACTGTACAAACAGTATGAGTGGCCATCAGGTTAAAACGAGAAATGTAGGATGTGAGCCCTGATACTAAATACACTGCATTACGTATGATAAAAATTAAACACGCAAGGCCATATTGAGGGCAGACCATCAAGCCTCTTAAACTCAGCTTCCTCTTTCCCCCAAAACTGTGAGGAGGGAGGAAAAGCACACTCCTCATAGGTGTGTATTAACCCAGGGCTAATATATTAGCTTGTGGGTCGTGCATTATTACAAAATATTGTATTTCTATAATGCTGGATGTAGAGGTGGGCAATATGGCGATACTCTTAATGTGACACATTTTATTATCGTGATACTCAATATGCTTTTCTGAGCATGTCGTGGATATCATTCGTACTTACAGAACACTAACTGCATGTTTCATTAAAATGAGAACATAATTAGTTCTGTTTTATTGTTTTTATTGCAGTTCAGTATATGAAATATTGAATAAAAACATTTTCTCGAGTTTTTAAATGTGACACTACTAGTGCATTATGTCTGTTTGTCAAAAAACATCATCATCATCATTATCATCATCATCATCATCGTTAACCGCTTAGTCCAGCTAGGGTCGCGGTAGCAGTTGGGAGATCAGAGAATCCCAGACGACCCTCCGCAACTTCCTCCAGCTCATTCCCGGGGACCCCAAGCTGCACCCAGGCCAACCTGGAGATATAATCCCTCCAGCACGTCCTAGGACGACCCCGGAGTCTTGTCCCCGTAGGCCGTGCCCGGTACACCCCCACCGGGAGGCGTCCAGGGGCCATCCGGATCAGATCCCCGAACCACCTCAGCTGGCTCCTCTCAAAGCGGAGGAGTAGCTGCTCTACTCCGAGTTCCTCCCTGATGGCCGAGCTCCTCACCCTATCAAATAGAGTGTAGCCCACCACCCTGCGAAGAAAGCTCATTTCCGCCGCTTGTATTCGCGATCTCATTCTTTCGGTCATTAGTCATAGTTCATGACCATAGGTGAGGGTCGGGATGTAGACCGATCGGTAAACAGAGAGCTTCGCCTTATGGCTCAGCTCCCTCTTCACCACTACAGTCCGGTACAGCGACCGCATTACTGCTGCCGCCTGTCCCAGCCTGCGGTCGATCTCACGATCCCTCTTCCCATCACTCGTGAACAAGACCCCGAGATACTTAAACTCCTCCACCTGGGGCAAGTCCTTTCCCCTTACCTGGAGTGGGCATGCCATCCTTTTCCGGGCTAAGACCATGGACTCAGATTTGGAGGTGCTGATCCGCATACCAACCGCTTCACACTCAGCTGCAAACTGCTCCAGTGCGTGCTGGAGGCATCCATGTGATCCAGCCAAAAGAACAACATCGTCTGCAAATAGCAGAGATGCCACCCTCCGGCCTCCACACATAATGCCCTCCTGACCACGGTTATGCCTTGACACCCTGTCCATGAATATCACAAACAGGATTGGAGACAGGGCACGACCCTGGCGGAGTCCAACGCTAACACCGCTAGCACCCTGGTGCCTTGCCACCGAAGAGCTTGCCAACTACCTCAGTGACCTCTACCAGGGAAATGGAGCTTGACACGCCAGAAGCCTCTGGCCCTGACTCCCGTGAGGGAGGCATGTCTCCCGGATTAAGAAGTTCCTCAAAGTGCTCTTTCCACCAACCAACAATATCCTCATTTGAAGTCAGAGTTTCTCCACCCCTGTCGAATACAGCTTAGGCGCAGCCACCCCGACTGCTCCTGAGTCGCCGGACAGTCGTCCAGAACCTCCTTGAGGCCGATCGAAAGTCTTTTTCCATGGCTTCTCCAAACTCCTCTCACGCCCTGGATTTTGCTTCCGCCACCGTTGCGGCTGCCACCTTTTTTGCCTCTTGGTACCTATCTGCTGAGTCGGGAGTCCTTCGGGCCATCCAGTCCCTAAAGGCCTCTTTCTTCAGCTTGATGGCCTCCCTCACCCCTGGTGTCCACCAGGGGGTTCTTGGGTTACCGCCCTGACAGACACCAACAGCTTTTAGCCACAGCTACGCTCGGCAGCTTCCACAATGGAGGTTTTGAACAGGGTCCATTCAGACTCCATGTCCCCTACCTCCTCCGGGACATGAGAAAAGCTCTCCCGGAGGTGGGAGTTAAAATCTTTCCGAACAGGGGCCTCTGACAGTCGTTCCCAGCACACCCTCACTATTCGCTTGGGCCTACCGGGTCTGACCATCGGTCTTCCCTGCCATCTGATCCAACTCACCACCAAATGGTGATCAGTTGACAGCTCAGCACCTCTCTTCACCCGAGTGTCCAGAACATATGGTCCCAAGTCAGATGAAATGACAACAAAGTCGATCATTGACCTATGACCCAAGGAGCTCTGGTAACATGTACACTTATGAACATCCTTGTGTTCGAACTTGGTGGTGTTTGTTATGGACAATCCATGCCTGGCACAGAAGTCCAATAACAATTCACCATTCGGGTTTAGATCCGGCAGGCCGTTCTTCCCAATCACGCCTCTCCAGGTCTCCCAGTCATTGCCAACATAAGCATTGAAGTCTCCCAGTAAGACTATTGAGTCTGTAGGCAGGACCATTTCCAAACCAATTAATGAATTGTGCAAATCGATACCTGCTACCATCTAATCCTTTAATGACCATTATAATCACCACAAAAACCAGTAGTTTACATATAAAAAATCCACAAAAAGTGAATTGCTGAAAGTTCCTCTACAAATGTTACAGTATACACTTTTAACCCGATTTTAGCCCCAATTCTCAGTCTGGCTGAGTCTGTCAGATATGAGATTAGGGTTAGACAACATCTGTATAGAGCAGCTGTAATGACCTCCCACACTCTTTGTTTACTACCTTGCTCCTGTATTTCTGGTCTCCTAGTTTGAAGCGCACAAATATATCTCCTTGTCCATCTTCAGGCAGATTCTGGCCCTCTATCAACGTGATGGTCAGAACCCCTGTCCACAACTGGCTCTTCTTCAAAGACTCAGAGAGACGCTTGGTCTGCGGTGACGAGCCTGACTGCAACAGAATGTTAAAATTCATTATAACTGGCTGGAACAGGAGACATATATATATATATATATATATATATATATATATATATATATATATATATATATATATATATATATACACACACACACACACACACACACACACACACACACACACACACAGACACACACACAAAATGCATCGTCCCTGTTCAAAAGCCAAAAAAAAAAAGAGCTTTTATTTCCATTTAAATTCTGGAGCATTCCTATTTATATGCATATATACACTGATGGTATTTGGCAGATGCTCTTATTCAAAGTGGCTTACAATTTTAATCCAGTTACAGATGTAGGTGAATGCAGTGTTAAAACATTTTGCCCAATAACTCTTATTTGTAGAGCTTGTTGTGCTTGCCTGAGCCGGGAATAAACCCTAGTCTGCTCGCATAGACGACAATGAAGGCCTGCAGGACATCTGAATGACAGAGTCAGGTATGTTTGATTTGAGTTTTTCAGGGTGGTAGATTTCCAGGACCGGGATTAAGCATCCCTGGATAAGAATAATGCCCTGAGTAAAAAAAAAAGCAACCACCTTTGATGACATCCGAACTTCTCTGTTTCTAATTTGTATGATGTGGAAATGAGTGGAGATTTGAGTGTGAATGATGAATGAACCTCAGTACATGAAATCAAACCTAATTAATGCGAATGTTTCAGTAGGAAGCCGATAAAATGACAGCTTTCAGCGACTCGTGAGTCAGTGCCTGTGCTGTACGTGAGTTTTGAGGTCGAGCGGCGAGTGTACTGCTCAACCTACCGACCAAACTTTATAGTGTTAAAATTATGATACCTGGAAAAAATCAAATGTGAAACAAAGCATCTTAGATTTTTTTTTAAAAAAGGTAGAATGATGTCATTGTATAGTGTGATTATTTTCCTAAAATATCACATTGAAATGCTGTATGATTGCAGTGTATGAGATGCTTCTGCACAAGCTGTGTTTGTATTTTGTATTTTTTGACCGGTGTCAATAATATAAAACAAAAGCACAGTGTAATATACCTTTAAATGGAACATGGAATAGTTGCAGCATTTGTTTATACCAATGTGCATCTAAAACACTTATGTAGTGGATTACCAAGCACACAAATGATTAGTATTACTGTTATTTTCTATTATTATGATTCTTGTTCTTCTTCTTCTTATTATTATAGATGATACAGGTAATAGTTTTGGATTGTTAAACACAAATCAAGCTTTTTTTTCAGGTTGTTAAACTAATATGCTCATATTTACACTCATAACAGACATGAGTTTGATTGTGCAGATACGCCAAAGAAACTGATGAACATCAAAACTGTGGGTTAAATTTGCGTACACTCATTTTATAGTCAGATTTGAATGTATGCAACTTTGATGAATAAGGATTATATCACTAACATTCAAAACAAATCACATCTCTGTTCTTACCTGGAGGCTACGTTTTCCCTTCTGAGCCCACTTCTTCACAATGAAGACAATAAAAAAAAAAAACACATAGGTACAAATTAATTGATCAATTGAAGAGCATCATAAAAAAGTACTCTACTTAAAGGAATATATTACACAAGAATACAAACAATAATAGTAACTGACTGCTAGTAGGGACTAGTTAGAATCATGCAAATGAGATGCTGAAGAGTCCTCACTAGGTTGGAACCCACTCCCATCACAATGAGAATGACAAAAAACATTATGATTACTTGTTCATTTAAGAGTACCACTGATGTATTCTACTTAAAGCATGATTTCACAAAATTGCTAACAAATGACAAGTGACCAGATAACATTAACATGCAAATAGAAGATGCCAGTCATCACTAGATCGCCTTCACAATCAAGATAACAAAACCAGCAGCACAGATACATCTTCGTTTATTAAATCAAGAGCGTCATTTAAATCTATTCTAATCACACAAAAATCCTAACACCACTAATGACTGACAACTAGAAGAGATCTGGAGATCTGTTATTATGTAAGTGAGATGATAGTGAGACTACATAAGTGAGATGATAGTGAGATGATAGTGAGACTACGTAAGTGAGATGCCAATTTCTGGTTGAAATAGTCTTTAAAACCTACATATGTTGAGTAGCTTTGACTGATTCGGTTCCTTACAAGTTTTTTGCTGTCCCCATCTCTGACTGATAGGGAGATATCAATGATAATCACGCCCATATCCTCCTCCAGACTGTTGGGGTCATCGAGCGGCAGCACCATCTCGACTGTCCTGTGGAAGTAAATAAATTAAGAAATCTTTAAAACCGAGCACTAGACCATATTTAACGAATAAAAAAAGATCATTTCATGCTGTTATTCGCTTACTTTTCAAGTTCCAGTTCACTCAAGTCAACACTGCTGGCACCCATGAAGTCATCTGTGGTTAGGTCTTGATCATAGACCTGAACAAAGATAAAAGTAGAGGGACACTGGAGATCAAATACACAGTTATGTTTCAGGTAATGCAATTTTTGAAATGTCCAAATTGGAAGTTCATAGATACCTTGATGTAGAGTTTGTGTTGCAGATTACGGATGGGGTAGGAGAAACACTCATTCCAGGTGGGGTTGAGGTTCTTATACACTACTTTGCTTTTGTACAATGTCTTCCCCTCAAGCTTAAACTTTACATATGGATCGCTGGTACCTAGAAAACAGACACATTCAAGACTTAGCAAAACAAGAAGTAGTCTTGGAAGGCCAGATGGGATCTCGTAAGAAGGAGGAGTTTGTTTTCTACCATTCAGATTTTGAGAATTTTGGAATCCGACAATTTTTTTTAACAAAACACAACAAAGTGTAGCAGAATTAAAGCCCAAGGCATAAGGTAATCATGTATTTTAGAGATGCTTCGCAGCAGTTTCTTCCGCCAATAATCATATTAGACAGATTTTCAGGTGATTCTGAGATAATAAAAAGACACCAAAGCCCTATACTGAGTTACATAACTTACAAGAGTTGATAGTTATCTAGCAACTTAACTCTGAATCCTTCATTTCAAAATGGAGAATGTCAAATTCAGCAGCTCTGACTATTTTGATTTACATGTGTACGCTTCCACACAAATTACACAACTTTAGTTTAATTACTTCTTATGGTGACTGTACTGATGAAATATATTCATCTACTCATGTCAATCAAGTAAATTCAATCACTTTTTTTTCAGTGCAGAGACAGAACCAGGATGTTAAATGTGAAGGATCAAAGGAAGGTGACAAGAGTGAAAGTAAAAATGCAACGTAACATTATTCTTATACAAAAGTGTCATTTTGAAATATCATCTGGAATATCACAGAATCAGCAGCATATTGCACTCAAAAAGTATAATCTGCATGATCAGTCCACTCAGGAAGTCTTTATACAGTTTCTCTGTGTATCTACTGACACAACCTCTTAATTTATGTGGCCAACTTACAACTCTGGTTTCGGCCTTTGTGTTAAAACTTTATTGGAATATTATCTCTGCACCTCCAGAAGCCACAACTGTTAGCACTCTGGTTGTGTTTGGGTCAAATTTGACTTATCTTCTGTTTATCCCTATGATAAATGTTTTGTGTCACATGACTGGCAGAAGACTGGATGACTTTGTCCAGACTGGGCATCTGAGCACAGCTGAACCAAATTAATGCTCATGATTATTAATTGTGTATTAAAATGTACAGAGTGTGTTCTCTGTGGAGGATGTAAGAACTTAATTTCACTTTTCACAAAAAAAAAAAAACAGGAAAAAATTAGAAACAAAAAAAAACCCATTTGACCAGGGGTGTCCAAATTTACATGTTATGCATTTTAATTTGCATTTCTTTATTGCATTTTACTTATTTATTTATTCACCTTATCTATGTAGACACTTTAGTTGTTTGTAAATTTTATTTCTATATTTGTTATATATGTAATTATTGTTCTCCATTTTGTTGAGTGTCTAGTGAAACTGAATGAAGAATTTAAAAAATAATTAATTGTTTTGAGTTCTTGCATACAAAATAATATAATTTACATGGGTGGGGGGCCTGTCTAAAGGTAATGTCACCAAATTAAATTCATTATTCATTATTATTATTATTTTGTATTCACCCACCTTTAATGTCGCTATATACAAGCACATAACCATAGACACTGGCAGTAGAATTAGCTGAATGAACTTAAATACAGCACAGTCATAGGATGCCACAAGTCAGTTTGGGAAATTTCTGCTCTGCTAGATCTGCCCTGGTCAACTGTAAGTGCTATTATTGTGAAATGGAAGCATCTAGGAGCAACAACAGCTCAGCCATGAAGCTAACTGCCACATGGGAGCAACATCAGCACAAGAACTGTGTACTATGGCTGAATAGCTGCACACAAACCATCATAAGATGACTATGAGCAAAGCCAACCATTGGCTGGAGCGGTGTAAAGCACACCGCCACTGGACATCGCTTTTGAGATTAACTGGAATGTTGACTGCAAGGCTTTCTCATCCAACATCAGTGCCTGACCTCACAAAGCTCTTTAATGAAAGGGCAGAAATTCCCCACAGAGACACATTTCAAAATCTTGTGGAAAGCTTTCCTAAAAGAGTGGAGGCTGTTATGGTGCAAAAGGGGGCAACTCCATATTAATGCCCATGGCTTTGGAAAGAGATATCTCACAAGCTCATGATGGTAAGTTGTCCACAAACTTTTGGCCAAATAGTGAGTATTAAGCTTTGTTCTTCCATATTATCCAAAATCTAAATGCAATGCATTAATGTAGATTCTGTACTGTTCACTTCTGCACTGTACTTATTTCTCACCTGATATACCTAGACTGCATATTTTACTGAAATCACATTAGACAACTCATTATAACATAGGCACAAGCTCAACATGAATACTGATTCTGCATTATAAGCAGACAAATGCTGCAAGATGCTACGTTTGGTATTAAATGACAGGACAGAAGCACTAATTTTAGCTTTAAACGCGTCTTATTTCTTACTCTAAACTTATCTACCACGTGTTAGTAACCCGGCCTTGATGCGAAGAAGGATGTGGTTACTGCAACTTGACTTCAAACCTCATCATTTCCTGAGGACACCACTGCTCTGAGGCAACAGCTGGTGTTGGGAAAGCATCTAAATAAAACAACTAATAGAGAAAAGCTTTAGAATATCAGCAGTGAAACATATATAAAATATATACAAATACATAGCAAACCCAGTTGTGTTTATTGCGTCCTAGAACATTTACTTGTGAACTGGTTAATTAATCTAATGTTAAAGTCTGTAGTATGCAAAGCTGTGATGTAGCGTAATAACTGTACCAGCACCTAACAGGTTAACAAAAGCAGCTCATTCTAAAGGGATGCATAGTTTTCCTTTCATTTTCAATAATGCACTTTCTTCAGATTCTAGATAAGGCTTTTCATTTTTGAAAACTTGTTTGGCCACAATTTTGCGTCTGCTTTTTCTGTGGCTGGGGGAGCCGTTTTCATCAAGAACTCATTTGTTCAGTATCAAAGGTTATCCCTTTTCATCTTACTGGAAGGGCACGGGCCGAAGTGAGCGGGAACGTGCAGTTTGGACTGTTTGGCTCGCTTAAACAGGAACTCCGTTCGAGATCAGATCGCTTTTGCATGGGAAAATTAGGCCACCAAAAGACAACAAATACCAAGTTCACCACCCAGCCTCACCAAACAAACCATAAACTACAAACATGATGAATCATACCTCCTTTGCAAAGAACAGAAACTAAGTGAGGTTTGAAAAAGAATGTGCAGCGTGTGGCTAAAACTATGCAAAAATGTAGAAAAAAAAAAACAAATAATGAGTAGAAGTGCTTTAACAACTATGTGATTTAACTGAAACTAGGGGGCTCCTGTGTGCTGGACTAGACGAGCAGCACAATGTGGAAGGTGTGCCGCTGGCTCGATGGGTGGGGCCTTGGACAGGTTTTGAATTGCTGTCTGGAATGCTGGCTTCAAAAGAGAGACATGTGAGTGCACTTTCTCTGGCACTGGTGACTATGAACACGCTGCCAGTAAGAGGCGGCCAGGCTCATGTAGCTCTTGGCAAAATGTGTATATAAATAAACATAATAAAATGAAAACAATAAACACTAAATAAATAGTCTTAATTATTTCAAACCACACACTTAAAAACTGGTGCAAATGTTCTTTAGTAAAGGAAATCTATGCAGAAACATGAACACTCAAAAGAACCCTTTGCATGATTAAAGGGTTTGTTGCATCAGAATGCGATGTAGATGGTTCTACATAAAATCTTTTCTGACAAGGGTTCTATATAGCACCAAAAAGGGTTCTTCTATTGTTACACGCTTGACATCGTAACAATAAAAGAACCCATTCTGGTGCTATATAGCACCCTTTTCCAAAAGGCTTTATATAGAACCATCTACAGCACATTCTTCATTAATCTCAAAGAACTCTTTCATCATATTAAAGGTTCTTTCATTTTCTTTTCAGGTTTCTGAAAATAACAAGACATTTTGGACAATTGTATGCTTCTTTGTATCAACTTTGTGGGAACAGTTTGAGGAAGACCCTTTTCTGTTCCAGCATGACTGAGCCCCAGGGCACAAAGCAAGGTCCATAAAGGCGTGGTTGGTGTGGAAGAACTTCACTGGCCCACACAGAGCCCTGACCTCAACCCCATCAAACACCTTTGGGATGAACTAGAATGGAGATTGTGAGCCAGACCCTCTCGTCCAACATCAGTGTCTGACCTCACAAAAGCTCTTTTGGATAAATGGGCACAAATTCCCACAGACACTCTTTAAAATGTTGTAGAAAGCTTCCCAGAATAGCTGCAAAGGGGGGACCAACTCCATATTAATACCTATGGATTTAGAATGGGATGTCATAAAAGGTCCTGTAGGTGTAATGTATAGGTGTCCGAGTACTTTTGACTATATAGTGTATCTGACATAACAATGGAAATGGGTGTAGTGTGCACACACACACACACACACACACACACGCATATACACATGCATGTGTGCACACACATACATTAACATACATACATATATATATATATATATATATATATACACACACACACACACACACACACACACACACACACACACACACACACACACATACACACCTGAATCAAGAATTCAGCCTTACCACAGCGGTCCCTTATGACGAGGCCTCGTCCCTCTTTAAGGTTGATGGAGAGCAGATACATTTTCGGAGATTCTCTCTGATTCTCGCACACATTCCCTGTGTCTCCTGGTGTGTCCAGAATCTACAACCAAAGCATGAAAGCACAAGACTTAATATTCATCTAGCATTTAGATTCTCAATATAACTGAAACGTACAGCAGTTGGGGTGGGCGATATGGTAAAAATATAACATCACAATACTAGCAGCAGTAACAAGTGGAACTTCAGCGCAGCAGGGCTAACAGCTGATCAGAGGAGGGCGGATGCTGTTGTCTGCCAGGTGCGACAGGATATTTCACAAAAATACACTGATAATAATCCATTCTGAACTACAAGCCGGTAACAAACATATTTAATAGCGAAGCACAAATTAATAAATAACTAAATAAAAATATTTGTTCTTGTGTGTCTATATAAAAATAAAGATTAATTTGTTTTCGTTGCCTTTATAGAAAAAGCTGTTGAGGTAAATTTGACTGTTTTTCGGCCTTCCAGTGCACAAAAAAGTGCTTGCAGTTCTGATGCAAGTAGCTGTTAGTATTTAATTTACTTTGCAGAATAGTAAATGGTGCTTTTGTAATTCTGTATTCTGCTTGCTTGAAGGAGATGTTAGATTTCTATTTATACATCAAAAAAAAAAAAGGAGTCCCGTTCCGTCACTCGCACACTATTTTAATAATAATTGATTTGCATATCGTCATTATGATATCTGACAGCTTTATTGAACATCGCATTTTATGTTAATATCGTACAGCCCTAATCTGAACTACTGGGACACATTCAGATCACAGACACAGTTACACCTGTCCTTTAGTTTTTGGTGATCAGATCATGTCTGGATTTACTTAACTGTCAGGTGTAAACACCCCCAGCATCAGATTATGATCAAATCACTCAAACCCCATTTGGAGGTGGTCAAAGCCATATCTTGACCACTTAACGCAAGTGTAAATGGAAGGCATTTTCGTTACTCGTATAAAATTACGTTAGCCGAAATGCCTGTGACGGTGCTGACTAGCAGGTGAGGGGATAAACAAAGAAATGAAAGTTGGAGGATAAGTTGAGGCTGGCTTTTCTACCCAAATCAAGTGACTTCTTGGACTCTGGGCATCCTTGTATCATTACAAGGAAAAGAGTAAACAAAACAGAAAAACAGAAACGTATATGTTGACATACTTTTTACACTGGAAAAGTAAAAGTTTACACTGGCTTTTAATGCCAAGTGTAAACAAGACTAAAGACAGCATAATCAGTCCTGTTCAGTTGGATGTAGTGGATATAATATGTTAGTTTTAATTCAACTGGACACATTGGAAATATGTTGTAGTAGTTTATAGTATAGTAGTTTAATTGTAGCACCGCTGGTGCACTGTGTTGATTCGAAATGATGAAACTACATCTTGCGTTGTAAAAATGTCTTGCAAAATAATGTAATATCAGATTTTCACTACACAAGTTGCATCACAAAAGTCATCCACTTAAAGTGTGATCATAAAATCATAAACTAATAAACTAATAAATAAAAGCAAATTCACAAAAACACAGTTTACAACGTTACTCACTGTATTTTGCTCAGTGTCATGAGAGGTAAGAGAATCAGTGTCATTGTTCTCAATCCGCTGTCTCTGCTGTATCTAAAAGAGATTAATGAAAGGAGAATAAAACGCAATTGATAAAAGATTAAAATGGTACTCTTGCTCCTGTGCCAAAAAAACACCCACATCTTCTAGCTGAGCTGGTATCAGGTTTAATGTGGTCAACATTTGTTTTCTAAAGGAATTCACTTATTAACTGTTTTGATGCATGTGAACATTTTGACATTTTGTTGAAGCATTGCATAAAGTTCTGCATTGAACAAACTTAGTTATGACATATTTCAGTTTTTTTAATGTATGATTATTATTTATTTGCTGAATTTAACATATTGGAGAAAATGAAACAAAATGTGGCCTGTGCTTAAGTCTGGACACCCTTTCACCAATCGGGTGCCACTGCTCGGCAGCCCTCTGGACCGGCTTGACCACCATCAAGCTCCATGCTGTATTACGCCGTGCAAACCTCACCCTCACAACCTGACCCCACTGATGCTGATGCTGCCGCCGCTGCTGCTGCATGAACTAAACTAATCAAATTAATTATTGCTCCACCTGTTTTCCCTGTTTTTGTACTAACAATGTTTACTATCCGGTGACGACCAGAGGAGGATGGGTTCCCCTTCTGAGTCTTGGTTCCTCTCAAGGTTTCTTCCTGTTTCTCTTAGCGAGTTTTTCCTTGCCACTGTTGCCACTGGCTTGCTCATGGGGGCTTGGATTTCTTTTTGTAATGCTGATTTCCTTGTAAAGCTGCTTTGTGACACCTGTTGTAAAAAGTGCTATATAAATAAACTTTACTTACTACTACTACTTCCCTTTCAGCTGATGCAGTAGTGTAAAGTCTCTGGGCTAATTTGACTCATTAGGCCTTAATCCAAGTCAGGTATAGACAATTCCAGACCACAATAAGTTCTGTGAACTTTCCAAACTCTCACAGTGCTGTGCCTACACTTAACAGCTGTGGGCTCATCTGAGCAGCTGCCTGGCATATCTGAAACTAAAGATAACAAAGTCTTACGAAACAAGAGAAGACTACTTTCTGAAATGTCATTAATAAATGGAAGTCAAGGAGGACGGCTCAACTCAACTGGTCTGGTATGCGTCTAAAGTAACACAAAGTGTACATGAGCCAGTGGAATTTGGAATCAAGTTCTGTGAATGAATCAAAAGTGAAACTACTTGGCTACAATCACCAAATGCATGTTTGGAGAAAGAACAGCATTTGATGACGAGAATCCTTTGCCAACTGTTAAGCATAGAGGTGGATCTATTAGGCTTTGGGGTTATGTGGTTGCCAGTGGCACAGGAAATATTATGGAGATAGAGGGCAGAAAGGATTCTACTAAATGTTAGCAAATTCTAGAAGCTAAAGTCCCACAGTCAGTGAAGACACAGATGAAGAGGATAGACATTACAAGAAGACAATGATCCTAAACAAACATCAAAAGCAACCTTGAAATACTCCAAAAAAGGAAAGACTAAGGTTTTGAAATGACTGTCACCATCTCTGGACTTTATTGAAAATCTGTGGTCAGATCTCAGTGAACATGGAAGACAACGTTTAAAAAAAAAAAAGTAAAAAAAAAAAACAATATTTTTGAACTACAAACATTTGGCAAGTAAAGATGAATAATTAATCAAAGTTTTTATGTGAACACATTTTAAATAAGTGAAGTGTGCGTAAACCACACGTTTATACACGTGAAATTTATGTTAATTCTTTTGTAAGGACAGCCAAAGGGGGGCTAACTTAATTGTTGCCCAAACTATACACACATTGTATGTATTTTTTTTCCAATATGTTGCAAATACACAAATATTGTTCATCAAAATTTATATTTATAACGTCAACTTCTTTTCATCTAGATCAGGGGTCGGCAACATGCGGCTCTTTTACTGCCCTGTTGCGGCTCCACAGCAGAATTACATTTTTAGGTAAAAATAAAATAATCCTACTTTGCAGTAAAATAAAACTTTGCCTATTGTTTTAAGATTTTTTATCAGCAAATCATCTTACGCATTCATCAACCTTTAACCCTAAAGACTGGCGTGCAAACCGCTGTTCACAATAATTCAGATAACAGTCTCTTGATATAAGAGAAAGATTTAAGATGAACATCGATAATTTGGCGACGAATGGACTATCAAAACTATAAAATCATGAAGCTGAAGTCGCTTCTCTTTTGCCAGCTTCTTGTTCGAACTGTCCCACTCCACCCTAAATGGTGCAGCAGTTACGGTCTGGTGCCTCAGGCACCATCTTAGGTGGAATGGGAAAATTTGAACAAGAAACTGGTGAAAGAGAAGCAACTTCAGCCTTGTAAAAAGTCAAACCATGAGAGACATTTTACAAGAAACTGTTCTACCTTTGCGAAAAAGTTTCCTGCCGGAGATGCGAAAAAAGCGACTACAGCTGAGCCAAAGCTTAAAGCAGAGCAAAGTAAGTCTGTGTTTTTGTTTATATTTTTTGCCTATACTAGCACATCAGCACATACTGAAACATATTTACAGCCAAGATGGTAAAATGGACATAAAATGTTGTGGCTCCCAAGGTTATTTGATTTTTGTAGAATGGACAAAATGGCTCTTAACATTTAGGTTGCCAACCCCTGATTTAAACATCAACAAAATGTATCATTTGACTAGTGGTGCCCAAACACATACAATTGTAATTACTCTTTGGACACACACTTCAATTTTGGAGCTGCATATTTGAGCAAAAGCAACAAAGCACACTGGACTTAACATCTTTATTAAAAATACCTTCACTGCAGGAAAGAAATTTAAGCCATGGGAGCAGAAATAAAGAAGCTGAAGAATTTCACTTTCCATTGCAAACAACCCATAAATGACAATCCAATAACTGTCGTTCTGCGTTAGACCTTTTTTTTTCATGTGGATGTTTTCACATGATCCTTACATGATTATATCTTAGGCAAACATTATGAAAAGCAATAGTTTTAAAAAAAAAAAAAAAAAATCACACTCACACAACTGTTCTTTTAACTCTTCTTTAGACTGGCCAAGACATGTTTGGTGTCTGAAGTCTGCTGATTTAGTTGTATTAAAGTAACTAACAAGTAATGGAAGTTCAGTGTATCAGCCTCGTAGTGCCAGTACACGACTAAAGACGCCAACTTTGAACACCAAACATGTCTTCACCAGTCATCTATGACTGTGTAAACTATTCTTTTAGGTCAACATTGCACAAGGTGTCACGTACATTTATTTATTGACTTAACTGTTTTAAGGGGATTTACTTAACCTATACAAAACTCATGTTAACAGCTTCAGAAATGTCATAAAACACGTTTTCTCACCCTTTACTTCCTTATACAGCACATACAGAGTGGAGAGAAGCTCCATAGTGCTGCAGGACAGTAGTTGTCCAACCAGCCTCCACCTGACACCCACGTTTGTTTGAAGGATTTGCATAGATGCTTTTTAATACAACACTGTTAGCACAGCTGACCACTAGCAAACATTGCCATTCAGCTGCTGAGTAAATGATATATGGGAAGCCTGTTAACAGCCAGATTAATGTTGAAAAACTGATGACAGCATAGTTCACAAAACTATTTGCTGTCTGTGCTCAAAATTTGGACATATGGATCGTATTGTTTAACATGTGATCTTTGTTTGATAGATACACTAGAATGTTAAGCTAGGACTTGCCTGAAAGTGTTATAAGACCATTGCCACTGCTATTGTTATAAGACTACTGCTAAGACTATTACATGCTTTCCAGTTTAATCATGTAATGAAAACTGGACAATCATCTATTTTCAAAACCTGTGAACAGTAGTTTAGGGAAGAGTATCTGAATATTATAATGCAAGAACAAAGAACAAATACCATGTGTTGAAGCACGGACTTCTTCAAACAATGCTTGAAACTGATCCACATTACCAGTCAAGAGGAGAGTGACAAAAACCAGTAATACAGACTTCCCTTTAGCACTGTTTCTCTTAGTAACAAAAAAAACTACTGTGCAAAAATCGTAGGCCACCTGAGAAAATTACATGAGACTAGAGCTGGGCAATACGACAATATATATCATTATTGTGATAAATTATGTCGCAACACAATACAGTATGCTTTTCTGAACATATCATGTATATCGTCAGTATTTGTAGAACACTGACCAGCTGCATGTTTCATTATGAAGAGAGCAAAATTAGTGGATTTATCACAACACAGTGTGTCAAATATTGAATAAAAATCATTATATTCACTGTTTTTGATAGCATTTTTTAAAATAAAGCACTACTGGGTCTTTCTCTATTCCAACTGATCAGACATCTGATAAAACAAATATTGTGCATCATGAAAAATTCTAAGTACCACTATTTTTTTTTGCCATATCTTCCAGCTCTACAAGAAAGCTTCTTATCTGCGCAGTAAATGTTTATTTGGCTATACAAATGAAAGAAATAAACTGTGTCTTTGTATCTGTTGGTGTGTTATCCTAAAGAAGGTTTTCACAGATTTTCACAAATTCCACAAAATTAAATGGTTAAGATGTAAACAAAGCCATTCGGAGTGGTTTGGTGTGAAAAGCTCAATTCTGAAGAAACTTAACAACTCAGAAATGCTCACAGTGGTGGTGATAGGAACCAGATGTCTGGTGGAGTTTAATGCTTCTAAAAGCTTCCTCACAGAAAGCTTTACATGAAGCTGTTAGAAATCTGCTGCTTGATGTCTGAGACATTGATCTAGGTTTTGAGAGGGTTTTGGCCTAAAATGTTTTATGAATACCCATTTGTGGTGCAGAGATATGTGAAAAGGTAAGCGAAACAGTTCCAAAATAAAACATTTATTTCAGGTTTCTCAGAAAACACATTGCTGTTGTCAGAAGAAAACCTCGTATCTCCAAAATGGTAACTTTACAAGAGAAGAAAAAAAAACTACTTTACTTTTAATGTAACTCAACAGAATCAGACATTTTCCCCAAGTCATTTTGGGTCGTTTCTTTTGGTCCATTCATCATGTAATTTACACACAATGTATAGGGCGACAGTATTTTCAAATTACGTCAAAATAACTGAAAAACAACAAAATTGGAGATACAAAGTTTTCTTCCAACAGCAGTGACATGCAGGGTCGCTGGTTGTTTTGGATAGCAAGTTAAGTGGCTATATTAGTGCTGTAGGCATTGCAACCCCTGGTTCCTATCAGCCACTTTACAGAAATCTGAGTCAATACGTTTCTCTACAATCACCATTTCACATCAAACTACTCTGGTGAGATGTAAACCAAGTCATTCAAACAATCTCCTCCTTAAACCTCAATAATCATTGAAGTTTAATCAGGTGGGCGGTTGGTGAAACTGAACAAATCCATGAAATGGATGGGGTTAAGACATACCGCAAATGTTTTAATATATTTATGTTTATGTGCATTTCTTTGAATGCTATAAATTGTTTTTACAAGCAAAACAGGCTTACTGCCAAATAAACAGTTTTAAAGACTTTTGCACTAGGAGTGTAACTCTGTGACCTCACAACAATTTGATTTGAATGTGCTGCAATTCTTCAGGAAATTTAATGCACCTTGAAATCTCAAATTTGATTAAATTATTCTGGTATCATTCAGAATTTGAATGTGATTGAATGTGATTATAGGAATTATTTACACAGAAGTGAAATATAGACAGTAAAACAATACACCAAGATTTTTGTGTTTTTTATATTTGAAATTAGCCTTGAATTTTATTATGGGCAAAAAAGAACTCAAAAATGACATCATCCCTGCTGAAATTACATGTTTTGTTGATTTTGCATAAACAAGTTAACGTCCTCCTTAGAGAACAAACGTCTACACATTTTTACACACAAATGCTGTTTATTTGCCGAATTTAACCTATTTTTACCTAAATAATGTAGCCTGTGCAAAAGTTATGATGCTTTATGTTTCATATTTTAAATATGTTAAACTCAGTAAATACCAAAGTTGTTTTGGTGAAGTTGAGCACCAAAATTTACAGAAAAATGCCATATTTAAGTGTTTTCTCTGAAGAGAATGTGTGAACTTATTTTCACAAACATCAACATATAATATGACTGGAGGTGTTCGAACCTTTGCTCATGACTGTATATAATCGACTGTAATTGATTCATCTGCATCAATGTTGAAATGTTATAATGTTAGTGAAGAGAACAGCAATAACATCCAATAAATCACAGAGCAAGTCTGCATTAAAGCATCCTGTAAACTCCAGTTAAAGATATACTAAAGAATTTTATGTCCATTTTACCATCGTGGCTGTAAATATGTTTCAGTATGTGCTAATGTGCTAATATAGGCAACAAATATAAACAAAAACACAGACTTACTTGGCTCTGCTTTAAGCTTTACATTTTTTAAATCTAAATGTGCTGCTATAACATGCAGTCAATTACCATGAATGATGATTTTGAGGCATTTCCCTGTACCAGAAAAACCTGCTGCTTACAATAGAAACTAATTCTCCTTCAGCACCTGCCCATCTGCTTAAGTCAGCAAGTGTTCTGTTCTTTACTGAGTACAGTGAAATTGTATGTGGTTATTGACTGTATGCAACAGATAGAGATTTGAATGCTGGAATAACTTAATAACTAAACTATAAATAGCAAATAGAAATAACTCATACCTCTGTCGAGTCCTCCGACACTTCCAGTGAAGGCAGCTCCGCTTTGGGCCGAGAACTGAGCTGCCTTCCGTCCATCTCCTCTGGAGCCTCCAAAAAAAGGCTCTGCTCCTCGAGCAGACTGCCGTTGATTGACTCTTGGGACGTCCAACCAGAAGAGGGCCTGGGTATGGCCAGCAAGCCATCAGAAAGCTGGGCACTGACCCCTCTCTCTTGTATAGGTTGTTTGAGGGGGCTGGAGGGGCTGCTGTAACAGAGAGGGTCCTGAAAGAGTGCTGGATGGATGTCCTGGCGTGAAGGCAGGGTGGGCCTCGTAGACCTCACATCCGGCACAGAGGAGCTCATCCGCTGGTCCAGCTTCCGCTCCTGCTGCTTGCTGGAGCTTTTGTGGGCACTACTGCCCCGTGGCCACTTGGCCCGCAGCCGCAGGTTCCCGAACAGCGTCTTTTTGTGTCCAGTGCCGTTTTCCATTCCGACTGTGCACATATGGGTGGATGGGACGAGGAAAAGACGCCAAGGCCGCTCATACACGACAGGACAATCTCCAAGGCCTGTGAGGACAAATATAATAATATACATTACTGTGTAAATGTCAGAGACCACCCTTCACTTATCTGCTTTCCAGTCAAAGTCGTCATTAGGTTCTAGGGGTTGCACAGACTAGTCGACTTGTCAACTTTACTGCTCTGCAATGATGCTTTATGCTTTATGTCAAATAGTTGCTGATCACATGATCATGACACTAAGAACGTGGACACCTCAGAAAAGTCAACAGGGTAGGAGTCTATGATTTTGGGGTCCCTATCTCGGGTTTCCCGAAGACTAGCAATACAATCCAGGGCTCGTCGGAAAGGGCACATCACGCTCTACCTGTGAAGTTTGGCTTCATTCTAACATTTCTCTGCCAATCTGCAGTGCTTCAAACATCAGATATTGAATGTGGTTATCTCCAGTTTCCCGAAAACTACAATAAAAAGTCATGGGCCGTTGGAGAGGGTGCATAATATTCCTATAGTCCTGTGAAGTTTGAAGTCAGTTACCCTTTTTTTCATTGAGTTATGGCACTCTAAATTACTCTGGCGCTGCAGACCAGAAAATCAAGCTGCTTCAGATCTGAAAACATCCAGGTGTTTCTGTCCATCCTTTCACTGTGAGAGGACAACTCAGTGCTATGAGTCTGAAAGGATGTATAGCTGTCAAGAAGACCTCACTGAAGGACACAGACACAAATGAAGAAAATTTGTGCTACAACACTAAAACACTGGATATCTGAGATGTGGAGCAAAGTTTTACTGAACCAAAGGCAGCACGTGCATCACCCAATCAATAAAAATACAAAAAAAATGTCTAGTCAAGCAAAGTGGAGGTTAAGTCTGAAAGTCTCCTGTCAAGTTACTTTTTTGTTCTGACAGCAACTATATATAATGAGGTTGTTGCAAAAATGACAATGATAACAATGTATCATTACAGTAACAGCGGTATTACTAATCACCAAGGGCTGTAAGAACAAAACAAGCAACTGCAGTGAAATGTTAGCAAAAAAACAAACACAGAGACTCAGCAGTAACTTCGCTTCAGCCTCACATGCACAGACTTGCCAGTGGCAGCTGATGTGGCTTTAAAACGCAGGCAAGTCTTTCTTATTCAGTTAGTCATGAAGCTACAATGTTCTACACAGACATTTTGCACCCAACATTTATCACACTACAACAGATAAGAGCTCCAACAGTCTGATTATCAGCCCAGTGTTGCCATGCAGAATGACCACTTTCACACAACTTCTGCTTCAAATAAACACATGACTGACTGAGCGCTGAAAGAGTTTACTAATGGTGGTGCTTCCATCATAGCACATTTCAGGAAGTCTCCAGGACTGGGTGGCACCGACTAAATTGGTTGCACCACAAATTCTTAAGTGCGCTGCTTTAACATGACGATAACATGTTCAGAGACTATGGTCTATAAACATGCTAACATCAAAAAGTGATGGCAGCTTGCACTTTTTGAACTTTTTCCCATGGAAAAATATCCAGTAATAAAGAGAACGATGTGCATAAGCTGAATTGAGTAAAGCTACTGTCTGTTTATTCTTCAATATTTCCTTGTGACAGACAAATATGCATTTTCTTTGCAGGTTGAGTCTCACTGAGCTGGAGGTGTGGTGTTTGTTCATGTTCAGAGTTAAAGACATGATGATTGGAGTTGGAAGTAAAATCACATCGTATTGCATTTAGAGTTTTTAGCTTAGTTCAAAAGAAGGTCATGTTTTTGCTCTTTTTCTGTTTCTATATAGTTTAGACTAGTTTCCCCAACACTTAGACCTGCTTAGAGGGAGGTGGGAACATTTAGTAACTACTGAGCTCAACGTTAAAACAATACACTAAAAAAGATGGTTCTTCAAGGGTTCTTTGGTAAAGAAAATGGTTCTATATAGAACCATGAACACTAAAAGAACCCTTTGCATGATAATAGGGTTCTTTGCATCGAGAAAGCGTTCTTCAGATTGATGGAGAACATGCTCTAGATGGTTCTATACAGAACCTTTTTGAAAATGGTTCTACATAGCAAGAAAAAGAGTTCTTCTATTGTTTCAAGTTTGACATCATAAAAATAGCAGAACCCTTTTTGGTGCTAAACTCTTAAAAAGATGGTTCTTCAAGAGCTCTTTAGTAAAGAAAATGGTTGCATATAGAACCATGAACACTCAAAGCACCCTTTGCATGATTAAAGGGTTCACTGCATCATTAAATAGTTCTTCAGGTAGGTGGTTCTATTTAGAACCTTTCTGAAAATGGTTCTATATAGCACCATAAAGGATTCTTCTATTGTTACAAGCTTGACATCATAACAACAGCTGCCCTTTTTGGTGCAACACACTGTGGTTCTTCCAGAGTTCTTCCAGAGTTGGTAAAGAAAATTGTTCAATATAGAACCATGAACACTCTGAGAACTCTTTGTATGATCAAAGGGTTCTTTGCATTGAGAAAGAATTTCTTCAGATTGATGGAGAACATGCTCTAGATCGTTCTATACAGAACCTTTCTGAAAAGGGTTCTATATAGCACCAGAAAGTGTTCTTCTATTGTTACAAGTTTGACATCATAACAACAGCGGAACCCTTTTTGGTACTACACTCTTGAAAAAAGATGGTTGTTCAAGAGCTCTTTGGTAAAGAAAATGGTTCTATATAGAACCACAAACATTCAAAAGAACACTTTGCATGATTAAGGGGTTCTGTGCATCGTTAAATGGTTCTTCAGGTAGATGGTAATATATACATATATAGATCCTTTTTGAAAATGGTTCTGTATAGCACCCGAAAGAGTTCTTCTACTGTTACGATGTCAAGCTTGTTACAATAGAAGAACCCTTTTTGTTATATAGAACCCTTTTCAAAAACCACCGACAGCACATTCTCCATTATTCTGAAGAACCTTTCAACCTTCATGTAAAGGGTTCTTTGACTGTTGAACAGAACTATTTTCTTTACTAAAGAACCCTTGAAGAACCACACTTTTTAAGTGTGTATGTAGAACCATTTTCAAAAAGGTTCTACATAGAAGCATAAATAACATAAGTATGCAAATGGTTCTATATAGAACTCATGGCTCTAAATAAAACCATTCCCTTTACTAAAGAACCCTTGAAGAACCATCTTTTCTAAGAGTGTAGTTTGTGTGGTGGAACCCATTTTAATGTAGTAATGTGTAAACCTCAACTTAGTCAACAGCTGTAAATGTTACAACCAGCCTATGTTTGAACTTACATACAGCTGGCGTGACCTGCTTTAGGGGATTCTGAGGGATAAAAAGGAAAAATCTTGATGAAAGAGGAAAACAGGTTCTCCAACATCAAAAAAGATTAAATATGGGATTTTAAGATGGAATTTTGTTCAGAGACATGACTAAAAATGCAGGTTTGGTTAAAAAAATGACAAATTACAATAAATACAGAACAACTGTAGGGTCCTTTAATATCTCCCTCACATAATTATCTATATAAGAATGCCAAATTTCCTAAAAAGGAACTTCAAAAGTATCTAATTTGCATATTTAAGTTGCTAAGACGTAAACCACGACATTCAGGGTGGTTTGATGTGAAATGCACTGTTATTGAGAAACTTACAGAGCCCAAACTGTTCACAGTGGTGGTGATGGGAACCAGACGTCTGAAGAGTTTAAAAGCTCCATCATAGAAAGTTATTACATGTAATAGTTACGGATACGCTGCCTGATGTCTGAGACGCTGCTTTAAGATAGTTTTGAGATCAGGTTTTGGTATTTTTTTAAAGACCATTAATGATGGAGGGGCACACGCAGAGCACCGTAAGGCAAAATAGTCCTCAAAGGAAAATAAATTTGACCAGATTTATGACTATTTTACCATCATCAACATTACATATAAAACTCAGACAACACATGTAAGTTCACTGGTCATTTTGAACAGTAAATAAATTGGCTATATTTTAGCTGTAGACATCATGACCCCTAGTTCCTATCACCACTGTAAAGAAATCCGAGTTCACATCTTCACATCAAACCCCTCTGAATGACTGTTTAGACCTCACTGACTTAACTATGCTTTACAAAAAGCATGTAATAATATATATATACCCATTGTTTGCAGGTGGACTAGCTGTACACAAAAAAAACACATGAATCAGTGCTATTTATATTGACTCACATGACCTATGAATCCCGCCACTTACATCCAGTTATAGCTTACACATCTAAGTGCTGACTTAAGTGAATTCAAGAACTGTGCAAACAGTGGCCAGAGAACATGTGCTTAAAGACAAAATCATTAGTATCCTCATTAGTTGCACCACCAGCTCTGTTGTTGGTGTTGTCGCTCACTGTCGCCACAGCTAGCCATTAAACTTCAAAGCTCTTGTAAACTTCATGATGGCCTCTCTGATAAACCTTCTTGTTTTGTGATCCAGTTTGGAAAATGACCTTCTCAGCAGTGTTGTAGCCGTCAATGATTTGCAGTCTTGCCTTAAAGTTTTAAGGTGGTAGGGAAAGTCTGTGCTTTGAAATAAGTTACCCAACACCAGGAAACCTGAACTAATGTCTTAATATTTCCTGATATCACTGAATGACTAAGATTAGGCAGGTGGAGACCTGAATGGGTGCAGCTTTCAGAGTAATCTCTGCTGGAGGCTACGGCCAAAGCAGTCAGCTGAGGATCTCTCTTAATCTCTCAGCTTTGAAATGAATGCATGTTTTTCTGAAATGCTCTCAATGACCACTTTATTAGGTACATCTATTTATCTATCTATTTATCAGGACCACTTTGAACATCCACTTTTGTAGTTCTACAATTACAGACTGTAGTCCATCTATTTCTCTGCATACTGTGTTGGCCCCCCTACGCCATTCATCTATGGTCAGGACCCCACAGGACCACCACGGAGTTGGTATTATTTGGGTGGTGGATCATTCGCAGCACTGCAGTGGCACTGACATGGTATTTATTATTAATACCATTATTGTAATGTTGTTGCATAAGTATTATATCACTGTATTTTGTTTCTGTTAAGTTTTATTTA